TCTCTACAGTCGGTGTGCTACTCAGTCGGAGCGAGCGCGGCGGCGAGGACAAGGGCGGCGGCGGCGAGGACGAGGGCGGCGGCGAGGGCGGCGAGGGCGGCGGGCGCGCGCCTGCGGGCGGGATGTCCGATGGGCCGGAACGGCGGGCAAGGCACGGCTCGCGTGGGGAATGACGTGGGAGCGATCTGGATCGCGGGGGAGATCTGGCGGGGCGGGGCGGGCGGCAGTGATGGGCCGTCGGGGGACGTTGCCGAGGATGCCGGGGACGTTGAGGAGAGGCATGAAGTCGAGCTGGGGCGCTGGGGCAATTGCTGGGGGACGGATAAGGGCGCAGGAAGGCTAGTTAGCCTTGTTCGCAATGCGTGCGGATAAGGCTAATAAGCCTGATTGATGGTGTCGGACGGGTGCGGTAGTTTGGTGTTGGTGCTGCACAAACTTGATTTGAACAGGTACATTACGCATCTTGGATTTTATGAATCTCGACTAATAAATAGCGGGGGCCCGTGGCCACCAACGTGTGCCGACGGAGTGCCGACTCCCATGGGCGCGCGAGCGCTTACCTCGCCGCCGTTACCTTATATGGTAGGATGTCCGCTATGCCCGCCACCCACTCCTCGCTCGCGGACTCCTTCTCTAAGTTCTGCGCGTACTGCGTTTATTGTTGCGCTGCACGTTACAACGAGGCATTATACGAGTGTTATATAATATCCAAGTCATCAGTGCTGAGTAAAGGTACAGCGTCGAGGTTCATCAATAGCTGAAAGTTATTCCTTCAGGCTCTTCGCTGTCGCCTCTGGCAACAGCGCCTCCATGCGTAAATACATTATACTTCAGCAAAACACTTGAAAAGTCTATATGATCCAGTGTTTATACCAATATGTTTTTCTCTTGTAAAGGAATGTACTCATACCCATGGCGACTATGCCCTGAATCTATGGTCCCGAGACTCGGATATTCTTCCTAACCAGTGCATCGCAGATACGCTCGACAGACACACAAAAAGCCGATGCACTCGCAAAAACTACATAACATTACGATGCAGAGTAGGTACATAAGCGGGGCTTTTTTTTTACTGGATTTAAAGCTCTTACTATGAGTTATACGACAGGAATTCAGACATGCGCCTGTTCCCGTACAGTACGGCGGTGTGAGTTGTTACGAGGCTCTCGCAAATTCGCGAATTTCTACCCCAAATTTACAGATGAGTACACATTATTTACATACATGGTGCACAATGCTCACGCAGAGGTCGCGAGCAAAAGTAGAGAAGTGCGCGTCCTTGCACATCCCGAACACACCTTCGGCGTGCGCGGCGGCGGTCCTACCTGGACAGTATGTATAGGCCGCTAAAGAGGGCATTTGATACCTTTCAAATGCTTGGGATGAAACATACTATTTAAATGCCCCCTCATGCTGTCAGCAGTGGTGCATGGTTAGTAGTGCACAGATGTTCTCTTAACCTGGCAGTACTACTTATTCCGCTCATACCTCGGTCAGTTTCGAACGCCTAAGAGTAAGATAAATTGCATTGTATACGACTATTCCGTTCATTTCCGATCGCATACTCAACATTGCTGTCGAGGACTTACGTCGCTCTGTATCCTGCTGCAACTAGCAACTTATATACACCCTTTTGATGCACAGTACAGGAATTAATGACCTTGATAGCTTCTAAAAAAACTTTCTTAGTAGCACATTATTTGATGTTGTCAGTATGACACACCCTGGCGAAGGCGTGGCCATTGAAGACCGCCGTACTCGTATGGGAAGCTCCAAAGAGTCCTGTCGGAACTCTGTCGGATCGGACTGCTCGGACAGGCAGTGGCAGTGCCGTTGGGCGCTTGGCGTGCCGGGAGCGCCCGCGTGGGAAAATTCAAATCTCAGATTTGAGATCTGAAGTTTCAAAATCGAGTTCGAAGTTGAACTCCGAAAGTGAAGTGCATTACTGAGATTGAATTTCTTGCTCGAAGTGGGGAATACTTTATGTCCACGGATGTCCCTCATACTGCACGGAGCTTTTGATCTGGTTCAACTTGTACTCGACCATGATCGCAACTTAGCTCTCGCCAACGTCGACGGACCTCAGTTACGCGTCTCTTAGAGCATTGACAGAAATAGGTATGCTGCGATAAACCCTTACCTTCGGTAGGCGATGTCAACCACGACGACCGTAACAGCTTTTAGCGACATGCAGGTCGAACGATTCCGCCTGGAGGAGCGTCTTACGGTGGGGTTCGTTATATGCGTACTTACGGTGCCTGAGGTGCTAGAGCATACATCTACTTACGTTCCAGAACCTCATAGGATGCAATGTTGCAAATGGATGCGTTTGCCTCAAAGGTATATGGCTGAAGATCCACTCGTACATTCTCGTTTTTTCATACTACCATCCATCGAGCTGATGATGTTTATTTCTAGGACGGTTGTGCGCACCACCAGGCGGCCAATGCTGGTAGGCGCCCGCCGGATCTCTGGCTTGTCAATGTCTGCCGGACATTGAGTGGGGTGAAACACTCTGGTCTCACATTCGCGTGCTGCAGCCCAGCTGACGTCGTTCAAACGTTGTTCGATGCTCAAGGGCGGCGCGCACGGAGGTCTCGCATCCCCGGGAGTACTGATTGACCTGCCGGTACGCTGTCAGTACTGGCCCTTCCCCGCTCATGGGCGCTGAGCGCTGTTCCCGCGTTATCGTCGAGCGCGGGGTACCGGTGGCGTGTGCTCTCAGGCCTTGTCGAGGCTCGATTGGAAGCGTCTGCGCTTATCACGACGGCGGTGTGCGCGCTGTGGACGCTGCGGGGCGTCGGTCGGCGACGACGCGGGAGATGGATGTGCTGGCTGTGGTGTGTGTGTTGTTGTCTTCGCCTGTGCTTGTACTGCAGATATGTCTAGCAGGATGCTGTACGTAGCGTGGAGGGAACTCGAATTCGATCTGAGATGCAACCTAGAGAGGATGGTGCACGGGCCTCCCGACGGGCCTTTTGCCGGGTGCCGCGCTTCGGGGATTGCCGGCCAAGGGGTTGAACCTTTACCGTCGACCACCAACTCCCTCCGCCTGCGTCTTGCCGCATCCGTCTCACCCGCGACGACCCCTCCCCCTCCTCAGACGCGTTTTCCTCATCCAAATATGAGCAAAAAGGGCGCAAAGGCGCAGAACAAGGAGCAATCCTATGACTTTCGCGACATCGTCCTCGCGAAGGTCCGCGGCTTTCCCCCATGGCCTGGCATGGTGAGCTATCCTCCGCACGTCCTCGCGTCTTGTCGCGACTCGCGCCGCTTTTTCCAAGTCGCTCTCGCTAACATCTATGGACGCGCAGATCGTGGACCCGGAGACAGTTCCGGACACAGTCCAGAAGGAGCGTCCGAACGCGAAGACGAAAAAGGGGAATTGGTACTGTGTACGGTTCTTCCCTGCTGGGGACTAGTGAGTCACTACGTGTCCTATCGCCTCCTGCTCGTGTGCTGAATAGCTTCTCTATGTGACCAGCGCCTGGATAGTGCCCAAGGACATCTCTCGTCTGCAGACGCACGAAATCCAGGCCTATATCTCGGAGCCCTTCAAACGCTCTGGAGAGCTCCTGAAGGGCTACCGCATCGCCCTCGATCCCAAGGCATGGGAGGAGGAGCGGGACGCCGCCCTCGTTGAAGCCCAGGAGGCCGAGGCCGAGGCTGAAGTCGATCAGCTCGAAAGCGACGGCGAGGAGGAGGCCGACGACGACGAAGAGGAGAAGAAGAAGAAGCCCAAGAAGAGGAAACGCGACTCTGATGTGGCCCCTAAGGCGAAGCCAAAGGCGAAGAAGGGTTCGGCGGAGCCCACTCCCAAGAAGCGCGCTGCGAGCGCGCCCAAGGGCAAGAAGAACGGCCCCAAGTCCAAGGCAGTCGTCGAATCCGAGGACGAGGGCGGCGCAGAGGATGGCGAACGGGAAGGGTCGGGTCCCAGCAAGAGGAGCTCGCCTCCCCCGGCCAAGAAAGCGAAACGTGATAAGGACGAGGAGGCCGACTGTGAGTATTCGTCATTTCTGGCCCTCAGACCATGCCCTGTAACGAGCACCTCCAATGCCCAGCTCCATTGATGAACGACCCCGAGGCTCTCAAAGTCAGGGAATGGAGACACAAGCTTCAGAAGGCGTTTTTGAACACCAAGGCAACGCCCAAGGAGGACGTGAGTACCCTGTCTGACATCGCCACAATCCATGACGACTCATGTTGGGATTCAGGATATGCCTTCACTTGACCAGCTATTCACGTCGGTGGAGACCTACGACAACATGACGATCGAGTACCTGACGGTGAGTTTTGTGCCGCTGCCCCCACCATCGTGCCATATCCTCCCGCCGTGCTTTGCTGGCAACGCGTGGCACGCTGCGTTCCCGCGCGGTTCGCTTCCCCATATCGCCGTTTGTTGTGCGCCTGTTTGGCAGTGTGGCTGATCATTTGCCCGCCGCGCGCCCCCGTCGCCAGTTCTCAAAGATCGGCAAAGTCATGCGCCACATACATGCCCTCAGCGACGACAAGGTGCCGCGCGACGAGGAGTTCAAATTCCGGGAGCGCGCGAAGGTGCTCGTCGACAAGTGGCACGACGTGCTCAAGACGACGAACGGTGCACCCGAGTCGAAGCCCGCCGCGAATGGCGCGCGCAAAGAAGACGGCCCTGCGTCCACCAACGGCAAGTCGGAGAACGGTGCTACGGAGGCGAAGGCGAACGGTGTCGCCGCCATGGAGGTCGACGCGGACGCGAAGGGCGAGGTCGAGCCTGCGGCGGAGGAATCCGCTGACGCGGAGTCGAAGCCCGCCGATGACGAGCCTGTCAACGGCGCTGCGGACGAGTCGATGCTGGCGGACGTCACGATGTCGGAGGCTGCATAATCCGGCAGCGCACAGCAGTGAGACATCCGCCCGCCCGCTACCCACCTGGGGGCGCCCCGCCCTCGCCGCGTGTGACACCCCAACCGAAATGGCCCCTAGTGCTTCCTTGCGCCCCGTGCTCCTCCCGCGCCCCTCGCCCCCCAAACGTCCTGCCGAACACAACGTTTCGACGGGCTGCTCATTTTGTCGTCGGTTGTACGTTTGCCCCCTGTATCCTATATTCCCCTTCCCGCCCTCTCGATCGCGAAGTTGTCTAGTTGTCCCGCGTTGTGCTTTTTCTGCCCCCTCCCTCCTGTGACCCCGCCACGTACGGCGCCCCCTGTGCATATGCATTAGTACTGGTACCGCTCACGCGACCTCCGGCACGTTTGTTGCAAAGCGTGCGGAGGATGTACAGATTGCTTACTCACTTCTTTCTGGCTGTGGCAGCCGAACAGCGGCGGCGGCGATGATGTGTGTCCTGTGCCGCGCAGGCGGCAAGTATGTTATTACGAGTCTGTACATAATGAATCGAACGTGCTCAGAGACATCGATGTAGATGACAACAGCCCGAGGTGGGTATTGCGGGTGCGGAAGGTAATCATTGCGGGGGGATATCCAAAGGTGACAACACGGAGAACTCAGAGCTGGGAGAAAGGAGTGGCGCGCTATGAGGCCCGTGGGGACGTCGCAGACGTTGCGTCTGCCCAGGGGGACACTTCGCCGTCGAAATAGTCTACCGGTCGCGCTTTGCCGAAGAGGTATTGGCCAGGGCCGGACGAGGGCGACGGGTCTGGTGACGGTGTCGGAGAACGGGAGGCCTCTGGTGATGTCTGCAGGGGCGTCCCGGACAATGGGCCTGTGGACTCCTGCTCGGGCTTGTCGTCGGACGACGCCACGACGGTCGTGTCGCCATCCCCATCCCCATCCCCATCGTCGTCCACGAGTAGCCTGGGAGTTGTCGAGTGGGCACCGACGGTCGAGGCTGACGACGGCAGCTCGCTCGACGGTAGCGCAGGCGATGCGGGACGCGAGCGCGGGGTAGCTGCGCCGGAGGTGGGGAGCGACTTGATGCCCACGGCGGACGACGTTGCGCGATGACGCGATCGTATGACACCGACCGACTGCGACGGGCGTGGGCTCTCGGAAGACGAGCTCGACCGCGCCCCGTCGCGTTCGAAGAGGCGCAGGACGTTCTTCAGCGCTTCGCCCTGCTCTCGGGCTTCACGTAGCGCCTCTTCCGTCTCCGCCAGCTTACGTCGTTCCGTAGCGACCATCTTATTTGCCTGAGAATGACGGTTTGAGCGCGACTACGGATAGGGCACCCCGCGGAAACTCACCTCCTCAAAGAGCGCTTGTGAGAGCGACTCGAGCTCGGACTCGAGCGCGGTCTTCGCCTCGCACGCGTCCTTGTATGCCTTCTTCTCCTTGTCCAACTGGTTGTGCAGGTCCTCCACCTCCTTCTCGTAGTCCTTCGCCGGCACGAGCGACGGTAATGACGCCGAAGTCAAATGCGAACCATTCAAGCTCGGGGACGCCGCACCCGACATGCGCGGCGAGGACGGGTGGCTGGTAGACGGCGTAGTCCCGTTCCCGAATCTAAATCGGAAGAATCGGTTCTCGGAGCCCGGTGCGGGCGAGGGCACGGTCGCGGACCGCGGTGGCATCGGCGAGAGCTCGGGGTGTGGGGAGGGTGACGGCTGCGGGTGCGGGAATGTGGGGGAGGCACTTGACAGCTCGGCGGAGGCGAGGGAGTCGCTGCTGCGTCTGCGGTCGGCCTCGGCCTCGGCCTTCAGGCTCTGCTCGCGCGCACTCATGCGCCGCCAGCCGACGTCGCGGGAGGAGCCGGGGTCGCGCTTGAGCGCGTCCTCGAGCATCTCGTTGTTCGCGAGCGCGAGAGAGAGATTCGATTTGGCGAGCGTGAGCTCGGTTTGGAGGTCTGTCTGTGCCTTGTATGCCTCCTTTAGCATTGCCGTCTGCAACAAATGTGGGGTGGGGGCTTAGCAGGGCAAGGCACGAGGAGAAGTGACATGTGCGTACCAGTTCTTCTACCCTGGTAATCGTTTTATTCAGGGCGTACCGCAGGTCCTCCTCCTGCCCTTGGGCGTGCACGCGTTTCACGTCTCGTAGTTCATCGTCAAGCTCGGCGAAGTAGGGGCCCTTGGTGGCCTTTAGGCTGTCCACGCGCCGTGGGAGATTTCTGTTGCTCGTTTGGAAGTGGGAGGGAGGCGGCATGTGGATCATGCAGTATGCAGCGACGACTAAGTGTGTTTTAACGTAGCGTCTGCAGCACAGAGGTTTGTGTGGCTTGAGTTCGTCCTATTGCGTCCGAGAGTCGCGATGGCGGAGAGATGGGATGTGCAGGGGCTTCGAGCGTCAGTTGATGCGATGGCAAGTCTCGATCTACGAGGCTGGTGCAATGTGTAGACTGTCGTTCAGGATATGCTTGCAGATACGTGTACCACGGATTATTTCTGAGGGCAAGCAACGACAGCGATGAAGGCAGCGAGAGAGAGAGCGACGGACGGACGCGGAGGGCTCAGGGAGCGAACAAGACGTCGACGTTGCTCCCACCCAGGCGCCCACGCCGCTCGGATTCATTTCGTTCATCATCACTGCAGATCATACGGGGCTTATCATTGTCAAACACGCTGCAAATGCTTCCATATTGCGACTCTACTGCTTTAGAAGTCATTCGTATGAACGACTCACAGAAGGTCGCAGATCCTGCCTGCTTGCACTAGCGAGCCGCGATCACTTCGCCACGCGCTAGAATTAGCGCTTACGCGTATTCCTCCTGATCATGAAGCTTGAAGGTCGAGCCCAAGTCGCGCCTCAAGTTAGTCCTGCGTAATGCGGATACTCCAACGCTATCACGCTTACCCTTGCCTCCAATGCATAAGTGCCACCGAAGACGGCTAATGGAGCAAAGGTCACTCATGGAGTCGATTTGAGCATCGCGACCCGGTTATGTGCCACTGGTTGGACCATCCGACCACATGCCTACTTAGTGGTCAAGTGTATTGCCCTCCGGGGGTTTGATTCCACGGTGAAGTTCGATACCGTAGCGCAAATCCAGCGCCAGAGACACGGTAAAAAGCCGCTGATTATGCTGCCCGACGAGGTGAAACGTTTAACGAGCAGCATCCACCATGCATCTCTGCAACGCCGTGTCTGTGATAGATCCGGTTTGTTCGACTAACCTTGTTGCTGTCCGGCCTGCAATAGCCTGCTGGAAAACCCTGATCGGCAGAAGGCTGACTGGCGTCGGGGCAATCTGCCCGGGTTTGTGACCTCCTGCGTAGTAGCCGTCAACCGCTTCGCTGTGCCGCAGAGAGGTTTTCGCTTGTAACAGTGTATATAAACCCTGTAGTCTTGCAGACGGCACTCGCATCAGCTCTCAGCATCTACTCAGCACTCAGCCCACCTGCTAGATTCTTTTACACCACCATGCTCGCTCTCGTTACCATCATTTCTACCGCTCTCGCCCTTGCATCCAGCACCGCTGCCGACCTGATCGCGCCGGGTGTCCCTACCCACTTCTTCTCCACTCAGAGTGAGTCCTGCGCAAAACCCTCTAATTACTTATGTCACTCACCACACGCCATAGACCCTTCGCTTCTGTTCGCTCCGACGTTTGCTGGCGCTGGGGCGACCCTGCAGGCGGCGAACCCGGGCGATGGCTCTGCGAGCGACATTACCGCCCTTACCCCTGTCAAGGGGTCAGGTACACCCACCCAAATCACCCTCGGCGACCTCTGCGTTAGCGCGAACGGCGTTGTGCCCGGAACGGCAACGCAGGTCCTCAAGATGGCGGACTGCGACTCCAACGACCCCACTCAGCTCTGGATCGTCTTGGGGCAGGTGTCGAATGCGGACGGGAACTGCATTACACTCGGACGTGCTGCAAAGGGCGTGGATGTACGTCCTCTAGACAGTATTTCTTGATGTTATCGTTGACTGATGTCGCGGATAACACAGGTGACGCTTTCGCCGTGCTCGGATGACCTGAAGGGCATCCAGTCGTGGGAGCCGTTCCCCGCGAAAATTGGAGCGTAGAAACACCATGGCATTGTGGCGATGCATGGCCGTTGGACAAGATGACGTCTTGCTACGACAATGGAACTATGGATAGACTTTATTAGACGCTGCATGACTCGTATCGAGCTTCCGGAAATCTTACGACAATCGTAATGTGACTCGGATTGGTTTTACGAAGTCGACCGCCTTGTGGCCACTCTCCCACTGGCTGACAGGGAAGTATGCCGTTGAGGCTCTGATAACACCTCAAGGTTATAGAACACCGCTTCCAGTCCCTCTGTCGAAAAAGACGCTGCCTACGTCGGTCAGCCGGTATAGGACCGCAGCGCTCCGTGGAATGAGACGGTGGCCGGCTTCCGCGGTTCCGGGGCCGCCATGCAGCGCTACCTGTGGGTGTTGTGTGGGTCAACATGGGGCATAGTGGGTGGAATGGAAGCGTCCCACCTGCCCGCTCACACTGCCGCTTCGACCGCTTGACAGCGGGAATACGTCTATATGATACGTGCAGAGCTGAAGAAGGTGCTTGAAGACGTCGTCCGGTTCTCCGGGTGTCGTGATATGGTGTCGGATCACCAAAGCGGCGTTAGACTGGCCGTAGCGTTAGTCTCGAACAGATTAACAGGTGAGAAATATGCAGCAATGTACCTTTCTACATAGCGCGCACAATGCGCGTGCGAAACGGGTTGTGTCCGCAGCCGGAATCCCCATCCACTCCAAGGACGCTATATCGTCGAGTATTACGGACACTACGCTCCCTGGCTCGGCTGAGAGGCGCGTCAAGATCATCTTGATCTCTCGGAAAAGCGCCTGAAGAGGCACTTCCGTCTTCTCATCCAGAGAAGGAGAGACATGCGACATCGCATCAACAAAAGTCAGGGCTCCCGAGTCCAGATATGGCACTAGGTTTAAGGTCTGAGAAGTTGTATGTGAGCAGCAACTCATTAATTGGCATCAAAAATACTGTGAATCGTACAGATCGCGAACCTATCGCCTTCCATCGTCCTATGTCTTCAGAGACAGACACCAGTAGGCATCTTGAGCCCCTGGACTCCTTCAAGTGAGTGGCAAGGTGGCGGTGCAGTAGGAAATCAGCTGGGGCAGGTAGTTCATCCGTAAGAAGAAGAATTTCTCCTGAATGTGGTAAACCATTGGGAGGGAACATGGTTGGGTTGATAGGGATGATGAAAGGCGGAGGAGAGTGAGAGAAGCGTATGCGGGGCAAATGCTACCGCGGAGTGATTGCTGTCTGAATTAGGAAGGAGAGTTGAGGCTGCAGCATAACAGATCCAAACAACCGCTGTGGCTGAGATTTGGACGAGTGTGCGACGGCAGGGTAGTCACCCCAATAATCACTCCGGCTTCCACGAATCCACTTTCAGAAGGCTAAGGCTGCTGGTCCCACTCTGTATCTAAGGAACTGCCTGGGATCTTTTGGTATCTTCGCTGTTGCCCACTTAGTACCCACCGCTCGCGACCACGAAACTTCTGCTGCACGTAGGACAGTGAAACCCGCTGGGTAGCACTGAGGTCAAAGCCTGGCTGCGATATGGCATCTACAAGCAAGCGACCGGCGAACTTGAACACTCTCACCCCACATCCGAAACCCGTGATCAGCGTCGAGGAATGGGAGGCCTCAGCACCTATTGGGGATGTTGAGGTCAAGAGCGTAAACTGTGTCCAAGCAGCGAGCGAGCGCGCTGTTCTGCCACCTAAGGTGCGTGCCATCCTACAAGGTCGTCATGCATATGAACTTGACCCCGGACGTCAAGTTCAGCGCGGAAGACCCAGGCTCGTCCTCCCGCCCATCCACGCCGACCGTCCGTGGTAAACTCGGTCAGGGCTCTCGACCCTCGACGCCCAACCTCTCCTCTGCACACCGCCATACTGCATCGCACGCGCTCCACCCTCGGCAACCTATCCAGACGCCTCAGCAGTTCTATGACTGGTTCTCGCTCATCGACCGCTCGGTGACACACAGCCAGGAAGCGCACATACGCGCGCACCTGGAGAGCGTGTCGGATCATTTGGAAACATGCGACCGGTTGATACAAAGGATAGATGAGATTGACGGGGAAGTGGCGGACATGCTGCAAGGATGGCGGTCAGTAGAGGACAGTGGCAAGAGCTTGAAAGACGCTTGCGAGCTGCTTCTCCAGGAGCGGGTGAGTGCTCCCGCTTCTCTTCAAACATAGCGAGGCACATTACTCAACACGTTATGCGTTTGTGCAGGATCGACTGCTGGATCTGACAGTCTCCATCGACGAGAGACTAGAATACTTCCAAGAACTTGAACAGGCTACACGCATGCTCAACCATCCTGGGGAGTCTCTTGTCTTGCAGACCGACTTCCTCTACATGGTCGAGCGCGTCGACATATGTATTGATTATTTGAAGTCCCATGTATGTTCTGAAAACCTCGTCATCGCTATCGACGATAGCTCACCTCTCACAGCGACACTTCAAAGAAGCAGAAATATACCTACTTCGCTTCCAACAATGCATGACGCGCGCTATGACTTTGATCAAGATGTACTTCGTGGGCTCGTTGCGTGCGCTAACCACGGACGTTTCCAAACGACTAGCAGAGAAAGTGAGCGGTCAATGCAGCCCAAATTATGCGCCATAAAGCTCATATGGTCGCCTAGGATGTCTCGACAACGGCGCAGATGCACTTGCTCTACACTCGGTTCCACACCGTATCCGGGCCCCTAGCGCCGCTCCTGGCGGAGTTGGAGCGGCGCGCACAAGCTCATCCCGACGAGTTGTCTGCGTTGTTAGCCGAGTGTCACGTTGCATATTTCTCTGCTCGCAGGACCCTCCTCGTTGGCCGTCTAATGGAAGAAATCAAGGGCCTTGATCCCGCGCGGACGGAGCTTGTAGAGCTTGTGAGTTCATCCGGGCAGTATCTGCTAAGATCGCTGTGAAGCTGAAGCTTCTGGCTAGACTAGAGCCGGCTGTAGTTATCTCAAGCAGTTGTGCACCGATGAATTCAATCTCTTCCGGGCATTCTTCAACTCTGGGGAAGAGCAGCTCTAGTGCGTATACGCGACATAATTGTGCACGAACGTCGCAGTACTCACACACTAAACGTCTGCAGCCAATACTTGGAGAACCTCTGCGATTATCTCTATGACGACTTGCGGCCACGAATACTGCACGAGCCGCGCCTCACAGCGCTGTGCGAAGTGTGTACCGTCCTACAGGCACTCATGGTGCTGGACGTGCCCTCGATGCCCGACTCCTCTTCGGACGAGGAGGCCGACCTGGGCGACGAACTCACCCTAGACCTAGACCATCCCAGACGAAATAGGGGATTGCGGACCTTGCACATCAGCCACCTCCTCCAAATGGTACTGCAGGACGCGCAGACTCGGTTGTTTTTCAAGGCCCAGTCGGTTATTCAATCTGAGATCCGCTATTACGTCCCCAGGCTTGAAGACCTGGCGTACCCGGACAAACTAGTTGGTGGGTCTCGATGCATGATCGTTGTCCCGGCGAAGGCCCTGATCGTGTGTGGGAAGCTGCGCGGAAGCCGGTGTCTGGAACGGACATCAGGGAGAAGCAGAGTGTCAGCAGGATCTTTCAGGTCAAGTCCTGGGACAAGCAGGAAACGTGGTACCCCACTTTGCAGAAGACGGTCTGGGTGCTCTCACAGCTCCACGAGTTCGTAAAGGTCTGCCGTTGCGTCATCGCCCACTCTTACAGCGCAGTATTTCTGACTCTGCACCGAGAACAGCCCGCGATCTTCGACGAGCTTGCGCAGGAGGCGATCAAGTACTGCCTGCAGACCCTCCTTAGTGCGGCGGAGACACTCAAGAGCAAAAATCCGCCGACGTCCGTGTACGATGGACATCTGTTCCTACTGCGGCACCTGCTTATCCTGAAAGAGATGACCCAAAACCTTGATCTCGTGCACCGTGATGTCGAGCGCGGCAGCGCCCTCTCTGGAGTTCCTGGTAAGTCCGACGCGCTCACACGCGTATACAGTCCTCGCTCACGTTTCTCCCAGAATCGCTGGCTTCGGTGCTCGGCAGGACTACATCGCTTCTCCCGAACGCCCTCCTCACTTCCCTCGGGATGCCGCGTGACGAGGATACGAGCGATGTGCGCCACGTGAGTGCCCCCCTATTGCCCCCGCGCCCCTATGCTCACTCCCATGCGCTGCGCCTGCCAGGGGATCGACCAGCTGCTGAAGCAGGCCTGCGAAGACGTGATCAAGACTGCGGCGGATGCCGTGAGCGGCTCGACGTACAGTTGGGCAGAGCGCCTGCGCATGGTCTACTCGCTCGACAACGAGCCGCTGCCCCAGAAGGAAGGCGACCTCCCCCGCATGAACTACGAGCTGGAGCGCCACTGGGCGGGGGCGGACTCCGCGGTAGGCATCATCAACACCATCCCGTACTCCCTTGAGCACGATACGAACGAGGTGGTGGTGCGCTTGCGGCTGTACATCGAGGACGAGCGGACTGTCGAGGTCCTCGTGAAGCACATCCAGGAGCTCATCGTGGACCAATGGATGTATTGGCGGGAGACGACCTGGAACCTCTACAACGGCGAGATCCGCGACAAGATTCCGACGGAGGAGATGTTCAGGGAGCATGTGGTCAAGGGCTGCAGGGAGGACTATGTTTATGTGCCGGTGCAGATACCAAACAACTATGCGGAGGATGTTGCTAGGCGTAACGCTGCTGCTGGTAGTAGCACAGCGTGATGAGAGTTGCACCGTACATTTGTATGTCATACCCCCATTTCATGCATCGCTCGCCAAGCCTCATATTCAGAACAAGGAGTATCCTGCCTGACATAGAAGTTGAACGCTACATTATACAAGAGATCCTTCTCTGGGAGACACTAGGGACAGCGGTATTGTAGTTATCGTATGAGACTATCTGAACCTGATACGTGCAAAGGGTGAGCGATTGTGTGTGTACGTAGGTACCATGTCCGTGAATGAACGGAGAGTGAGTGACAAACGACGCAGAAGGAAAACGGTAAGCGGTATCGTGAGTATGCGTCAACAAGGATCGACAAGAAACCCAAACAGAAAGGGCATGAGGGCATGAAGGAAGGCGACACCGCAGCTGCGCCGCGCGCCGCGCGTGGGAGGCAATAGAGGCATTAGTCTCCCCAGCTCTGGGCGATGTCCCCAACGTCCTCGATTTTGAACTCAGAGTCCGAACCAGAGCTCTCGGGGGCCTGCGCAGCAACGCTGCCGTCCGCATGACTGTGTGTGCCATTTCCGTTGAGCGCGGCGGCGGCGGCCTCGTCGGGGTTGTCGGCGTGGGTGTGGGCTTCCGCGGTTGTCGAGGACGGCGCGTCTGGCGTTCCGTTGGCGCCATCAACGACCGCCTTGCCCTTGCCGTCCGTGCTTCCTAGAGCCCCGGATCCGTCGCCGTTCTCCCGAGCACGTTCCTCGCTAGGACGACCCGGACGCCCGCGGGTCATTGGTCCTGGACGCGGCCTCGCACCCGCGAAGAACCCACCGGGACCTCGAACCAGACGGACGTTCAGGATCGGTTTTCTACTGCCGCCTTCCGGGTCTGCTTCGGGCGGTAGATAGGATGCGTCGCCGGGATGAAGAGAAGAGGTGGAGCGGCTGGTCTGTATAGACGGGGAAGGTTCTCGGGAAGTTGACTGAGACGGCATGCGGGGGAGGTGAGGGTTTCCAGCTATTGTAGATGACTGTGGCGCCAGGTCTGCTTGGGCTGTGGAGGACGAGGCGCGTGGCGGGGTAGTGTTTGCGGACAGACTACGATCCAGGCGCGCGTGTGGCGGTCGGCCGTATAGGTTGAAAGGGAGTGGTTGGTTCACATTGACCATTTTGCTTGAGGGTGCACACAGAGCAGTAGAACGATAAGGGCCTGTATGTGGCGGGTAGATAGATGAGTACGTACCCCTCCTTGGAGCGGACTATCGTCCCCAGTCGTTCCTTCAAACGGTCATGGTCGACCGTGTAGGTTCGAATGCTAATGCGGCGTTGAGTATTCCCGCTTAGCGGAGATGGGCTGCCTACTCACGGAGGAACTTCATCCGAGGGCTGAATGAATGGCGTGCGTTCGTCCGGCTCCTTCTGCAATTGCCGCCTCAGCTCTCCGCTGGTTCCCAAACTCTCCTGTTTACTCACTGGGCCGGGGGAGTGCGCTCTTATGCAGCAGCCAAAGACGTAGCGAACGACTGAGGCCATGGGGAGGACGTCGCGGACGGCGACGAGAGGAAGAGCAGGGTGAGGACAAAGGAGCAAGTTTAGGCGCTTCCATTTTTGGCAGTGCCGCTCCTCGTAAATGTGGCCCGGGCCGGCAGCCGAGATTGGCGTCGAACGATGATGATCGACGCCACAGTGCTCCAGAGTGCTCCGCCCCGATACTCAACGCCCGCCGCATTTGTCTCTCTCTCCCCTTCCACCACCGCCGCTAGCGCAGCGCTTCACTCACATAACCCAGCGACACAGCCGCGTAGCACAGGCGTATCTCCAGGTTCATCTCGTACCATCCCCACTGCAGGCAATGTGTAAGTCTGGGGTCTAGAGCAGCCGGAATCACGCAGTGTGTACCGCGATCGTCTCCTCATCTTAGAGCATCCCTAACACTGTCATTAGCACACACACTGTAAGAGTGATGCAGTGGAGCCATGCTGCACCTTGTCGTTGGTTCGATTTGGAGCTTGACAATCGATGGCGCGGTATGAAAGGTGCACACCGCTCAGGCGCGAGACATCGATTATCCGAGCCGGAACTTGCAAGACCACATGTCGAGCAGCTATCGCAATGAAAAGGCACACGAACCGGCAATATGAAAAGAGAATCTTATCAAGTCAGGCCAAGTGTGTCGACTCCAGAGGCCTCATAACGACTACGAGGAACACAGACACATGCAGTAGTGTGTACTCGTCTTAAGGCCATGAAGAGGTCCGCGATACGCTCACAACATATCGCTACTCTAGCAGGCGACTGCATCCGTCTCATAATAAACCCGATTCCGTGTGTCCACCCGACACTTGTCCCTGGTTCCACGCGGACAGGAAGCGCTGACCGCATGCTATTCGGATCCCTCGCGCTGAGTCTTGAGGTGACAGGGAAGCGAAGGTACGCGCCTATGCCCCCAAAGATGAGGTGCTGTGAGCTTATATCTGATGTTCCATTAGCCGTAGAACTCATCTTGAGATAGGACTGCATCATGCCTTCGAAGAGTGGAGCTGCCCAATATCAACCTTGTAAGATTTCGAGCACCTTGCAACTATACTGACCAATTGCGCAGTCAGAATATGTACAGAGGACCTGCCAAGGAATTCCGATCCGACAGAGGGTCGTGTTCAAGGTGTCTGGGTTTCAAACCCTCAGCGAGAGCGATCGTCGACATGACCACATGTCATGCCAAAGGAACACGAATACACCAAATTCTCCCCGACTGTGAGTTCACGAAGACTCTGTTATGTGCGTGACCTCTGCGCTGAATGGGCCGCCTCTTCGCACCCCCACACCGCAGTGGGGAAACGTCGAGGCTTATTCTCGGACGTGCTCAGTCATCGCACATTCCAGCAGCACCAGATGCGCTTCGACGCGCGATCTCGCTCCCCCATTCTGCCAGATTGACACGCACCCGATGTGTAGAGGGTCCGGTGACCCGTGGTTCGCGCCCGAACCCCCAGAACGCGTCTCACCCCCGCAGACGGCGCCGCCCTGCGTGTGACGCGTCTTGGGGAGCCTTCCAGGCGTCGGCCGCCCACCGCACGGATTCCACCACCCTTGCGCGACGTGACAGCTGCGCAGCCGGAAAGGGGTGGAAGCCCTTCGGTGGTTCTCAGCGTCAGGCGCAGCTTCGGCCATGCCCAACAGCCGGGAATGCTACGTGAAACAGGACCGAGACAACTTTGTTCCTGGGGCACAAGATCTCGAATGCGGTCCTAACGCGGACACACCGGACTATGACAGTTAGCTGTCCCGGTGATGAGTTCCAGGACCTGTCAGGCAAGCCACCCCAGACACAGAAGCTGAAAGGTAAGTGCAACTTAACTCTGGCGCAGACGCGACAGCAGTTTGGAATACACGCACGGATAACTCTCGGGTGCGCGGAGTCGCGGAATGTCCGCACTTATTCAACCTATTCGCCGGCATGAACTAGCATGCCGTCGAGACAATGACCACCGCCACATTCAGCCGATAATTCCGTAACATTTTAGCACTTCTACACCATCGAGCGTGTACGAACTATCCATGATTGTGCTACTGATAGAGTGTTCGAGCAGCGTCTGCTCAGCGGTCCTGGCTGCGGAGATTATCAGGGGAGTGGCAGTTACCTCACCCGTCTGTCTGTGGCGGGCAACGTCAATCCTGCCCACGAGGGTGTCGCCCGGGGCTTCGCTCTCGGGGGCTGTCACGGCGGGGCGGGGACGCCGCGCGAACCTAGTAATGAAGCTCGGTACCGAGGCTCGAGAGCGTGAGTTCGCTGTCCGCTCCAGGCAGGAACCGATACCGCCGCCGACGGGGGCCCAACGTGTGCGCGCCCTCCCATGCAGTGATCCGCGAGAGGAAGCCGCTCCCAGACTCCCATGGCACCTGCCAAGCCGGGCGGCGATATATTTGGGGCCATTCAGTTGGCGGCGCCCTTGCCTGCGGCCTGCCTTGCTGGGACGGCTTCGAAGATCAGGAAGGCCCGGGAAGGTGACACACAGCCTCTGGCTTGTTCCCCGGACGGCTTCTAATGGCACCGAGCGGAGCAGGTGGACGCCTGGTCCGCACCGCGCTGGGTACAGGGTGCCGAGAATGGGACGCTGCACAGAAAGGCAGGCGTGTCCGGGCGTCGGCGGCTGGGGAGCATGGGAGGCGATGGCCACCGAGGACGTGCTCTGCGGAGCGGTGGTCAATGCATGGCACGACTTTCCTCGGCAAACGCCCTTTCCAAGCGAAGCGGGCGAAGATCGCTGCTCCGGGAAATACTGGGCGAAGGAGGCCCTCGCTATCGGTTGCTCCGCCACGGCGCCGACGTAGAAGACTCGATCCCGGAGGAGGACACGCGCATGATCCTTTGACCGCGGCATTATCGCAATGACGCCAGAGTAGGCCCGCAAGCCGCTTGTGCAGGGACGGATCGATGATGTTCGTGCCCGAAAGCATGGCGCACAAAGGATGAGATGCGAATGGCACGTCGTCGCAATGCGTAAAGGGCGAGGCTGTGTCGCACAGACGGCTCGGAGATGCTAGAAGAGGAGTCCTCGGAGCGGAATCCACGGTAACCCGGAACGTAACCTCGGAGATGCGCGAAAACATGACAATTACTTGTGTTCGATCGGCGGTGTCCCGAGCGCAGCAAGGCGGTTGTCAGGCGTATAAAGGCTAGCTTGTGAATGCGAACGGCACCGCGTCCCGGTGGTGGCATCGTGACGCTTATGCCGTGCCGAGGGAACCGCCGAAAGCGACACTTGGGGTAAACGGCCGACCTCAGCGCGACAGTCGCCATAAATACGGAGACGCCCGCGGCGTTGTTTTGAGTGCTCGCGGGCTGTCTCAGGGTTGTCGGCTGCAATGCTACCATCGCAAGGGAGTCTGTGTACTGAACGTCTGACAGAGCTGTCATTGATACTTAGATAGAGGGGGATGTGGGACCTCAATGAGCGACGTACGAGGATCCTGGGCGGTTTCCGAGCCTGGGAGTGTCGTCGCAACCGTGACTTCACGGCGGAGGAGATGTCTGGGATAATGAATGGTCGCGAAACCCAGGTGTCCACCACGTGCGCTAGTATTACCAGGCGAGCGGTATCAAAGCATAAAGCTTCCAACAAGCCGACGATAATTCAGGCCGGTCTTGAGAATGTTCTTCCCCGCTGGGTCGCAAACCGGCACGAGCTGGCACGACGCGTCCAAAGATGAACACGGTTTGCGAGCGTCGGACTGGCTCGTTCTGGTAAGTTAGCTCCTGTCGTACCTTGGAACCACTCTGCGCCTGATCGAAGGGTGCACGGCCAAAGAGGAGTCCTGCGGAGATGCAGGAAATGGCCGGACACGAACAGTTTCGAAGGCTAAACGAAGTCACTGAGATGGGCCTTCTAGTGCGGAAAACGAGCGCGCCGGACGACCTAACACGTACCTGCAGCTGTCGGAGATAACTGGGCTAGTGCACGATTGGCAGACTTCTCTCAGCGTGGCGTGAGAGCACGAGTTCGCTTGGATGTACGGACTTTGGCAGGCGCATGGCGTCAGGCAGAAAGACATGGGCGGTCATGGCGAACGCTGCGGAGCGTCGGCGAGAGAAGAAATGTCCCAGCGCGGGAGGCCACGAGCCAGGGGACGGGCCTGGGGGAGGACGCTGGTCGGGAATGCAACGGCGGCCGTCGCGCTTCTGCTCCCAGAACCGGCGAGCGCGCGGGTGGACGGGCGCCAGACGTTCGGACTCCCATTCAAACGGACTCTCCGCTTTGAATTCTCGGCTGGTTACCCCATACATTTTCGTGGGGGACCCAGGGAAATCCCCGTCCGCATGTCCGCAATGGTGTTCGTGGGAGCCAGATGGATCATGACGAGAGCTGGGGGTGCGCAGGATCAGCTGTCGACGCCTCCTGAACAGCAAAAATCGGAGGCGACAAATATACGCACGGGCTAGATCAGGATCACTCGCGCACGCCGTGCCTTGGCCAGGCGAGTCATCTAAATGCACCCAGACAGCTCGTTCCTGCCACTTCTCATCAGAGCTGGACGGTCCCGGCGCGGGGGGAGGAGGAGGATAGCCACGCCTCCGACGAAGGTTCCGCGCGTGAATCTCGGTCGGCCCTCGCTTGTGGTAAGCGCGCTAACCATCCAATCGCCTCGTGGACTCGCTCGCCTCTCGCGGAAAACATCAAACCATTTCCCGTTTTACACCATGAACTGAGATCGCGGAACAGCGCCCACTCGCATTTCTCCCAGCTACCCCACCCGTCCGCGGGGTGACTGCACCAAGCGCTCGCGGAGTACGCCCCCATGATCCCTACCACCGCCACCAAGGCGTAACTATCCTCAGCGCGTCGACGCAGGGACACGCTCGCAAGCGGACGGCGACCTCGAGAGTGCCCAGGGTCGTACGGGATAGAATCCCGGAGGGCAAGGTTATCGTTCTCAATCTGAGGAGATTCCCGGGATTGGGGGTTTCCCTGTGACAACCTGCTCTTTTCGACGACTTCCCATGCCGGTGAGTATCCAGTACGTGAGGAATTTGTCAGAGTTGTTGATATCTCCCGGCTTCTAGCAGATCTATCTGCGCGTCTCCCAGCGAATTCTTACCCGTGGCCATCGTGGGCATGAGACTGCTCTGGCTTCATAGGCACTTCTCGCGTGGCTTTCATATCTATCCCCTCCCTCTTCAACTCCCCATGTTTTGACGCCGCCGGTTCTTCCGTCCACCAACCTCCTCGCACCCCTCCCTCCCAGCATGGTCGCTAGCTCAAACGGCGACCTCTACAGCCCTTTCTCCCACATGCCATCCATGGAAGAGGGCGTCCAGTCTAGTGAAGAAGGGTCTGTGCTTCACTCTCCTATATATGACCCTCCCTACGCTACGCCCGGCGGTACGTACACCTTATCCGGAAGTGGCCCGCCCGACGTTCACATGCACGATTGGCTTGAAAAAGGCCGGTATCCCGATCACCTTGGTCACTTCGACTGCGATAGTCAGCTACTACCGCCTTCCTCGACATTTGACGCCCGCTATTCCGTGCCGACCATGGACCCGCAGGCCCGAGATCCCCATTTCCTGGAGACCCTACAGGTCCCGAGCCCAACGACCGTTCACCATCACCTCTCGCCCACTCATCCGTCGACCGAACTCGCTCTTCATCATGGACACGCGATGCTCGATATGGCTGGACCGTCTTCTCGTCTTCAGTCAGCTGTCGGCCCCTCTGCGTCCGATTATTCTATGCATCTGTCCCAGGCGAGGCTTCCAGAGCAGCAACTCAGAATGTCTGGTGATCCGCTACCCTCGTTGCCTTCCAGACACTCTGTCGGGATGCCTTCTTCGCAGTCGAAACCCCAGATTTCCTTGCCGTCTGCTTCTGGCCCGGCGAGGAATAATCTGTCGGAAAGTCCTTCGAGTCAGAGTCGTCCTCCGAGACGAGAGGCCTCTACCGTTGTGATAGCTTGTCGGCAGTGGTGAGCAGACTTTCCGCTTCGCGCCTCATTAAAAGAACGAGCCCTGAATCTGTTGACATCCCAGCCGCGCTCGGAAGATACGTTGCGACTCCACTCGGCCTTTTTGCCACAACTGTCTGCGGCGGAACAACGAATGCGTGTACGATGCCGTTCCGAAGCGACGTGGGCCCGACAAACGCCCCGGAACCAGACAACGCTCATGCAAGAAGCGGCCTGCGGACGCAGAACCTTCCTCTGCCTCAGCCAAGAAGAAGCGAAAGACTACTGCAGAGGGTGAGAGTGGTATGCTCTCGTTCGATGTCAAAGTGAAGGAGAACGTAACAGGCGGCGCCAGGAGTGCCCATTTCCCGTCGCGAGGTGCAATGGATGACCTGAACGCGACGCACATGCCGCCACACGGAGGGTTGTACATCAACACCTCGATACCTCCTCGCGGCACAGGCTCCGACGTAATATACCCAAAAGTGAGTCTCCTCGTCGATCCTGCGTGAGGAATGGTTTTCGACGCCAAGTATTTATGCAGTCGACGGTAGGATGAGCTCTCCCCATCGTTTCGACGCTCGTCAGTAATCATGAACTTCCCCGACTCCGACACTTCCTTCGCTCGCCCCGTCGATGTTAATGTCTCTCGACTTCAGCCCAACACTCACGACAACCCTCCATTCGTTTCACACTCTCCTCCGAACTATGGTTCCACCTCTTGGTGGGACGAACTCCTTGAACAGTACAGTCCGAGTGGCCCAGAACAATCGTAGGCGTTACTCCGCCTTCTGCCTTCACATCAACTCACTTTTCTACGATAGCTTTCAAGATATTATAACCGATATAACTTTCCTGTACGTATTGTCGTACAACGCCGTTCCGTCGGTATACTGACACGACGCCGCCAGATTTTCGACGAGCAGCTACTGGCTTTCTTTCGTTTGTTTACCTATACTCATCCGCGACCTCGGCGACCCCACCCAACGAGGCCGCCTGCAGCCGTTCATAATGTCCGCTCTTGCGATGGCCATGCTGATGAAGTCGAGCGAACTGGAGTGTGGCCCCAAGGGACGCGACTTGGCTTGTTTGTTCCATCAACGTGCCAAGGCTTCCCTCCTTTCTGCCTGCAACAGCCAATCCGTTGACTATACCCTCGCGGAAGCTGCTCTCGTGCGTCTTTGCTTCCTCACCTGAGCTGGCGACCTTGCGGCTTACTGGTGCGATAGATGCAAGCTTTGTTCGAGTCATCCGCCCACCCCAACTACTCTTCCAAGGAAGCGACCAGCGCTCTGGAGCTGCTCGACAGGATCATCCATGTTCTCTCCCTTACGTCCATGGACCGTGGTGACTCTTCCGCCAGCAGCTTTCACCGGGGGTCAGCACCTATCGTGGACACTGGTCACGGGCACCGGCGGCCAACGACTTGCATCTGCACCGGTCACCTGTTTACACCGAACTCTCCCTCCGATCCCAAGTACCTCTCCCAATCCTTCTCGCCACCTTGGGACCCGCAGTGGGGCGAGGAGGAGATCCGCAAGGAGGAATGCCGCAGGCTCTGTTGGTGTGCTCTCACACTCGTGTCCACGTACACTGCGCAATGCGCCGCCTTCCATACCGAGCCGATGGAGTTCAGACTCGCGGACCCTGCCAACGTACGTCTCTTCGTCCCTTCCCACAAGTCCACAAGTCCACCATGCTCATGCGCGCGCGCTCTGTTATCTGATAGTACGTACTGCTCTTCCCGGGCGAAGCCTTCGAGCGCGCGACGAACCACCAGCACGCGTTCGGCCAATCTCCGAAGGAGTCCGTGTGGGCGCTCTACTGCCGCAGCATGCTTCTGTGGAACAGCAGCAGCATCATACAGCGCGACGACACTCTCGACCCGGATGACCGCGCGCGGTTTGCTATCGACGTGTTCCATGAGACGCGGGACATCCAAGACGCGCTCCGCATGCATACGTGCAACATGGACACCGGGCTTGCGTACGTGTGCCGTGAGTACCTCTACGAGTGCGTGTTCTGTTCCGTCTGTACCGCATCTCCGGGATGTGCCTCGTTGACGTATTCCGCTGCGCCTTGTCACTTATGCAGCACTCGGATGACCATTACGTACGAACTCCGCCGGTAAGTCCTCTGCATCCGTGCATTCCTTCCCAACCCTGAACGACTTTAGTAGACTGCAAGACGGTGACGCACCTGCCCTTCCGCCCATATTCAACCGCCGCCAGGCCGAGGAGTGGTGTACGTTCCCAGCCCACGTCATCGCGCGTCGCGAGCTCACGCGCGCCGCCCGTTCCCACCGCAGTGTTCTACCAGGGCCAGGTCGCGAACCGCGCGTACCAGTCCGTGCACCAGCTCGGAAACCCCGAGGGCTACCTGTTCGCCCGGCGCCCCTTCCAGGTCACTTGGTTTGCGAACCAGGTCGCCATCGCGCTCGGGCTGTGGGAGTACGACCACGGGCTCATGAGGGCGCTCGACCTCGCGAAGCAGTTCCTGGTCCCGCTCGACGTCCTCAACGCGATCTGGCCGTGCCCAGGTGAGTCCCGCCGGGACCTCGCCCGCACCGCGCGCGTCTGCTCACACGAAGCTCCCGTCCGCCTCGTAGCGCAGGCGTCACACCGGGACGAGCTCCGTCGCAGGCTGCATGACGCATGTGTGGCCGCGGGCCAACCTCCGCCTCCGCCTATCCAAGCGCACCTGCCGGCCATGCTCCAGACGCACTCGGCCCAGTGAACGGCAAACCGCACGCTGCACACACACCGCTATCATCTCGAACGTCGACCGGCCTCGCGAAGCCCAGATACCACCACTCCTACCCTTCCGCTGTACATTTACTATCGCGCCGCCGACCCCGTCCCTCGTTCACATCTCTATCTCCGTCGCTCTCGCTATGCCACTCCCGTAACCCCGTTCTTTATACCACAGATCCGTTGTAGCCTATCCGTTCGTGTATCATCCCCCTCACGTCCACTGTCATTCACGCGCTCAGGACCGTTTACCCATTTACCCCTCCCCTGCCCAGTATACCACCTTCCGGATCGGATCGCTCTCGCTCTGTCTATGTATGCTTACCCCTCGATATCCCTCTCCGACACTCTCGGTGCCATATACCTCGGAACGCCTTTTAATGTGATGCCCCCTGGCCAATGCCATCCCCTATATTCTAAATACTCGCAGCCCTGTGCCGGCCGCCCGAGCCGTCCAAGTATACAACGTCGACACCGCATCCGCGATAGGCACACGCCCTAAAGAAACACTAGGGCACGGCCGCAAGGGGCAGCGCGGGCGCCCCTGCGGCCTGCTTCGCGCGCAGAACTTGATCACGAAGAACCATCATGGCCTGCACGTCCCGCTTCCACGCGGCGAGCTCCCCGCCCCACCCGCCGATGCGTCTGTGCTTCCCGCCGGCGAGCACGCCATCGACGCGGAACGGCTCCGCGTACCGCTTGCGGATGACCGAGTGGTTGCTGAGGCACCTGCGCGCGCACAGAAGGAAATTAATGGGCGTCAGCCTCCGGCCTCCCGTGCACGTCTGTGAACTTCCGAACGACAGATCGTCTCCCGGAGCCGCAGCCGCGGCCGCGCTGCGGCGCGGAGATGAAGCGGGCGTGCGCAGCGCGTGGACGAGGGAAGCGGAAGCAGGGGGGTGGGGTATCATGAGTATATCATATATCACGTACCACCAGATGATGCTGTCGCGCGAGAAGAACACCTCCCGCGCCCTCTCCTCGCACCCCGGGCTGCACGGAGGCGCGAGCCGGAACAGACGGATGGCGGTCCGCCAGCACAGCCGCGGGAAGTAGAGCAGCAGCGGCGGGTCCAACCCTGCAACATAGTGATAATTTTGCGGCCCCGGTGGGGTCAGCTGCAGCTCGGGGGGCGTGCTGTGGGGCATGGGCGAGGCTTACAGATGATGTCCGTGGCCGCATCGGTGATGAGCCCCCCAAGCTTGTTGGTGTAGTTTCCGTCGATGACCCAGCCGTGAGGGGTTTGGTCGAGTGCAGCGCGGACCTTCGCGCAGAACTCGTCGCGCGTGGCTTCGCGCCAGTTAGGGCCCCAGTAGAGGGTGTCGAGCGAGATGAACGGCAGATTCAAGACGGCGGCAAGCTCTGCGCCGAGCGTGGACTGCGTAGAAGAACTTCTTCGAGCAAAATCTCTGGAACGGCGAGAAGGGCAACGCGTACCTTTCCAGTTCCTGTGCCGATGTGTGAATGGGCTGCACTATTGTGGTCGAGCGAACGTAACACGTACCGCTATTCCCTACTATGTGAACGCGGAAATTGCCTGCGGCATCCCCGAGCAGGGGAGGTGGCGCTGCAGGAGCCAATTTAGTAGCTGGTCCTCCGAAAGACGATGAACCGAGGTATACATTGGACCAACGCGGACATTTGGCTGGTCTCAGACAGCCGGCGACGATGACGGTGGGTTCAACGCAACAGCCAGAACCATCAGCTCTTCATGCGCGTATATATCCCCCAGCAACGGGTGCTGGTCGGAGTCAACCTTGACGTTGGCCCCGGGACCGACGAGTCGGAGCACGCGCGAGGCTGTGCGTCCGCCGAATTTTGGCCCTCGGGTGCGGGCGTTGTCTAGATAGCACAGCTGGGAGAGCGGCATATCAAAAGCTTCTAAGGAGCCGTGAGTCCCGAGGTCGAGTGTTCAAGTCGCATTATTGTCATATTTACGTGTTCACTTTCCATCCGATCCCTTGGCGGTCTACTCTCCCAGTCTGAACGCATTTGATAACGATGGGTTGAGGGCGTGACGAAAATATGAGAGTTGACGCAAGAAGCGCTTTGAATATTTTGTACATGGAATATGATGATAAAGTAACTTAGTGAGGACTACTGTTAGTACGAGGCCGAGTCGAGACTATCTACGGTGATGATGGTAGCAAGTATACATACGCGTACATTAGGCTATTTTTGTTTGCTACTAGGGAGAAGGACACTAGGGATTATATGGTAGACGGGTACCGTAGCGAAAGGGCCCCGGCCTAGGCAGGGCCCGCCGTGATTAGTGTAAGCTGAGGTAGGAGGAGAGAATGAGGAGGCGGGCACGGATGCATGACAAGACAGGAGCCGCGAGCAGAGCGTGCATGTGCCAGAGGATGTCGGTCTTCAGCTCGATACGCCTCCGGGGCGGAGCTGCGCTCAGAGGTTGTGTTGTTCGATATATCGCATAATTATCAGCGACGCGAGCAGCTCTGCAGGATCATGCGTTAAAAAACGCGTCACAATCAAAGGCCGGTCGAGGAGAGACGTACCGCCGACGAGGTGAGGGTAGGCCTCCTCCACAGTGAGCATACAGCCCGACGAGCCCGAGTACTGAGGTTCTCCGGCGGGCTTCATGCTGTAGGTCGCGATGTGGTACCCGCTCCTAGCATTTACACACTGAACAAAGAAAACGCACACCCACGTCAGTATTGACGTCAACCCTAATCACGCGTAGAGCCTCACCTGCCACTCGCCGTTGGCCTGCAGGGTCCAGCGGTAATCCTGACCGTCGGATGCCCGGAACTTGCGCGCCCTCGAGCTGTGGCGCGCGCCAGACGCGTCAGTCAAAATTTCCTTGCATACACATGTCACGGACACGCACCTCCCCGACTTGGCCAGGTAGTCGCCCATCGGGACGTGCGCGCCGTCGCCGATTTTGATTGTGCCCAGGGCGTTGCTTGCGGGAAAGTCGAGGGTGGCGAGTGGCAGGAGGTAGCCGCCACGGCCGGCGCCGGACGCGCGCGAGGAGAGGTCGTATATTACATAGGCAGAGTGCGTCGCGTCGTTGAGGGTCTGCTTGAGGCTGAGGTGCATGCGGTTGTGGAGGTCGACGAACTCGGAGCCGGTGACGCGGCCGGTGGTGTCCTCGAGGAAGAAGGGCATGCCGAAGGTGGTCATGGTGGTAGATGTACGTGGGTGCGGGCGGAGATTGTTCAGAGGGTGGCGGGGCCTCGAGGTCAAGGAGGCAGTATCGGAAGAAAGGAGTGCGGCGGGTGCGGGACACAGGGGTCGCGTGCGGATATTAGGACAAAGCTAGTAGGATGAGGACAGCGAGCGGTAAGGGGGAGACAGGGGAGGCGTCGTGCGAGGGAAAATTAGGGGCGGAAGTAGGAGGGCGTGAGGAGGGGGCGGGGAATATATAATGGAGGGTCGAGACGAAGACGAAGGAGGGCAGCTCGCCGTGTCGCGATCGGAGGACGTTGTCTGAATTGGCGCGGCTGCTGGACCCGGACAGGCTAATCTATATATGGCGAACGCCCCCTCCGCCCCTTGCGCGCACACAACCTCCGCCAATTTCCATCGTCCGCCCACGATCTCCCCTCCTCTCGCCGCCGACGGCGATAGCGATGACGACCATCGCAATATTCAACCACCCCTCTCGCCAACGTCTGCACATCCTCCTGCCCGCTCCTCGCTCTTTTCAACCCATCACATACATGACCAAGCACTATACGCTAGTCCAGATCACCCCCCTCGCGCCCGATACTGGCAACGGAGGACGCTTGGTGCCTTGGTTTAGCACATCGAGGGCGCTGAGCTGGCGTCACCGCCGACCTCGAGGACACGAAACAAGGCGAAACAGCAGCAATCGCCGCACCGCAGCCGCATGTCACCGTCCCCCGTCGGCCCGACGGCGCACCCTCGATGCCGCCCGCCAGGGTCGGGCACGGGCACGGAGTGCCATGACGATCTGCGCCGTTGCATTCCGACTCGCCCTCCTGAAACACGACGGACCATGCGCTCCCCCGCGGGCCTCCTGCGTATGCCTCGCCCGGGTATATTTACGCCGCCGCCCGTCTGCGTACACAACTGTGTCACCCGCGCGCCGTCACGTCATTCATTCCTCCGCGCAGCTTCTCCACGGAGGGTGGCTATAGTGCGTATTAGTGCGTGCATCCTTCCTGTTGACCATGACAGCGGCTTCGGAGGCGCACCGTGTCGCCATCACATCCTGCCGCTTCATGTGCCCCCACTTTCGGTGCGTGATCGTGCGAGACGCAGCGCGCAGCGCGGGAGAGCGCGGGGCTGGCAGCACCTTCCTTGGCGGATGTACCCGAGTCGTTTCGTAGACGCAGATCGTCGCGGAGTCGACCTCCATCACGTTCCAAGCACCAGCCCGAGCAGTTCGGACTCCTCACCACTTGATATATCCTTTCAAGGCCCCTAACTGCGACGCGGTCGCGCCGACCCCAGCTCCTTCTGGCATAGGGCGGGCCCTCTTCATGCCGTCGCGCGAGTGCTGCTGCGTGGCCATGCTGTGCCCGGCCTTCACACCGCTGCTCGCGGTCACCGCAGTGGCCGCACGGCATCTGCGACCCTGCACAGGTACCCGCGCCGCGTAGCTCGGCTGTAGAGAGGAGTGAGTCAAGCGCGCTGTGCGCAGCGACGGACCCATGCTAGCTGGATGGGCGGGGTTGCTGCATTTGTGAGCCGAGCGCCGTGCTCGTCGATCCAGACTCTGGACTCTGTAATGATGGGCTCCCCATCGACGTCGTGTAATCGCCATTTGACGGGTCTCCTAGTGGAAGCGACGGCGCACCTGGTGGGTCCGATTGAAGCAGTTCGCGAACTACCGAGCTATCGTGGATAAGCTTCGCGGCCGGCGGTGGTAGAACTTGAAGTTTCACCTATACTTACTGCTGGAGGCTAACCAAGCAAATCTTCGAGAAGGTACATACCACCAGGAGATAGACCAAGGAAGGCAAGTGCTGTATTCGAATTCTCTTCATCTCGCCGTTTCAGCCGTCTTCGGAGATCCAGTGTTAGTTTGAGCTTCGTTATATACCGTTGTTTCGAGCATGTCTTCCAGTCCCAACCTGTCGATCAAGCTATCGTTCTGCGGTTTGAGCAAACCCAAGTGTCGCATAGAGAACAAAGCATCCCTGAAAACGCTAAACATGACATCTTGCGGCGCAAACGCGGAGCGGCCGATGCTGCATACAAGACCAGGAAGCACGACGTGATCATAGAGCGAAAAACAACAAACGTACAGACATAGCACAATCCATTCAGTCCCGTCCCCACCGCGCGCCCGGACGGTCCCTCCTAGCGTTCTCTTCCCAGCGAAGGCGGTCCCGCTCGCGCTCCTTGTTTCGCTCCTCTTCGCCGTACTCCCGTTCGTCCACTCGCCGACGCACTGGCGAGGTCCTCGACCGGCTACGCACACGTTCTATATCTCCACGCCGCCCATGTCGGTCCCGCGAATGCTCCCTTCGCCGCGGAGACCGCGACCGCTCACGATCCCGAGAGCGATGGTGCCGCCGCGGCCCTTCATCGTCGCTGGACGCATCCTCCCGCCCGCGGTGCCGCTCCGCGCGTTTCAGTTCCTTCTTCTCCTTCTTGAGCCGCTTCTCCTCCTTCCGCTGCGCCTTGCGTTTCCGACGCTCCTCCTTCTCCGGGTCCAGCTCGTCGAGCCCCGCGGTTGCCCGCGGGGGGACAGCGATCGCGTTTGCGCCCGTGCCCGTCCCAGAGCCGCTGGCCGCCGCTGCCCCGGCGGGTTTCGCTCCGGGGCCAAAGCCACTGGGAGCCATGGTTAGCACGAGAATGGGGACGCGTTGGGGGCGGGATGGAAGACGTACAGTGCGGCGGCGATGGCCTCTGCTTCGGCCTCCTTGATCTTCCTAATCTCTTCTTGTCGCTCGGCCTCCGTCTGGTCCGCGTCGCGCGAGTACCAATGGATGTCCTTGTTCTTCTGCCACCGTCCAGTCGGCGCGTTGATACTGTGCCCAAGGTAGTTCTAGGGTCCATGACATGTCAGACTTTGCTCTATACGCGACGAGGGAGTGAGAAGCCGTACCTCACGGTCCTTGTCCTGCGAGACGTCTGACCATTTGAATTCAGCCTGGCCGCCACGAGTGCCTCCGCGCACGGGTTCAAACATCAGAGATACAAACACTCAATCCAGTATACTCAGCAGTGAAGTTATGAGCGCGGCAAGCCGAGAACGTGACGAGCTTGACGGGAGAGAGTGGTAGAGGAGGGTAGAGGTCGTTCAAACGTACGTTGGCGGCGCCACCAGCGGCCAGCAACGAGCGTCTATGACACCCATACTCCCAAAATGGTAACTAGGAAAGACCATGGCCACACCGAGCGTGGACGTCACACAAGAAGCTGCTCACGTTTTGGATCTACGTGTCGAATGCTACGCACTCATGTAACGTAGATGTAATGATATGCAAAGTGACCCCATGGTCAGTAAGATTGCCATAATACAAAAATCGCTCGCGGATCTCAAGTAATCTGATGAGGTCCTGCCCTCGAACTCTCGTTGACAGATTTTCATTACGGGCTCCGGCCAAAACAACACCGACAGCATAGCCGTGAGTACACACAAGTCCATATATTGTCAAGTGAGACCGTATGCAAACGACTATACCAAGCTGAGTCACCCCACTCTTGTACATGTGCGCACCCCGACAGCAACGTGCAAGCTACAGAAAAAGAGCGCAGCAGGCCGACCGCAACAGAGGACACAGGTGTCGTGAGATATATGTACAGTACTCACGACCGCATAGATGCGCCCAGCCCGAGCTTCGTCTTCTTCATAATAGCAGTGAGCGGGGCATCCAGCCCACCCGAGAGACCGATGCGGTCTCCGTCGGTCCAGCCCATAGCAGCCAGCATCTTGAACCCCATGTTCGACGCTCCAATCTTCGGTGCCTCCTGCGTTGGCCAGATGTCAGCGAGCATGCCTCCGCGAGATGGGAAGGATCACTTACTTTGCCAACTTCCTCTCCTTCCCGATGTGTCGCGAGCGACATCGTCTTCGACCTGCCCTTGCCCCCGCTGCCCGGACCCTGCCAAGCGCCGCCCGTCGCCTCCCGCAGTATGCGTCGAATCTTCCCCTCCTGGATGCCAACCCCGCTCTTCGACGTCTTCGTGAGCGTGGTGTAGCGCGTGTTGCCCTTGCCCTTGCTCTGGCTCTTCAGGTTGAACGCCATGGCAAGCTGGTGTACCTGCGCCCGCGTCTCCTTGTTCGCCGGCGGGAGTGCCATCGTGTTACTGCCACCGATGTCGGCGAGGAAGCGCCGGATTTGCTGCTCGAGCGAGACGAGGTCGGTGACGCGGTTCGGGAGGTCGGCGTCGGCGTCGGCGCGCGCCGCAGCGAGCATGGCCTTGCGCCCCTTCTTGCCGCCTTTGTGCTGCGCGAGGGGGTCGGCGGCGAGTTGCATTCGCTCGAGAGCGCGCTTCCTCTTGTTCTCTGCCTTCTTCGCGCGGTCTTTCTCCCATTGCTCGCGAAGTTCGGGAGGCATGTCTTTGTCCTTGGCTCGTTCTGCGGATATGCGTGAGAATAAGCCATACCGCTATCAGAGAGTCACGTACTGGCAGGCGTCATGGAGTCGGCGAACTTGTCGCTTTCGGCCTGGAACGTGCCGTCCCGAATTGCGCTGAAGAGCTTCTTTTTCTCTTTCCTGTTTCTGGACTGCAGGATGTCCTGGTTCTCCAGGAGGATTGCCTGCACTGTAGTGAGTCGAACAGATTCGGAGGTATTGGCACTCGCACGAACCTCGATGGTGTCGATGAAGTCTTCATCATCGTCCGCCCATGTCATTTGTACCGACATGGCTTCGTCGCTGGAATCATCTGAGTCTTTGGCTCGTGCTTTACCCTTCCCTTTGCTCGTACTGGAGCGTAGGCGTTCCAGCCTCGCCTGGAACCCGCGCTTGGGAGTCTCTTCATCGTCCGAATCATCCTCCTCATCGTCTTCATCTTCGTCGCTTTCTTCGTCATCCTCATCTTCGCCCTCCTCGCTGTGTCGCACTTCTCCACTACCCTCACCTCCAGCATTGCCCCGGCCGGCTTTGCTACTACGCGCCGCGCCTTCGTCCTCACTTTCGCCGATGAGTTCCGCCTCCCCTGCCCGTATGATGGCTTCGATTTCATCATCTCCACTCTCGCTCTCGGACTCGCTCTCGGACTCGCGGTGACTTGCAGTAGGCCCATTGCGCGTCTTGCTCGCACCAGCCTCCTCTTCCTCTGCAGACTCCGCTCCGCGCACAGGCTCCTCTTCGTCCTCCTGCCTCATGCGTTCCATATCCGCGACGTCGTCCATCGTGACGTGCTGCGAGCCCTCCGCGCTCATGCTGTACGCGAACCTCTTCATCGCTGCGAGGTCGATACCCTCGTCGATCTCCATGTCGCCGATTCCGGTCGACAGCTCCTCCACGCCGTCCTCCTCGTCCGAGTCTCCCCAGTTCACGTCCGAGTCCCCGCGGCGCTGCTCGTCGCGGCGCGGGTCTACCTCGTGCAGCAGCGCCTCCTCGTGCATCGCGCCGTATGAACCGAACCCGCGCAGGGGCTTCCGCCGGGCTTTGCGGGAGTGCTTGAGCAGCGAGCGGGGCGTGCCGACGGGGTGGAGGCGGCGGGCTACTCTCCCGGGCGTGGCAGTGTCGAGCGAGCTGAACACGAAGTTGTCGAATAACGGTGGCGGGGGGAGGTCTGCTGCGTCCGGAGCGACTCCGATCTCAGAAGGCTCTGGCGCGGGCGAAGGCTCTTCCGGGAAGAGCGTGTCCAGCGATAGTTGGAAAGCAGGAGTCGGTTGGCCCGCAGGGTGCCCACCAGCTGCTTCCGGTACGTGTGGTTTCGAAGGGGCAGTGGAGCCGATGGGAAGCCCTGTAATGATGGAGGTGGTGGGTATGAACGCCGGCGTTATGGGTTCCGTAGGGGCAGCAGGGACGGGTGTGGGTCTATCGTGGCGAGGATGAGGGGCAACGTATACGATGACATCGTCATCGTCGCTCGCTTCGCCAAGAGTACCATGGAGTTGATTTGTTGCAATTTGCTGACCGCGAGCGGCAGACAGAATGGCCATGGGGGTGGTATCGACGAAGAATGCCGTCTCTTGCTTCACGGAGACGGTCTGGGAAGCTTTCGCCGATGCGCCTGCAGCTCTGCCAGCATCGACAGCGGCTTGAATCTTCCCGATGTCAGCAAAGTCGAATTCCTCCAGCTCTTCTTCGCCGCCAGAAGAGTGGGCCACATTCTCCGGAACCGCTTTGAATATGCGCGAGACGGAGTCGGCCGTAGGGACATGGCTCTTCTCGTCTCCATCCACTATGCCGGATATTAGCGAATGTACGTTCCATAGCGACCGCACGACTGACCGGCTGCTTCCACGACAGGTTGGAATATTTCTTCTGTCTGAGTGAACAGCGTCGCAGTATGTACAGACCGCACGAATTTGATCGGTTTGAGCAAGTTGTTGCTCTGGTACAGTTGTTTTGACAATGGTGCACCGGGATTGAAACTCTGAGGTTTGCCGTACATCTGCCGTACGCCGTTTGGGATGTTGCTTTCACCCCGACCCAATCCGCGTGGGGAGGAGTGCCCTCTCTGTGGGGTGTTGGTTCCGGTCCCGGAGAGGGAATACGCGCCTCGCCCGCGTCCTCGAGCGCGGGGGCCTCCAAAGCCTCGAAAGTCGCCTGCGCTGGGCGGACTATCTGAATTAAAATTGAGCTATTTTGTCCCAGATTTTGAGTCTAGTGATACTGATAGAAAAGACGCACTGCTGGGCCATTGTTGGATAGGAAAATCGAAGTCGTCCAGGGTAACGTATGCTTGGCCGCCTCCGCCTCTACCTCGACCATTTCCTCGGCCACCAAAAGCACCGCGTCCTCGTCCCCTGGATTGGTCAGGATTAGACCCGCGACGACCTCCGCGTCCGCGACCTCCTCTTGCCATAGCTTAGTGATACACTTGTGCAGGAACTTGTATGGTGAATAGCGATACAGAGATGAGCGCTCTAGATCCAGACAGACCGGTAGTAGATGTACAGTTCACAGAAAGCAAGTAAGCAAAATGCGATGAGAACAGAGCTGGAGAAAGAGAGTCGGGTCGAAGTCAACGTTGGGCTCGCGGGGCACTCTACCGAGCCGAATCTGACTAGTGGAGATCTAGGCGCCAATGGCGTCGGAGCGGGCGCCTAGGCCACGACGCCGCCTGACGTTGCGCTGCGGTAGATCCTGCGGCAGACCACCACTTGAACTCGTTCCCACTGTGCTCTCAGTAAACTTGCTTTCTAAGCGTAACAGATGCAGTCTGAGCAGCTTCTTCATGACCGCGTAAACCTGGCGCGGCTCGTTCGCAGACTGGAGAAGACTGTTTCGAGCCAGACATGGCCGGACGAAGTGGCTGAACCGTATCCCACACCGACGTGGATCACTACCCGGCGGACCTTGCAGGTATATCTTGACCACTCCAACTCCACTGTTACAGGGTAATGGACTCGATCACGCAGAAAGTGAAGCACGCGCGCAAACTGTTGCAAAATGTGGAATCAAACGAGGATGCTAGTGATTCGTAAGTCTATGTCAAGCCTCATTCCGTGCCACGGACTAATTGGCAACCTCGACACCATAGTTCCTCACTACGGCGATATGATGACTACCGTAACGCTTTGGATCGTCTGGAGATCATTGTAGCCGAAGCAGATAAAGTGTGTACCCTCTTTCCAATGTTAGTTGCGTTTGCTACTCATTCATGCACCGCTAGCGGCATTCCCTCAAAGTGACACGACCGGAACCAATACTACCTTCCATACCCCCTCCTCCCATTGTGGATCAAATTCTTCCCCCGGAGATCACCGCAGACCCACAGGATCCCTCCACGACACTCCTCCCGGCGGAACCGACTTCGAGCATCGCCACTCACGAACTACTTCTCAGCCCGTCAGACCCAGAACTATTCTCGAGGGGCCCTATCAATCCGGCAGAAACACTACTCCCGCCCTCCCTCCCCGCGACATCCGAGAAGTCCACTGCCCAAGCCGCGCCAGCATTCTTGCAGAACTCCGCCTCGTTGCACGAGGAACTGTCGGCTCAGCTCGCGCAGATGGCCACCCAGCTCAAGCGAAACGCCATACATTTCGCTGACGCGCTTGACAAAGACAAGGCGGTCGTGTTGGACGCGCAAGAGAAACTGGAACGCAACCACGACGTTATGAGCAAGGAGAGAGTGCGGCTACGGGACCATCAGTCGAAGAGCTGGGGCACGACATGGATAACTATGCTCAGCATCGTCGTTGCACTGGTCGGATTCCTTCTTACTTTCTTTGTCATACGTTTCACTTGATGGTTTTCAGCTCTATCTGTTCGTCATGGCCACGTTGTATACCTTGGGTTTACGCATTGGACTTATACATGCATCTTACACGGCAGACGCTGGTGAAGCAAGCAAAGATGCGACTTGGTATTGGCTTCGTCGGCCCGCGGTGCAGTGCAGCATCGGCGGTTCGGTATGGCCAAACGCGTTCCAAACTTCGTCCCGAGTTGAAGTGCAAGGCGTTAGTTGGCGAAAATGTGCGTGCGTTTGTTCACCGTCTCTCACACTCCCCGTGAAAACAGTTTTGATCCTATCTAACAGCGCCGACGCCCCTCCTAAACGCTGTTGCTAACACATTCGCTCGAGATGATCTTCTGCGAAGCCAGCGGAGTGCATAGCCTGTCAGGCCGAACTGCAGTGCCTCAGCACAAGGTTCGTTCTCCGGTCCGAGTCTACAAATACGCGCTGCGCCTCCCAACCACAGGCAGGACAGACACGTCCTAGGACACGGACGCCGCAGAAATCGGCACCCCGAAACTATGCGACCGCGCTATCCTGGCGGGTACCTGGAGAACAGCGCGCTGTGGGTAGGCGAAGCCGATTATAGTTCGTGTGCGTCGCCCCGGGCCACATCTCCGCGCTGCTGGCTGGTGCTTCCTCAGGATACCGGGGCCGGGGGCGAGCACTGCGGGCGGCATCAAAGCTGATAGGTCTCGAGAGCGCGAGCGCACGTACCCATCACGTACATTTCATCTACGTTGAGCGTCGGGATGACGCGAACGTGCTCTGGGTCCGACGGCGCCACAGGCAGCGCGGATTCGAGAAAACTGCGCTCGGGAGGACCGTCGCGAATGCCGGAGGGAACTATCCGAGAGGTCTGGATGTCTGTCCATCTGTCTAACGTTCGTTGTGAGGACGAGGGGCAAGCAGCTGATTGCTAAAATCAGCTGTCTTCCGACACGCGTTTGGTGCTCGCGATGGGTATGAACTTACTACTATGAAGATATCCGCAGGTCTTCTGGAGTTAACTTTTCGATGCGAACCTACAACTGGATGTGCCACGCAGGGGTAGACCGGGCATGGCCCGCATCTCCCGATGAACCCGCGCGCCACAGCTAGCCACAGCCAAAGCGGGACGCGACGATCCTCGAAGTCGCATGCGCAAAGGATGTCTGAAAACCTCTTGGCAAGTCAGTTCCGCCTTCTATCCTTGACAGCGCCCGCCGTCGGTACGGTTGTACTCACAAAATTTTCCTCAAGACGGACGTCATGAACGTGCGCACGTCTCGTACCGGGTGAGCCTCGCAACCGCTTCGCCCGCCAGACGGCAATGTGACGTCCTGATGCGTGAGGCAGTCGGACTAAAGGCAAACGGTTGATCCCCAAAGCTGCACAGGTCCCCGAAGATTCGCCTCGTGCTCCCACTCCGGTGCAATGTTGTCGGCGGATGGCCCGAGCTCCGTCCACGCTGGCCCAGCGCGGCGGGACTCATGTTGGAAAGCTAAAACCTTGTGGAGACGACGACGATCACCGCAACCTATGGTCCTGGGAGACTGGGACTGACACGTATGTCTGCGCGTTGATGAGTGTGCCACTGGTGGCATCGCGCTGTAGCACACCGAGCCCGCCGATATTCGACGAAGCTCGGCCCTTCCGCTCGCCTGCGCCCTGGAGTCACCTGCGAAGGCGGCTCGCATCTCCAGCCGCTCCAGACCGGTAGGAAGGGAAAACTCTCGAGAGGTACGTAGCTTTACGGGCTGGGGATGCAAGCTTGCGTGTATTCCCAATTTCACACCGGCCTCAGTAACTCCCGACGGCGGGCACAGTGCGCGGTGCCTTCTGGCATCTGCCGCCAGACTTCGCGATGGCGCGACTCGCACAGAACTCGCGATGACCACATACGTCACTTCGCAGCATCCAGCCGGCCGCGCGCCGCTGCTCTTATAGAACGGCCGTGTCCGAAATGCGTGCTATCTTGGGCAGACGGTACGTACATGCACCCTGCAGTGGGTCTCGCGCGGTGGAGTCGGCTAGGAACGTGTGTCGCCGGCCGCAGGTGGTGGTACTATTAGGGGATGTGCCTAATGGGCGATTTAACTCGCGAGTGGAGACTGACTGATGAGCCAGGCTTCGCGGCTTCAGAGAAGAGCAAAATAAGGGCGTGTGTTGTGGCAGGTCATTCTACCAGGTGGTAATGTGTGTTCGATGCAAAGGAACTCCACCGAACGCGCCACTACGCCTGGGAGAGAGGAATATTCGTTGTGCTACGGCTGGTATTCGTGCCTGTCAGCAGCACGAGGACCAAAGTCCATAGTGGAGCGGCCCTAGCACGGAGATCCTTTGGATACTAGCCGTCTTCTCGATAAGCGGCCGTAACAGCTGTACTTCCGCCGACACCGGCTGCAAGGAACACTCTGTTGAGGCCAGACACAACACGTCATGAGTGAGCCAACGAGGACCGGACTCGAAGCGTGCGCGATGCTCACCTGGTATGATTTGGTCGCTCGTTGACGATGGCAAGACGTGCGCTATCTCTAGGATCTACATGACCGCACCTCATGTGAGCATTATCGACGACTGTGCCGCGATAAAAGAGACACTGCAGATCCCTCAGAAGGAAGCTACTTGGCCACAGCATGATGAAACTTCTCGGCGACTTCGCCTTAATGTGCGCTCGAATACGTCGTCGCCTCGTTCAGTCTTACCTCCTTTGTCGTTTGGACGGAGTCGCTCCGGTTCGCCTGCCACAGCACCGAGTCGACCCGCTGGATCGCAGCGAAGGTTTAGCCCGGATTCCCAGTGCCACGGCCTGCGGGTGCACACGAGCACGCCTCCCGGCGTCCTGGCCCACTACGGCGTGCATCACTTGACGAAGCCCGCAGGCCCGTGGATGCGCCGTGACACTGTCGACAGCCCTCACGCAGGCGTTTGCTCTGCCCCGTTCGCACCCAGAGCCATCTAGGGAGGCACTTGGGCGAGCGTGGTGAGACAGCATACACGCGGCAGCAGTGTGCAGCGCCATATGATCACTCGTACGCTGGGCCATCACCTCGCTGGCCGTCAGCGGGCCCACCAGCGTCCCGAGGCCGCTGGACCGCCGGCTTTTGGGCTATGCCTTTCGAGTGCGATGCTAGCAGCTACAGGCTGGCTGAGAACACGAACGCTGGATCAGCCGGTGCCTGTCGACGCAGTCAGATGAGCTTAGGCTACCGCACCTGCGACATCGTCCTGTATTGAGCCCGGATTGTCTCAATTGAGGAGACGTAATGGGCACTCTGCCACCCGCGCAGGATCATCGACGGCCAGCCCACGACTGCTGCGGCCACGAAGCGACGCGCGGGAGGCGCGTCGTCGGCGAAGGCGGAAAAGAGAGCTTGTGGCCCGCTTAGCGCCTCCGGGCGTGGATCGCAGTGCACTGTCCGCTGACCGTGGTCACAAGCCGATCCGCATGTGCGGCGCTGGTCCAGGCTGAGCGAAGGCCAGCAGGGGGCTCACACGACTCTCTTCTGTGTTTAGGGAATCCAAGCAAGAACGTTGCGAGAGCGGCTTGCCGAATAGACAACACATCCGCGCGAAGACCCCCGCTCCACCCAGCGATGTTCGATTTCCGAAGTGCGGAGTCGAACCTGGCGGAGAAGCGGGGGCCACGAGCTACGAAGCCGCTGCGTGCGCATGGGCGGTGTGGCGATGGACATTGTGCTCCTCGATGCGCTCGCGCAGGGCCGGAGTGGCCTCTCTGGCCCAGCGTGCGCAGCCTACGTGCCATAAGTGCTGTCAGTGTAGGTACACGGGCAGATCGAACTCAGCGAAGCGTACCCCAGATCTGTGCCGGCAAGCCCATTGGCCCGTCTTCGCAGCAACCCGCCACACCATGCCGGCCGATCGAAGTCAGGCAGGGGCTTCTGTGAGGGCAGGCGGCAATCTATGGGCAGACGTCCCCGTTGTAGAAGCGGGCGGATTGCATAAGAGAAGCCGGGCGAGAAGCGTCGCGTGCAGGCGTCTCGTAGCGCGGGGTGGCATGACGTGCCCCGGGGAATAAGGACAATGTGGCTAATGCGAAGTGTCTAGTGTCCACGAGCCGCGCGACCGTTCTAATTCCATAGCGAGGCTGGAGGCGCACGTCCTTTGTAAGAAGGGGTATATAGTGGATGCCGATCAGAACAGTCTAGCTCGAATGCGGACGAGTGGCGGCGCTCACACGAGCGACGTAGCGCGAGAGCTCGTCTGCTCGTGTCTGGCTTGCGTGGTGTGGTCATGACGAGCGGAGGGACCGCGGACTCACAAAGGATCTTTGTTCGCTGACACGCCGGGGAAGCCAAGTGCAAACCGACAGCAGAGAAGCTGCTTCCGGCCAGTGAGGGTTGGCCTCGTTGCAGCATCGGTGATGGTTCTGGACACCATTGTGGGGTTCATGTTTCGCAACGGGAAAGGTCTGGAAACGGAAGAAGCACGTACGGACGAAGGAAACGCACACGAGAGCTCGTTTACCGGAGAACAGACCTCGACGGGAGCAAGACGCCGCTCCGACATTGAGCGACATGTCAGGTACTCGTGCGCATGCCGAGGACTTCACTCCGTGGTCGTCCGACGCGCCTACAATGTACGATCCCATGACAAAGCTGTAGGTGAGGGCGAAAGGGCCAGAAGCTCACCTGAGGCGCCGCGAGCTCGAAGATTCCCAGCGGAGGCCGAGCGCGGAGGTAGAAGCTCAAGCCGGGACCACACGTCCATCTAAGCTGCATTGCGAGGTCTATCGGAGCAGCGGAGGCTGCGGACGTGAGCTCCCGCACCATGATGCAGGCTCAGCCCGCCCGAGGTGCAGCTTGCCACGGCCTCGGAGTCGGAGTGGCATCCATGCGCGCATGAACGGGAGATGCCAGGGGGCTCCCGGGACCACCTGATCCGAAAGGCGTTTATGAATCTGTGTGTCATGGTGCCGTAAGTGCATCGCCAGTTCCTGGATGAAAGAGATTCACCCACGCACCGCAAGTGAAACCCGTGCGAAGCGTCGGCCTGCTCAGCTGCGAGGCGCAGGGAGGGTGCGTGCAGTTGTCCGCGCGCCTTGTCTGCGTGCAATCGTGGCACAGTCTAGCACCACGAACATGCCTTGGGGAGAAAGGAGGAGAAGCGTTCGGGACCGCAGCGTGGTATATGCTACTGCACCCATGCCATTTTGGGCAGGAGCACGCATGGTGCGTGGCCGCCACCTCGGGGAAGCTTGCGGGATCGGTTGGCACGGATACGGATGGACATCGTTGGTGACGTCCAGCATGCACTCTCGGTTTGCGTGGAACGACCGCTGCCTGTTGGGGACAGTCGCCAGCGTCCGATCACGCTGCAGGCCACGTTTCTTGGAGTTCCACTGCTTGCGCGTTCGGCGAACCAGGGTCAGTGTGTTCGAATGAATCATGGCCATGCATGAGGATGATGGGAACTCACCGCGCGCGGGGGTCTCGACCGCAGTAGATCCTGGAGTACTTACTCCGTACAGCCTGCAGGAGCTGCCGCCGCCCAAACTCTACGCACTTCTGACGCATGCGTGACGGGTCGAACAAACAGTGGTCAGCGGAACGCCTGCATGACCGCCGGCGTGATGGATGCCACAGTCAGGCGGTCTGCCCTATGGCAAAATACGACAGACACGTTAACGCCCCCACTGACTCGGAAGAGCCGCAGAAAGAGCTGAGCGAGAATTGCCAGACGATACGCAGCAGCCGGACGGGACAAGCACACGATAGGGTGCATAGTTGCCACTGGCATATGTACCTCGCGGGACGGGAAGCCGCTGGTGCGAAGGAGGGGTTCAGAAGCTGTTTGTGATCCGTCCGCCGATAGGTCAAAGAGGAGATCCAGAAACTGGATACGCTTGGAAGTTGGAGAGCAAAAAATGCGCACCCCAAGGGGCATTCCTGGGTATAGAACGCATCCGCCGGTACCTGCACCACTTGTCCCTTATCTACATGGAGAGCCTTTCGCGAGACGTCCACGTCAGGAACGGGGTGCTAGCAAACGTTGACATCGATAGCCAGACAAGAGGGCCTGCAAGGAGACCCCCCTGGAGAACAACGCACGGACGGAGCGACGACGGGATGCTGCGCGCGACAGTGGCGGATGTATATAATACGCGTGGGAAACCGGTGCCGGCGGTTGCTGGCGATGGCGGGAGTCCAGACCGCCGTTGTCGGACTCCGACGGTGTGGCTGAGCGCAACGGCAACCTCCGTGGAGAGGGCACTCCGCCGTTGCCAACGGCCTGTCCACGGAGACATCCGGGAAAACATTCACATCGCGATGATTCAGCCCGTTTCTCACGCAAGCCATGGCGCTGGAAAACCTGCAAAAAGGCCTCAGATTGCAGGAGAACATACCCAATCGCCAAAAACCCGGTCAATCAACGCAGAACGCAATCATGCACAGCGCAACGTCAGTGTGGGGTGGACTCAGAGTTGGGCCGGTTAGGAGTGTGGGGTAGACGCATCCGAAGGGGAGGCGAGATTAAAACGGCGACGATTGGCTGGCCCCGGCGTGACGTGACGGAAAGTGCCTGGGCCCAGGCCGCGTAATGGATGAAACGGGGTTCTGTGTGACGCTGTTTATTCGAGCGCGTCAGCGCGGTGTGCACGGAAACGGCCTTGATGAACTGCATATTTGGGGCGCCCGACATCCCCTTAACCACCCCTCCCATTTTCCCCCATATTCCTCGCACCGCACACGACAACACCGACGACGCCCGCAACGACTGCTACGACGCCGACATCGATTGGGAGCGCGCTTTACGCGTCGCTAAGCCTATCTTGCTTGCCCATCTCTGCCTCGTGGTCGCCGTGCGCATCTCCGTCAACCCAGCGAGCCACGTTACTTTACCGAGGCCATGAGTAGCTTCTCGTCCTTATCCTCCATCGGCCGTTCGCCATCGCGTTCTGTCCATCAAACCCGGACCGATGCTAGCCACGACTCTCGTCCAAGCACCCCGCGCATCCGGACGAGCACGAGTCAGGCCTCGCGTCACCCACGGCCGCCTTCCAGCCCTGTCGGCCGGTTTTTGGTATGGGACCAGCAAGAAAGCCTGCCTTCTTCGTCGAAACTGCCGGTTTTCCCACCGAGAACTCCTATTGGCGACAAACAAGGTCACGCCTCTCGTCGCCTTTCCCTCCAGACGCCCCCGTCGTATTCCAAAGTCCGAAGCCGGACAAGTGCAAGCTCCTCTCACAACGAGGTCTCTCCGGTGCTCCGCGTGGGCGGCTCGGGGCGGACGCTTAGATTCCAGACCCATCAATCTGAACACGCCCCCACCGAGCGCACGACGAGGGTGTCATCGCTCGTGCGGACTCGAGTGCCTGCCGAGTCGTTAAATGAGGCCCCCTCCCTTTCCTCATCCCTGACTTCTGCTCCCTCCTTCACCACCCCGCCTACTCCCCAGAGCCAGGTTTCCCCTGTCCGTCTAGGCGGTTACCGGCGTCACCCGTTTGTCACTCCATCGGCCTCCACGTCCTCCCTGCGGAACGATATTCCTTGTGTCCAGGCTCAGCGTGAGCCTCTCACGCCGTCGTCGCCCTCACCTCGTTCGCACGCGTCGCGGCGCTCACAGCCAAGAACCCGGTAAGTCTGAATTCCCTATGGTTCCATTTCGGGCTATCCAGATCAGTTCGAGTCCCTTTCGCCGTGCGCGAACTTTGCTCGTATTTGTCGTGCGAACTCTATCCACATGGCCTGTTCAATTGCCCGCCCGGATTCTGGACCGGTTCGCCTTGCGCGCCTCGCTTTCTCCCTCCCCATTCCGTTATTCCATCTCGCGTCTTCGCGGGAATGTCTGCCCCTCTTATTCCCCCCTTCACCGCAGTTCACCCCCCTTTCTCCCGTGCATACCTTCTCCTCCTCCCCTCGCGTTTTCGATCATATACTGACCTCTGCTCGATCCCATCACGCCAGGTCGTCCCCGCTAGTACCTCCACACACCTTCACCCTCAGGCGTGGCCTTGAACTGCCTCGCGCACGTCCCACTCTCGCCATGTCGTTGCAAGTTCATGCTCCTACTCCGGTGACCGCATTGCCCTCCACCGCGCGTCCTCGCTCTAGATCAAGACCCCCGCCCTCCTCCCGTCCCTCCTCGCCCCTCACCTCCTCTGTCCCTCTACCACAACGTCCACCCATGCCTCGCCCACCCAGCCGGTCAGAACGTCTCCTCCGTGACACGCTTCGTCGTGCAGAAGAGCAGGACAGGATAGGCAAGCCTCACCCCGCCCCGTCCTTCACTCTTGCCCCCTCGTCGTCCCACTCGCACATTCCGCCCTCCGTCACCGATATGTTCGCTACCTGCCGGGTGCCGGCTGTCCCCAATGGCGGCAGGCGGCACCGACGGAACACCTCGTCTTCGGTCCAATCCGAATCCTCGTGCGACCAATTCGAAAGCGAGCCACTTGACGAGGATAGCCAGGAGGATGAAGAGGACGGAGGATGGATGTGGCGCGCGAATGGTACCGGCTCTGTCGCCTCCTCGGGACATGGGTATGGGAATGCGTATTACCCGGCTCTTGCACGGAAGCCAGAGAACATCCCGTATGGCACGCCTGCATCCCCGTCACCAGCTCGCGCACAGCTACAGCGCTCTGCGAAATCGTCGCCCACTGTCCCCCGGAGGCATTCCCACTCACAGTCGGTTTCCCATGTAGCCGCACATCCACCGTCGCGCACGTCCGTGGACGGGGAGCGTCCGAGTCGGTCCCACCAACAACCTAGTGCCCCTCTGACGCCACACGAGGCCGTCCTACGGAGCAAGCTGGAGGGAGTGTTGAGGAACGCTTCGAAAGGCGGACCAAGAACTCGCAGCATCGAGCGGAGAGATGTGGACCCCGGGTTCAGCAGCGAGAGCGGCAACTCGATGGCGAGTAGCAGGAACCTCAGTGGGGAAGGTGACTTCTTCTTTGGGGCGAGCAGCGACGTAAGTAGCCTCACCATGACGTCCACCCCTTTGTGAGCGCTGCTGATCATTGCGGATCGTCCTCATAGCCGAGCTTGACGTCACTCTCGTCGACCGAGTCTCAAGCTGCTTTTGCTTCAAAGCCACGAGCCAGCCTGCCGTCGTCGCCTCGGAAACCGCACGCCAACCTGCACGTACAGCCACCACTTTCGAGACCAACGAGGAAGTCGTCTTCCCCTCCGTCGCAGAATGGAAGCGTGGGCCCTCTGACGCCGCCCCCATCGCCACCGTTCAATGCGCGTCACGCGGCTGCGCAAATCAAAGGCATGGACGGCTACGTCTCCTTCGCCAACATTGAAGGCCTCGGCATTCCCGAAGGCGTCGACGACGAGGCTGAAGATGCCAATTCTAGGAGCCGGTGGTTCCAGTGGTTGCATCTCAACTCGGGCAAGGGCGCCGTCGCCTGCGACAGGTCGCGCGGGCGCAGCGAGAGCGCGAGCAGCGCGTCTAGATGACGTGGTGGGGCGATCCTGTGAGTCTCAGGACCACTCCCCGCGTTCGACGTCGTGCTGCTAGTCCGCGCTACTCCGCTGGCCCAACCGTCCTGCTGGGCACGGCTCACGGTGCTCTTCCCCCTCGCTGTTCCCCTCCATCCCCGCATCGCTCTTCCTCCCGCTCTATAGACTATACTTCTCGGCTTCGTCGCATGCTCTGTTTTGTTGTTGTTCCACCACCCGCTGCATCTTCCATGTCGCCTCATCATCATCATCCCCATCCTATCCCCCGGTAATAGCATCTCACTCTCCGCACGACATCCGCCGACGCCATCCGGCCCTCCGCAGACTTTCCCCTCACGAGCATCCTCGCCTATCGCCATCGCTATCCATCATACAAAACACCCCCGCACGCATTATGCTTTCTTCACGAACCTTCCATCATGCCACGACATCTCCCCGCGGCCGTCGAGGCCCCGGCGATCCGCTTGCGTTGCGGACGTCCGGTCATGCGGACGAAAAGATGAGGCCTTCTTTCGGGTCCTCCTCTTCACTTATTCGCTTACGACACTCCCCGGATCGATGATCCTCGTTATGTACCTGACGCCCTCGGACGACGGATGACACCCTCCTCACGCCGACTTGCACGACTCGACTCTGGAGTTCTTCTCTTTGGTTTTTTACTCTCCTCATTTACGGATTGCGTACGCGGATGTACTTGTACCGACTGGATTGGATGGATAGATATGCGCTTGTGTTTCTCGTTCGGGCGCGACTGAACAGTTACTCGTGTAGTTTGTCAGGGTTTCTCGGATCGGAGTCGGTGTACTGTCTGTTCGTAATGCGCTAGCAATGGCATCATGATATCATAAACCTACAACCTCCTGTGTGACTCTGAGCTGAGCGCGCCTGGGTTCTATCGCTCTCGGGTGGTTGAACGATGAACATGAGTGGATGGAGATGAAGATGGGCTGATTCGCCATCCGTTGGGGACGCGTGCGCCTGTTGCGGCACACGAGTCGTACAACTCGTCCCAGCTCTATCCCACTTGCCGTAGCCGGTATATCGATGATAACTGGCCACCTCGCGAAGCCAGGCACGATGCTCAGCGTAAGTTATTCTCGACGTCCTTCCCTGTACATGCGATGCTATATAGATACATGCTATCGATAGATCGTGCTCCCGTGGGCTCTGCACACCGGATAGCTCGCGCGCGCCGGCGCGAGAGGCCCTGGCACATATATATCTGGAGGCTCGTCGAGCTCAGGCCGTTGACACGCCGGACATAGTGCATATGCCCCTGCCCGAGCACTTAGACTCGCAAAGGGGTGACAAGAAACCCGATGGCAACGTCCGCGAAGTCCGTCCGCCGAGACGGCTCGGCTCGGGGGTCTGTCCTTCTGCCCGAAGTCCTGCGCGGACATCCAGCGCGCCCGGCCGATGCGCTAAACACGACGTCGACATGCCGCCGAAGGCGGGTACGGGTATGGGTACGTTGCGGGTTTACATACGCCCTCTCCGAGTCTCCCGCAGTCAACGGTGGCAGCACCGCATGCAAGAGGTTACTTAGCAGTTCAAGTACCGCCGCGACGTCGGTGCTGATCACTATCCCGCGGCCGGGTTCCTTAGGCTCGCGAAGGGCGTTGCTGTGTCTTCACGGCATTGATTGTCTGGCAGCGCTCCCACCCACAGCGTGTCGCTCCTCGAGATAAAGTGGCGTGTGCGTCGATGCCGAGCGCAAGGGCGGGATAGTGCGTAGAGATCAGATAGAACTCATCGTCGGGTCCCATGGACGACCACAGGTACATCCAGGCTGCGGGGAAGTCTAGAATGCGCACTTCCCCGCGCAGGGGCCTATTCGGTGAGCCGTGGCGTCACAGAAGCAGATGCTGGGCTGTCGCGTGCTGGCCCCTGCACAATTGCGTTCGGGGGTAGGGGTGATGGTATCGGGGGCTCGTGTGTTCACAAAGGGCGGTAACGAGGCCAGGGGCTTGTGGTTCTCAGTCTTGTAGAAACTTTTTATCTGAGGATGAGGTCGCGTTAATTGTGTGCAACGACTTGAATCTCCTACAATCCTTCGTACGGCGACAAGTCTGCATTGCCTTACAGGTTCTGCGGCTTCGAGAGCGATGGCGGAGCATTGCCTCCGAGATGTGAAAGATTGCAGTGCGCGGCTATGTTGCAGCGCATTGTGAGCCCTTCCCCCGCGGGTGCGGTCTTCACAGCGCCTCGCCGAACTCAAAGGTCAGAAGATGTGTTCAAAGGGACCCCAAATATTGTCGACTTGTCCAGACCGGCCCCGGTCACGATCTTACTCGGTATGGTAGCAGGGACCATCGCATCTCGCCGCACTGGGTCTGTCAAGGAGCTGATTCAGTACGTTCAGTACACACCCTGCAGTCCGGCTCGCAGCACGCACTTTTGTTGTCGCCGACACATAGCATATGAGAACGCTGCCAGTGCGCTTGATAACTTGTGATTAGTTCGACTATCCCCAGATGGCATTATCACCTGAAGTTTTCCATGAGAGCGTATTCGGAGCTGGTGATGGTCATCAACAGATACTACACAGTGTCCTGGGCGGCGCCGGTGAGGCGCTGAGTGGTGGAAGACAAGGGAGGTATCGTCGGGAGTTGCCTTTTCGGGGCTGGGCGGTAAGTGACGAGAACGGCTGTGCAGCTGTGCTCCCGACACTCATGTGTGCACGCTTCCTCCTCTTCTGAGTCTTCTCCCGATAAATGTCGCTACATACCCGCCTCTCGCGCCGGAGCCACCGCTTGCCACTATCCCATCGTACCCACGCGTGCATATAGTCGCTCAACAGACCTGCGTTGAACATTCAAAACGAACCCGGCATCAACGCAGGCCAGCGCTTGCCCGGTTACGTGCGATCTACATTCGAAGGGCGCCGCTGAAGATCGTGAGCGTTCTTCGATGATTATAGTGTTTCGAACTGCCTGTGTACATTGCCGACGCCCCAACGAGACGCATTCTCCGCGTAGCACCGCTTCCACGAAGTCACTGCGTACACCCCAGTCTGAGCAAGGAGTATGCCGATATCTGCGGGACATGATCGCGAGGACCGTACGACAGGTTCGACGGTGTAGCAACAGCTCGTGGATGCTGGCTGAACTGACTGACCTGTTCTCGCTGAGAGACTTGCGTCCCTGCGCAGTGAGGAGCCTGCGCCGCCGTCTCGTATTCTCTAGGTTCGTAGTACGAAGTAAGGTAGCTGTTACTAGCAGAGGTGGACTGCGCGCCTACCTCGCATATCTGCGACAGGCCCGTCGAGGCACGACGGCGCTCGATCTCGTTACCCCTCGCTTCGTTGTGTCGAATGACTCGCTCGACATTCTGCGACACTCTACCGCGGTCTCGCCTGGGGGTCTGGGGCGATCCGCGCTGCATACATATATAAGGCCCAAAGTACTGTAACTTGTTGCGCTGCTCAGGCTGGCTTCTCTCCTGGACTACGCTCATGCTTGGGATGTGACTCGTCGCTCGACTCTCTGTGTTCCCCGGCTCTTACTATGCCTGAACCACTTGTTGTCCTCGAAATTTGCTCTAGCTTGGGTCTCTGTGCTACTAGCTCTACGCTCTCTGCATGCTAGTTTCGGCATGTCTGTGTTGCATCCAGCGCGGCCCTAGTCCTCGATGTCCGCCTTGAATATCGGCATATTAGTATTGTTTTAGCTCGTCCAGATTGTAGCGGCTGGATGTCCACACCGCTGCTATCTTATATACTAGTAGAGCACTTCAGTTTGTTACGATAAGCTCAATGTTATATGGCTATGACTAAACGAAGCTGATACTGAACATAAGTGTGATTACTAAGGCGTACCAGGCCTAGTACTCGAGATCTAGAGCGTCTTTCGAGTGGCGTCGGATGATTGGTGTCGCATTATGTCGAAAGGACCTTGCGACACGATGTATTCTGGACTGCAGCGAGTTTGTGAAGTGTAGTCTCGTTGAGGGCCTTGCTACATCTCACAGACGAGGCTCGTATGGCGCTCGGGGAGTATCCCCCTGATATCTAGTCACAACCTCGCTAGATTGAATAGCGCTGCCATCAGCGGCAAGTTTCTACACCATATCACTATACGTAGCTCGGGGTTTGCTGGAAAAGCGCTGTACGCAGTGAGTCTATCGGAGGACAGCCCCGCGGCCCGTCGTTGCGTAAATTAGTGTTACTCCGCTGACCTTTTCCGACGCGATACGATATATCCTCCTGGGTTAACGCCAAGGCCGTATATCAGAGATATCAGGACTAAAATGCGCACGGGATACCTCATTAACGTCTGTCTTCAAAAGCCGGAACATCGCGACAGCATACTTGCGACGCTTGAAGCGGGCACTTGACTTTCCTAAGTGTAGGGCCGCAGTCGACTAGGTAAGCACTCGGACAATCCATCACGATAGGTCCGTGCACTCATGCGGCACACTGACAGATGTCCGGACTAGGCCGATTTCTTGCGCCCGCCATCACGTCCCATACCCATAAACCCGTCGCCGAGGCACATATCCGAGCCGCAGGTCACCGTATGTGCCGCACGCCGAGCGACGTGCACCCGAACCGGATTACGACATTTAGCTTGCAGGACATTTAAAGCTCGCTGGCTCTTGAGTCGGGTACATCACCATCACGGCCCTCGCCTTTCCTTAAGTCTATCAGCGCCATGCTGTTGCCATTGCTGACCCTGGTCTCTGGGGCGGCGCTCGCTGCGGCGAAAGTTATCAGTCTCTCGGAACTCCAGTGGACATTGCAGAACGCAAATGGTTCGATCAAAGTTCCTGCTCAGCAACCATCTCAAGTTCACTTGGATCTGAAGGATTCGAGCGTCATCACCGAGCCGTTGTTGGGCATCAATGGTGAGCATATCTATCTGTCGCCATGATTTATTCTGGAGCTGACTACCGGCTTGTCTAGACTTTTCTGAGAGGTGGATCGTCACTGACAGCTGGAGCTACCAAGCGGACCTGAGCTCTGTGATAGCTCAGCATTCGCAGGGCAATAACACTACCAAGACTCTTCTGGTCTTCTACGGGCTTGACACTGTTGCCAACGTCGTACGTAGTCGGACTATGTAATTGAGGCTCTTTCACTGACATTTGAACCTCAGACCGTAGCCGGACACATTGTCGCATGGGTCAACAACCAGTTCCAACAATATGTCTATGATGTCACCGATTACCTGATTTCGCCTTTGGAAAACGACACGTCTCTGAACATCTCGTTCGAGTCCCCCATCACCTACGGACAGAACATCAGTTCCCGTGCAGATGTAGAAACGGAGATTGCGCCTGCCGTGAGTACACGCCCCGGGGGGACCGTACAGCGTCAAGCTCACAGCTCTTTGTACAGTTTGAATGGCCTGATGTGCGCCAATTCATGCGCAAGATTTCCTCTGATTTCGGATGGGACTGGGCAAGCGGCTTTCGTATATGAAATGCGATCCGTATGCTTACCTCTTCGCTTAGGGACCGGGTTTCGCACCTTCGGGCATTTTTAAGCCCGCCTATCTGGTCACGCTGTCGGACTCTCTAGACAACGAGACAGCGGATGCTCCCGTTTCGCACCCCCTTCTCGTCTCCCAGTCCAACGGCATCTTCATTGAGGAGTCCGCCCTTGAGGTTTCCAAAGTCGGGCAGAGCCCGAATGTGCGTCCCAACGAGTCCGCGGACTGGCTCGTGAATGTCACGCTCGCAGTCCGCTCCATTCGTGCCGATCACAGCCCTGTCGTCACCGTGTCCATCCCCGAGCTCAACATCCACTCGGGCCCGCTCAAGCTGTCGTCGATCCCCGCGACGACCAACGCATCTACCTTTGTCAGTGCGACGTTCACCGTACCGGAGGGCGAACCAGAACGCTGGTTCCCTTACACTCTTGGTACGCCGAGGCTGTACAACTTCACTGTTACGCTGAACATCGCTGGACTACCCGCGGCGTCGTACACCACTCGCTCTGGCTTCCGGACGATCTTCCTCGCTCAGACGCCGTATTCGCAGGAAGATGTGGAACAGCGCGGCATTACTCCTGGCGACCAGTGGCATTTCGAGGTCAACGGCAAAGCCATCTACTCGAAGGGCTCTAACCTTACCCCGTTCGATGTCTTCTATGCGCGTACCACTACCGAGAAAGTCCGCTGGATCCTGGACAGCGTGGTCAAGAGCGGGCAAATCATGGTACGTCTCTTCGTTGTCCACTTGGCGTGCAGCTCGTTCATCTTCCCTCATAATCACAGCTGCGCGTTTGGGGCGGAGGCATCTACCAGCCATCGGACGAGCTCACCGGCGGGTACGACTTCTACTCCCTTTGCGACGAGCTCGGCATCCTCGTTTGGTCCGAACTTGGCTTCTCCGACGCGACGTACCCCATGAACGACTTCTTCCTGGAGTCGGTCGAGCGCGAAGTGCGGCAGAACGTCCGGCGTGTGAAGAAGCATCCCAGCAACGTGCAGTGGGCCGGCGGCAACGAGATCGAGCCTCTGCTCATCATATTCAACGCGACTACGGTTCCGATTACCATTGGGAATACCACCATTGGCCCCGGCCCGTTAGACCCTCGCTTCATCAACAACGTGAGTAGCACTCATTTCTCTGGAAAGTTTTGACTGAATCAAGCATGCTTCTAGTACGTGGGGCTCTTCCAGGACTTCCTGCACGACATTGTCTTGCAGGAGCAGTCCTCGGTATGTCCAATATGATTCACCACGTCTCGTGATACTAACGACGATTCGGAAGGTGGCATACACTGCCTGTTCAACGACGAACGGTGTTCTGAGCTTGGATCCGTACGTTCTGCGGCTGAATAATGTGACTGCTGGCCATATCTACGGCAACACCGGTACGTATATTCCTTCTGTCGCAACGTCACCGATGCTCAACAAACTTTAGAGCTTTACAACTACGACAGCTCTCAGTCGTTCAACTACAGTACGTACCCGCTGGCTAGGTGAGTGTCTCTATCAAAGAGTTGTTACAGTTCTCTGACCCGATGGACCTAGGTTTGTGAACGAATTCGGGTGAGTTTCGTGTCATGGTGTTTTCATTCTGCTCTGACATATCTTCGTTTTCAAGCTTCATCTCCATGCCTTCCTTCTACAGCTGGGAAGAAGTCCTCGAGTCCCCCGACGACTTCGCATTCAACTCCACCGTCGTGATGTCCCGCGACCACCACTCGCCCGCCTTCGGCCTCGACTTCCCCAACCCGAATGCGATCGAGGGCCAGATCGAGATGACGCTCGCCGTCAAGCAGTGGCTGCCGACCCCGGGCACAGCGGACACGAACCAGACGTTCGCGCAGTGGTGCTGGAGCACGCAGGTGTTCCAGTCGCTGTACATGCAGTCCGAGATCGCGTTCTACCGCCGCGGCTCCGGGCGTGGCGAGAACAATCTGGGCGCAATCATGTGGCAGCTGAACGACGTCTGGCAGGGCACGAGCTGGTCCGCGATCGAGTACTCGGGCCGCTGGAAGGTGATGCAGTACGGGCTGACGAACATCTTCACGCCCGTCATGGCGTTCCCGTTCTGGGTCCCCGAGACGGAGACCCTCGAGGTTGCGGTCACGTCAGACCTGTGGGAGGCCGTTCAGGGCACCGTGCAACTGACGTGGTACGACTGGCATGGCACATCCCTCAACTCGTCGTCGCACGCATTCGCGGTCCCCAGCTTGAACAGCACGGTGGCATACACGGCTCAGGGCCTGAACGATATTTTGCCCGCGGGGTCAAAGGCCGAAGACGTGTGGGCGCTGCTGAGCTTGACAGCGACGGTCGACGGTCAAACCGTGACGCATGAGCAACAAGTATGTACTTCGCAGCAGATATCTAGGTCCGGTCTAACCTACCACAAACAGTTCGTGCCGACGTCTCTAGCCAACGCGAACCTCGTCGACCCCCAGATCAAGATTACCTCCACAGACGGCATCACATTCACTCTTTCCGCGCAGGGCGGTGTCGCGCCCTTCACATGGTTGGACCACCCCTCGGGCACAGTCGGCTACTTTGTGGACGCGAAGTCTGACAAGCCACTGAACGGCTTCTACCTCGTTCCCGGCGTGGACCGCACTAGTGAGTAACGCAGTCATGCAGCTTTCGAAATTCGCTCATGTAGGTTGTTCCAGTGCGTTTCGTGCAATCTGCGGAACTGTCGACTGTCGCACGTCCAGCCGCATCGGACTTCGTCGTCCGGTCGCTCTGGAACAACACCCACTTGTAGGGGTGTGCTCGTCGTTCGTTTTTGGACTTTGACACAGGGCCTGTGCACTCCGCTCGTTTCCTGCACCTGCGTCTGTGTTCGACGCGACTCCAGTACCCACCTCTCGTTTTGCCTTCGTTGGCTTTCGTCTCTATAACCTAGCTGCTTTCATTTCATATACTAATACATTCGTCTTCAACTGATTTCTTCCTGGTTTTAATTTGACTCGTCCTATATGTGCTACGCACTAGGCAGCCGCCCGCGGTTCGAGTGGAAGCACGCGAGGCCGCCCGAGCCTCCGACGTTAACAGCGCAAGCAATCGGATCGGCTTGGGAGAAGATTTTGGCGGGACTCCGACAGTAACTGCCCTGCCTGAGGCGCCGCTGGTCGTTGTGGTCGCCACCACGTGGTATCAACGCTTGGGCCCCGCAACTCCAATTCCCGGCCTCAACGCTCTTCAACGTTGCGCGGCAGGTATGTATCTTCTACCTCCAGCATCTGCATGCCAAGACTTGGACGCATGGTCCGAAATCAAGCGCGAGGCTACGGGTCTGCCGTCATCCGCTGCGCTATGTCCAGGTGTGGCTTCGGTGCCGCAAGTACGTCCAATCTTCCTTGACATGAACACCTGTAATGTGCTTAGTTCATTGGCCCTTGCGGTGTGGTCGTGCTGATGTGGTCAGCAGCAGACTCGAGTCTCAAGCCTTTGTCCATCGACAACAAGGCCCTATCCGTACTCGGAATCCCTACGCTCGTATGCTCCAAATCGCCTAATTATTGGCGGTCACACCGAACTTAGCAGGCACGGTACGTCTTATGTGGCCTATGTTGACAATCCTCCTCCCTGGTAAGCGACCGTTAGGAGGCGCGGGTGCCACAGGCACGACCACGCTTTGCTGCAAAGTAGTGCTAGCGGCAAGTCCGCGAGGGCCGAATGCATCCATCTCTCTTGCCCGCAGGCGGGACCGACGCTTTGCTACCCCGCTCAACGATCAGCACTAGTGGTCCCTGCCTAGAGATATACTTGGAAATATTGAGATGCAAAACGTATACAAGGGTACGCCGGAGAACCTCCTTGAGGTTCGCCGACAAGTATCACACCAACAGCTTGCACCTTCCTCTCTACTACCCGCCTCCAACGTTACCATAGACACGGAAGTCTTCTGATATTTGCTGCCTCGTTCCTGGTGAGTTGGTCGCCATATATCCGTGACATTCACTTATCGAGAGGTCGTCATCAAGGTCATGTCTATGTTATCGACCCTTCCACCAGAACTACACTCTGACATCTTATCCCGACTCGGTCAGAAAGACCTTCTAAAGTGTGCCACGGTGTGTAGAGCATGGACGGAGGACTCACGGCGGTACCTCTGCGCCTACCCCGTCATTAACGGCGCTCGCAGTGTGCAGGGGTTCAAGGCATACCTACAGCAGTCTCCACGGTGGATCCCCCGCGTCAAGGGGCTATGCCTTCGCGCACTCAACAACAATAGGAACCAAGAAAACCCGGACCCCTGGATGAGGGCCGCGCTGATCGAACTGGCCCCCGTCCTCCCGAACCTCCGGGCACTCACACTCGAGAACTGGGGCCCCGTCGTCGTCGGCCCCGAGCTCATCGCCGCCCTCCTATCCTTCGAGCAGGTCGCTACACTCGATCTCCAGGCCCCTGTCTTTCATTCCAGCACCGATCTCGAAGACTTCGTGTTCGCGCTGCCTAAATTGTCGTCCTTGCGACTCCACAACGTCTTCTGGCGACACTCCATGGGCGATTCACCGCTCGATAAGTTCGAGCACAGGGGGTGGCCGCTACCACTCACGAAGCTTCAGCTTTGTGGCGTCTACGCTGACCAGGCCGAAACGCTCTTCCGGTGGCTCAGGGAACACGGATGTCGCCCTTCGGAACTCGTCGCTCTCCACATACACGAATGGGATCTCGGATTCCTCTTCGATTACATGTCCTTTGTAGGTGACAAACTCGAGGTGTTCAAATTCTGGCCGTTCTTCTTCGCTCAAGGTACGCGCGCCGGGTTTCGCCCACTGTTACTGATTATCGCAAGACTGACATGCCTTGTAGGAGACCCGGATTATTCGGCGGTGACCCTAGTGCACAACCCGAACGTTCGGTCTATCAGCATGCGGACCAATAGTTCGCCTAGAGGATACGAAAACTCGTGGCTGCCTGAGTTGCTCCGCAGTGCAGAACAATGCCCTCTGGAGGATATCACCTTTGAGATGTGCTTAGACCATGAAGGCGCGCTCGATGCACCTTTGTGGAGGCGTACGACCCGCCTCCTCCAGTCTTGTTGGCTTCAAACGCTGTGTTCGATTACATTCGTCCACGAGCCCGTCAAGCACGAGGGCATGTACCTCAACAGTTTCCTCCAGGATGGAACACCCGCCTTCAAGAGGTACTTCGCCACACAGCTGGAACACCGGGAGACCCTCCGCATTGAGATGCGGAATGCGCCAGTCCTCGACCTCGGCGGGTACAACTCGGACGAATGAAGACCGCCGAATCGGTATGCGTTCAGTTGGCACTCCTGATGTCCCTGTAGGATTCTTTTCCGTGTGTATGTTCCAACTTTTATTGTCCCTTATTTTCTCCACTACTTACGCCGCGTTACTCTGATGCGATCTCTCTTCGAGTCGTGCTGGCCTGCACGGTTTGGATCCACGACATGTTCCGTTGCGGTTAACACTTCAGCTTGACAATTATTACATATGCTCTGTTTCTCCTCCTATGACGTGCGTGCAGCCTGGTCTGATTAATCAATCGAGCGGGGCCATGAATGTGGTGTTTGAAGAGCAGACCTATTCATAGCCGCGAACATCGGCCTCGCATGGTGCGAGGCATAATATTAGCAAGCCCCATAGTATCATACTCCCGCCGGAGGTTCCACCAAGTGGTGAAGCATAAGTTCTTATGGAGTCGCGCTGAGAGGTCGCTTATGCTAATTTCGTCGTTATCTCGTCGGCATCGTCGGCCACGGTAGTGTCCGGAACTTTAGGTGCGGCGCAGCGTCGACATGAGTCCTGTGTGACGTCGCCGTAAATCGGTATCGTCTTGAAGTGGCGTATGGGCGAGGGTCGAGAGTTATGGTCCCGACAAGGATCAGTATAAAAGGGCCCGACGCGTTCACTGGGGATCCCAAACATACCCGGGCCACATCACTAACTCCCATCAAAACCTGAGCGCCCAGCGATACTCGGCATACCACACCTATACTCAAACGTCGCGCTCGCAGAGTAGTACTATAGCCAAGCTTCTCATCATGGTGCGTGGCCAGCGATACTGAAATCGCATATTTGAAATGACTGACGTTATTTGATGCTACGCAGGGCATCATCATCTCTCTCATAACTGGCATTATCTCCGCGGTCATCGGCGCTGTTGTGACGGTCGTCGAGCTTGTGTTCACCGCTATTGCCGCGGTACGCCTCTGGCATTTCGCGACTGTGAAACGATGAATATTGACAGTTCCGGAACCCAGTTCTTCTGTTGCATCGGCGACGTTCTGTGCTGCGGGCTGTGTTCGCCAACGGGAGCCGGCGCTACGACGGGGGCAGGAGCGGGAGCAGGGACGGGGATGTCCGGCAGAAGACAGGGATTCGGGTTCGGCGGGCGTAACAGAGGAATGGGAGCAGGAACAGCGGGAGGTATGGGCCCAGCAACGGGTACAGGAATGGCCGGGACTGGACTGGGTACCGGTGCAGGAGTGACTAGCGGTGGATTGGGCACCGGAGCGGGTGTTGGGCCTACGGCTGCGACCTATTAATTGGGAGGATATGAGATGCGATCGCGCAGTTCGTGCACCATATAACTACTACACGTCAATGTAATGACCACCTAACTGCGTTGTGGCTCGACTGGATGCGCGTGTACAGCACGACAGCACACCGAGTTGTCTGCGACTCGGGAGCATCAGGGACAGTACGCCATACTAGTGCGATGACTGGAATGAGGTGCAATGATGTTCAAGTTCAACCATAACGGAGAAGCACAGTTTCTCCCTACAGAAGGTAGGAAGTCATCGACGCTCACAAAGGTATCATATCGACGGGCAACTTACGAATCGGAATGTGACACTTTGTACCGCTTTCCATCGCTATTCTAAACGCGATGTTTTGAAGTCAAGTGTTGATTTGCAGATGTATGCAGGCACCCTCTGGCCGGTGGTGGTTGTTGTTGCGTCGGAAGAGATGAGGCCAGTTTGCCTAAAACGGACCTGTATCGCCTGCTGTGATGGCGTCGGTCGGCGTCTATGTAACTCCTCCTCCAACCACCACCTGATTGAATTCCTCTCCTCCCTCCTTCCAAACCAGCAAAGCCTACGCCTTGAAAGCCCAGTGGATGTCTATAAATGGACTGTCTGTTTCCGAGCGGCTTTTGTGCGTGCCTGAGCACGTTGTTCATATGAGCGAGGCAGTGAGTTCGCTTCGCCGTTTGCTCAACATCCAACTCTCGGGCATCACTGAGTACATGGCAGGTCCCATCACGTTCCCACAGATCCCATCCACCTTTGCAGCGCCCTGTTGGCAGACAGTCTTCTGTGTGCCCACGACTGCATCGCGTAGAGGATCTCGTATCTCGGACATTAGCAAAGCGAGCTTCATGCTCTCGCCTGACGCGGCACCGATGACCACAAGCCTGCAAGAGGCCTATCGGAATGTCTCTGTACGACATGCGCCGGTAGATTTGGGACAGACGTGGATCAATGCGGGCGCGGTGCTTGCATCACATCACCCAGCGTCTCAACTTCACCGTCGTCCTGAGATTGTTATATAGCAGGCTTCGGAGCCTCCACTCACGGTATCTTCTCTGCCCCAGTCACCAGGATCCACGCTCGTTTCCGCTCTTCCCTTCTTTTCTTCCTTTCTTTTTTTCCTCCCTTCTTTTTCTTCTCCCCTACCCCCCTTGCTTCGCTGACCCAGGATGGTTGCAGCCGGCCTGCTTGCTTTCTCTTTCTTTACGGCCGCGCTAGGCGCTCCTTTGGCTCGCGAACCCCTCCATGTTCATGACGCACGATCGGCTGCACCCCAAGGGTACACAGCGAGCGGAGCACCGCATCCGGACACGGTTCTGCAGTTGCGGGTTGCGCTCAAGCAGAGCAACAACGCGGGCTTGATTGATAAGCTCTATGAGGTCAGCACGCCGGGCAGCCAGAGCTATCGCAAGTTCCTAAGCAAGTCGGAGGTACGTCTGACGCGGATTTCGGGCGCATCTATTACTAAACGACTGACTCTGTCCCTAGGTCGAGCAGTACGTGGCTCCAAGCGCGGAAAGCCTTGCCGCGGTCACGGCATGGCTTGATCGTAACGGCGTGAAGGCGACACCAGGTACCACGAGCCAGTGGCTCAACATCGAGGTCCCCGTGGCGAAGGCGAATGCCATGCTCGACACAGAGTTCTCCACTTTCGAGCACTCTGATACGGGCGTTAGCGCCATCCGCACTCTTGCATATTCTGTACCTGCTAGCGTCAAGCCGCACCTGGACTTCATCTACCCCACAACGGTGTATGTACCACACGCTTACCATCCTACGTATGTGCTCACACCCTCTATTTGCACAGCTTCCCCGTGAAAGCGACGAAGGCGATGGCCAACGTGCACATTGCATCCAGCCACCGCCACAACTCGACGGCACACACGCGGCGAGCAGGGGTAGATGCTTCGTGCGACAACGCTATGACGCCAGCGTGCCTCCAGGCGCTGTACAACGTCCCGACGACGCCTGCGACACAGAGCTCCAATACGCTGGCAGTCAGCAGCTTCGTGTCCTCGTCCTCGAGCACAGCGGATTTGACCAACTTCCTGGGACAATTCCGATCTGATGTCCCGAGCAGTACGACGTTCGCCGTGTCGAATCTTGACGGTGGGGTCAATAACGAGGCTCAGACAAGCGTTGAGGGGGTATGTCAACCAAGATGCTTATTACGTCACGGAAAACCGCTAACAGAGTGCGGCGTCAGTCCCTGGACATACAGTATACCGTGGGCATGGCCACCAACGTCCCGACTACCTTCTTTACTGTCGGCTCCGACAATGGCGGTGATCTTGGTGGTTTCCTTGATCTTGTCAACACTCTCATTGCGCAGGAGACTGCCCCGACCGTTCTCACGACCAGCTTCGGGTTCCCCGAAGCGCTCATCTCCCAAGACTTCGCGACGTATGTTTTCACTATATCTGCCGCTCGCAGGTTCACATTTGTTGATATGATACATTTTCAGGAACCTTTGCAACGCGTATGCGCAACTCGGCGCGCGGGGGACGTCCATCCTCTTCTCGTCTGGAGACAGCGGCGTTGATGATGGCGAGGGCGGGAGCTGTACTACATTCAGGCCTACGTTCCCTTCGGGTTGCCCCTTGTAAGTTAGTTTGTCTTGCGAGATCTCGTAGTCGACTGACACACTGTCTCCGTAGCATCACCGTGGTAGGTGCCACACAAGGTACTGCGCCAGAAACCGCCGCCGACTTGTCGTCGGGTGGTTTCTCGAACTTCTTCCCTACGCCGCAGTACCAGTCCGACGCCGTCTCATCGTACCTCACGACTCTGGGCTCGACCAACGCAGGACTGTTCAACAAAACCGGGCGCGCGTATCCCGATGTCTCCGCGGCCGGCATCTCGTACCAGGTCGTCATCAACGGGACGGTGACGCCGGTGTCCGGGACGAGCGCGAGCACCCCGGTCTTCGCGAGCATCATCGCGCTCCTCAACGACCGCCTGATCGCGTCGGGCCAGTCTACGATGGGCTTCCTCAACCCCTTCTTGTACTCGACGGGCAAGAGCGCGTTGAATGACATCACGGCAGGCAGCAACCCCGGATGCGGGACGAAAGGGTTCCCTGCTGAAGCCGGCTGGGATCCGGTGAGTTGTTCCGTTTCAGCGTGAGGCTACGTTCTGACGCTGCGTGTTGTAGGTTACGGGCCTTGGCACGCCGGACTTCAACAAGCTCTTGAGCGCGTTGAAGCTTTCATGATATCTTTGTTTGCGTGCTATGTTTTGCGTTTATTTCTATTTTGGGCCTCATCTTTGATTTTTTTTTACTGGGATTTTTGGTTGGAACAATCTGTTTTGGCAGATGTCGTGAGTGACCAAAGATTGACGCCACACCGCTCTTGGGGACCGGGGCCCGGCGTCGCGACCACGAACCAACGCCATACGCTGGGTCCGGGAGTCATGCTACTCGCTCACTCGTTTCGATCCGCTTTTCACCGCAAGACCGAGATGAACAGCGCTGCACTATACTGAACGATCCCAGGGCGCAGTACTACTGGTGACAGCGGGCCGCGAAAGCACACGGAAATCTCGGCCTTCGCTCGAAAACCTCTGACAATACGAATTACGAGCAACGGTTGCCAGTTACGCGATGAGAACGGGGAACCACGATATATACAGAGCTTCTGCGTCCCGAACCATAATATATGACACACAGCCTACGCGCGTAGACCGCAGTTGCTTCGAGGAGCGCTGTAGAAATAGATGGCCAACACGTTGCTGGTCACACGGCTTCCTGCGCTGTGCCGCCCTGCTGTGGCTTGTTCCCGCAGCGGCAGGCGCCCGTCACCATCGTAAGTGGCACTGCCTGACAAGAGCGTCCACGACTTGTCGGATCACCACCGCGGCCGCAGGAACGGCGAGGTTTATAGTATACCTTCCCTTTCCCTCGTTACGGCGGCTGGTCTCGCTTTCTCCACCCACAGTGCATCATCATCATGCTTTCAGTTTTCACGTCACTGGCGGGCGCTCTTTTGTCGTGTTTGTTTTATTCTGTGGCTGTTCGAGGGGCCTCTTCTTTTTCTGTTGACGTTCGGGGACACGGAGTGAGGCTCGTCGATGGTCCTATTGCTGGTGGGAGCGTCGGGGTGACGACTTCCGATGGTCTTTCAGTAAGTTCTTCCTCGCTCGTTCAAGCAAGTTACTAAATTTGCTCTAGTACACGACAAACATCACTCTTGGAGGGCTGAGTATGCATCTGCTATATACCTCTATTAAGCGTAACTCACTTATGCCCGTGACGTGCAGACCTGACCGTCATCCTTGACACGGGCTCGTCCGACCTTGTCTTGGATCTTCAAGGTCGCCAGCCGATTTTGACGAACTCGACGGACATCCAGATCACGCAAGCATTCGGGAAAGGCGAGGTTACTGGCGACATCGACTTCGCAGAGCTCAAGCTCGGCGACTTCACCATAGACTCGCAGGGTATGTGTTCGCCTTCATTAAAGTACCGTACATCATGTGCTGAGACACGCGCATGTTGCAGCCTTCCTCAATGGGGTAGAGTCGGCAGATCTCGGCGACACGGACGGCATCTTAGGAATGAGCTTCAATACCGACTCGACCATTCAGGGGCAACTCGCAGAGTCCCTGGGCGAACAGGCCGCCAACAAGCTGGGCAACACCCCGATGCCCGCGCTCTTCGCGCAAGACACGGACCTACCCCACCTGTTCGACGTGCAGCTCGCGCGCACGAGCGAGCTCGAGTCCACTGCGCCCGGCGTGTTCATCATCGGCGGCCACGACACGAACTTTCAGAACGTGTCGAGCGCGCCGCAGCTGCCGAGCGTTGCACCGAACCATTGGTCCCTTGTTATGGACTCAATGAAAGTCAATGGCAAGGCGTTCACGTTCAACGCGTCGCGCATCGCTGGGGTACCCTCGGGGAAGGTCGTCGCTGCGCTCGATACTGGTTTCTCTCTCCCGCCGCTGCCTGCGCCTGCTGTGGACGCCATTTACTCCAGCATCCCTGGTGCCGCGTTCGACGCCGAAGGTCAGCAGTGGTTCGTGCCGTGTGATGCGAGTACCACGCTGTCGTTTGTGTTCGGGTGAGTTTCCTCGCGAGCCTTGGTTCCAGTGCAGACTATATTCACGGATCATATTCGTCGCATACCAGGGGTCAAGAGTTCTTCGTCCACCCACTCGACTTGTCATATCCCATCGCGGGAACCATCAATGGCGCGAAGAGGACGGCCTGCTTGAACACGTACCAGTATCTCACGCTTGATCCCGACGACTTCACCGGCTTCGACCTCATCCTGGGCGATGCGTTCCTGCGCAACGTCTACGCGTCGTAAGTTGTTCCCGTCCCTTCTCTGTTCGATGATCTTCAAAGTGCTAAACCCGATGACCCTCGCTAGATTCAACTACGGCGAGTCCAGCAGCTCCCAAGCATTCGTTCAGATGGTCACGACGACCCCGGACATGACGACGGCGCTGCAGGAATTCAAAACCGAGCGCGCGGCGACTCTCTCCCAGCTTCCCCCCACAGTCGAGCCTTCTGCCATCGTCAACCGTTCTGTCACGAATGGCTCCCGGAAGAGCAGCGTATTTGGTGCTTCAGTTATCACACTCGCTATCCCGTTGTTCTCGTTACTCTGTTTGCTATATTAGGATTACCAGCGCGCGGACGTTTGCTAGCGAGCACGGACTTTTCATGTATTTATTCGCATTCATACGTAGAGACTTACATCTTCAACACAACCGTCTGGGTGGATGGGAAAGAGAAGGCGACAGTGCTTGGACCTGCCAGAGCCTGCTTGGTGGCAGGTGCTAGAGTCGGCAAGCGCCGACTGTTGCCCGATAAATCGAGGAGGCGATTCCTCGCTCCGACCACGACGCCTTTGCACACTTGTCAATGTCGACAAAGCCCACTAGAGCTCGACCAGCTGTTATTGAACTGTCCAATCAGGATGCTGGTCCCTGACACTGTCTTCTGGACGGCACTGGCCCTTTAGGCGGCGCAGCACGGTGAACTCAAGAAGTTGGAGTTCGTAACCAAGATGGCTGGACCTGCTTATTTCTTGCGTCGCTCTCATTCTCTCGCACCCACACCACCTCTGACTTGCTCAGGATTGTGCTCGGGGACGATGGCTAGCCCTTTCAGCTTCAAGATACCTCTTCCCAAGCGTCTTCGTAGGAAAACGAGGGCACCTCCGGCGTCAAGCTCGACCATCGCGGAGCGAAAGGTTGTTCAACTTCCGATCGAAATGCACGAGCAAATTATCGACGCCACAGCCTTTCTCGAGCCGATATCGGAGAGATTGCAAGTGTTACGGAGTTGTGCCCTTACCTGTAAGGCATGGCTTCCACGGAGCCAATACAACCTCTTCCGTTGCGTTCAGTACGATCTCTCTACCAAAGTACAACTTCGAAAGCACACCTACAACCCTTTTCGCCGCGACGTTATCGATCCGCCTGGCCCCTTTGTCCTCGAAGTACTGGCAAATGTCTTGTACAAGTCGCCGAACCTGCAACACCTCGTCCGAGAAATCGACGTGATCCTACCGGGTGACCCATACGAGCTGGGGCAGTGGCCCACCGGTCCATACATGCTCATCCCGAGCATTGCCCTCGATCATCTAGGGTACTGCTCTTCGGTACTACCTGCACTCAACACGTTGCGTCTCATAGGCTTTCACCGAGACGTTGACACGCTTGAGTCCCTCGAAGGCGTTACGTACCCTTCGCCGCCCTCCTTCCGCTCCGTCACCACACTCGAACTACACCACATCCTATTCCGGTATTTCTTCGACTTCGTAGGCATCGTCACGGCACTTGTCAACCTGCGCGCTCTCGAGTGTGAACACGTCCACTGGTGGAGACCGTCTCGCGCGATCCAGCCGTTCGCCATCTCCCGCCTGCGTCTGGAGGGGCTCAACGAGTACGAGGTACCTAGACCTTCTCGTACCCTCAGTTGTCTGAATTGACGAACATTCATACGAAGGAAACCTCCACACGTTACCAGAAGCGGGATATAGGCCCCTTGCTTGCGGCCGCTGTGACTTCCCTTGTAGACCTTACTATCGACGCAGCCGAGCTTTTGCGTCCCCCGACTGGTAAGTGCGCTCTCCCACGAGGCCGTCGGGTCTCCTCTCACCTTGGTTATAGCGATTCCCAGTCATTTGAGGCCATTGGCGTCCTTACGCGTTCTGCGGGTGAAATGGCTGCTCAACAGCACGTCCGAGGACCGGAACACAACCTCCGCCCGCGCCCTCGCCTCTGCCAGCCACCCGTATCTCCAAACTCTCATCCTTCACGTGGATACTCGCCTCTCAACCAACCCGCGCGAAGGGCTCGCCGTTCTCGGCCGCGAACTTGACGACACCCTCGCCTTGGGCTCGAAGTTCCCTGCCCTCCAGGTTGTGGCCTTACACCTTGAATTCGATCCATACGACGCCGAACTTGCTGCGCCCCGGTGGTGGGACGACGCGCTTCAGTCGGTCTTTCCGCTCACGTATGGCACTGGTATCATGCGCCTTTGCGGGACCGCACAGTTTTAGTGTGAGTCTCTACAGTTGATGCGGCAGCCTGGCTGCTTGTATGGATACTGATGGTTCTGCGATCTCATCTTGCAGCTCGCTTTTAGGTCATCTGTAATCTAAACATCTTATGACCAAAGTTTTCTCAGAACGTTGTTCACTGAGTCCGACTGTCCTAGTTCGCTCCACAGTGCCGTCTCGGAGATGTCGCTGTGATGTGCAGACACGCGACTACCTTGCTCAAAGGCCGTCACCGCGCACCTCAGCCGTCGTCTTTCGCCCAGGGTTTTGTGCCCTTTCCGCATAGCGTCGGATATCTCCTTGTAGGCACTCCTTTCCGGGGTGCTCGGCGTTGATCCATGTTGCGACATAGCATCCGGGCGGGCTGGCACGCTACGGCTGCGCGTCGTGAGTTGACCCTTTCACCTTAAGATTCGCGGAACTTTCTAACACCTAACCCTCATTAGGATTATCCACAAGGTAGCTCGATCCAGCCACTCCTAAGCATTCAAGGAGACGGTCCTGATGACCTCGGGAGGAATCGGTTCCACGACGCCTCATTCAGGAACCGGAAGCTCAAGCACCGAGAGGTTGCTCGAGAATGCTGGAGAAAAGAGTCCTCCTTTCGACCACGACGTCGTCCTCCACCTACACATCAAGATGTAAGTACGGTGCTGCTGTCGAACAAACTTGATGATCTGTTTCAGGCACTGCGGGCTATAGGCTGTACCGCCGCGCGCCTCAGGCGGCGCAGCTGCTGGTATTGTAACTGAGCAGCCGGGCAATGTACTTAAAGAATCTGCTTCTTCCTCTCTACTCTCATCTTCACACCCCACTGACCCACTCAGACTTGCTCTCACTTGTACACAGACGACAATGTTCAACTCCTTCAGCTTCAAGATCCACATTCCCCGGCGTCTCCATAGAACACCGAGGGCGCTACTAGCACGGTCAGACTCCACCCTCTCGGAGTACCGGAGTATACCACTTCCAACCAACGTACTCGAGCAAATTATCGACACTATAGCCCTTCTCGAATCGATATCGGAGAGGTCGCAGGCGTTGAGGAGTTGTGCCCTCACCTGCAAGTCATGGCTCCCCCGGAGCCAGTACAACCTCTTCCGTTGCGTTCGATACAATATCCCTGGCACACTACATGAGCGAGTCCACATGTGCTACACACCTATGATACCGGTGTTTATCACGTTTCCGTTCCGCCGCCCCAAGGCTCCGGCTATCGCTCCGCCGGGCCCCTCCGTCTTTGACACACTGGACAACGCGCCGTACCTACGACATCTCGTCAAGGAAATCGAAGTACTTCTGCCGAGCGACCCGTGCCAGTCACCAGAGTTGTGGAACTCCCCCTCACCATATGCCTTCTTGGCAGGCAAACTCAAACTTACTCCTCTGGGACGGTGCTCTCAGTTATCGTTACCCGCGCTCACTACGTTGCGCTTCGTAGGCTTTTATCAGGACGCCGCCACCCTCCAGATGATTGCCAACGGCGCGTCACTCGATTTCTTCGGCGTCACTGCGACCTGGTTCCCCACTGTCACCACCCTCGAACTGCGCCATATCATATTCAACCATTGCAACCAGTTTGCGTGGCTTGTCGCAAGCTTTGTCAACCTGCGCAACCTTGAATGTAAACACATCCACTGGGGACCATTTGGCAACTTCGATTTCTACGGCCGCCGCTTAGCCATCGAGCCGTGTACTATCTCCCGCCTGCGGCTGGAGGGGCTCAACGAGTATGAGGTGCGTATGTCTCCTTCCTCCGCTGTTCGCATAAGTAAATATATTTACGCAAGGAAACCTCGAGACTTTACCGGGACCGTGACGCAGGCCCCTTGCTTGCGGCGGTTGCGTCTTCCCTCGTGGACCTCACTATCGACGCAGCCGAACTTCTCCGCCCCCCGTCCTGTAAGCCCACGCCTCCCTATATTCATCATCCGTATCCTCACGGCTCCATGTATAGCGATTGCCAACGTTCTGGAGCCGCTGAAGTCCATGCTCACCCTACGGGTGCAGTGGCTGCTCACAGGCAGTAGGACGGAATCCGAGGAACGGATTAAGACCTCCGCCCGCGCCCTCGTCCACGCAGGCCACCCGTACCTCGAGACGCTCGTCCTTCACGTGGATACTCGTCTTTCAAGCAATCCACACGAAGAGCTCGCTGCTCTCGGGGGCGAACTCGACGACGCCCTAGCCTCGGGTTCGAAGTTCCCCGTCTTGCAGGTGGTGGCTCTACACCTCGAAGTCGAGCCCTGTGAATCCTCTACGCCCCAGCGGTTGGAGGACACGCTTCAAACGGCGTTTCCGAGAACGTGCTACGATGCTGGTCTCATGCGCCTTTGCGGGAGCTGGCAGTCCGAGCGTGAGTATGTTTACGCATCCCACTAGCATGCCATACGCATACTGACGACTCCCTTTTACTTAATCTCTCTGTTACAGCTTGCCATCAATAAATTGTATACCAGGACGATATATTCTGCATAATTCATGTTCGTTGAGAGGTCGCGCAGACACCAGCTGACCGGTGGCCTTCACTCGGAGCGGCGTTCGCTCGGGGAGGTGGCTGTGCTGCTCAGGCAAATCCATTTAACCTCGTTAACGTTTGCACCTGCTTCCATCTCGCACTTCGGCCATCTTTCCCCCCTGAGGGTCCTACGCCCTGGCCTCCTGTCGTCGTCTGTGGCATGCCGCCATGATCACAAGTTAAAGATACACAGGCGCCAGGGCGGCCATCCACGGCCAGCCATCCATCCCTCCAATCAGACATCTTCCTAATTCCACCACTGACGTGTAACATGATCACCTTCGAGAACCTTGTTATGTATTAGGTGTGCGTGAGTCCGATGCGTCCTTCTTCGGGCATGTCTGCGTGAGTCCGATACGTCCTTCCTCGGGCATGTGGCTGATGGTTAGAGACGGGTGCAATGCTTTTCAGAAACAACCGTGTTATTGCCCACAAGAAGATCCCTACACGGCTTGCGTTTGTCTGATTCTTACAGCCTCCGACTCTTCTGGGGGCGTGTCCATATGTGGTTGCTACCAGGGCTCTTTTGCTTCCTCGTACCTCTGTGAGGTAGGCATCCTCTTTCTGCTTACACCAAGAGTAGCATGCGGCCTGCGCCCCATCACGGCATGCGCCTTCTTGACAGACTCAATTGGGCGACTTGACGGCCTAACATCGCGCAGCCCCCTGTCAGAACACCTCCTGCCGTCCTCCCATGACCCGCGCAAAGGGGCGCCTGCACAGGCGCACACTCTCGTCACCCCGCGCTCCACCGTCGCTCGAAGGTTACGGCTGGCCTAACCCTCGAGGGGCAAGGATTCGCACGTCTGCCTTCCTTTGCGTAACGGTGATTAACAAGGCTCTGGCCAATGGGTATATAGTAGTCTCCCCGAGACATCTCGCCCCTCGTAACCTCCGAGTATCTCGACCATGCTAAGCTTAGACACCTCGACATTTTCGAATATCTCCCCGTGGCCGCTCCTAGTCGGGGCGCTCGGCTTTCTATGCTATGCCGTAGCGCGCGGACTTCGCTGGGGCAAGGAGGCCGATCGACTGCCCCCCAGTCCCCCCGGTCACTGGCTGCTCGGCAATGCACCCCCAACCGCTTAGTGAGTTCCTTGCGAAACTTTGTCAGAACGGACACCGCTAATCATTCTTGCGCTCTGGATGCAGCGCCCACCTCCACCACACACGTATCGCCGAAACGTATGGACCTGTGTTTACGCTGCGGTATGGCTCTCGGCGGCTTTGCGTGATCGCACGTTACCAGGTAGGCAGCCCACGTCTTGTTGGTTCTTGGACGCAGTTTTGAACATGCTTCCGCTCTCAGGCGGCGCAGGATATCATGGTCAAGCAATCGCACCTTCTTGCCGACCGCCCACGGTCCGTCGCCGTCGGGGAGCTTATTTCGAACGGGATGCGTGTCCTTACGCTTGGTGTGGGCGACCGTCTGAGGAGACTCAGGGGGTAAGTAAACAGCCGACATATCTCCCTGTAGTATGCAGTGTTGATATTGGTAACAGGATACTGCACGCGACGCTTCAGCCTGCAAGCGCGGCACGCTATGAGTATCTGCAGGCCCACAACGCGCGAAACTTCATCACCGACATCCTCGACCGACCCGACGAGTTCATTGGCCATTCTAGAAGGCACGTGCGCCGGCAGCGGCATGAACCCGCTTCGTTCTCGTTGCGATCCTCACTCGTCACTATCTATCTACTATTCCAGGTATGCAGCAAGCGTCATTCTGTCGATCACATACGGAAAGACCACCCCGACGTCGTTTTCGGATCCGGACGTCAAGCAGATCGTCGTGGGTGCCGCGCGCGTAGGCGACGCGGTGCGCCCGGGGGCGTACCTCATCGACACGTACCCGTTCCTCAAGCACATCCCGTTCTTCACGTCCGAGCTCAAACGCTTCCACCGCGAGGAGCTCGCGCTGTATCGCAGCCAAGTACAGGGCGTGAAGGCGCGTGTGGTCAGTCCTCCCCACTAGCATCTGACGTTTGGATATTGGCAGAGCAGGTACTGAATATGCTACGCGTGCTGTAGGCGAAGAACGAATGCCCGCCGTGCTTTGTGACGTCCATTTTGGAACGCCAAGAGGAATTCAACATGTCCGATGACGAGCTGGCGTACCTCGCCGGGTCGATGTTCGGCGCGGGGTCCGATACCGTGCGTTATATGCCCAATATCCCGCTATTTTCGTCTGACGATTTCCCATGGTAGACTTCTGGGGTGCTTCCGATTATGATCATGGCGGCGGCGCGGCACCCAGAGATGCAGGCGAAGGTACAGGCACAGCTGGATGAGGTCGTGGGTCGCGACAGACGTAAGGCGGCGTTTAGAATCCTGAAAACGACTATATGCTGAGTGGTCCGATCATCTATCAGTGCCTACATTCGCAGACCAGGAGCTGCTTACCGAGGTCAACGCGTGGGTACAGGAGGTGTACAGATGGAGGCCTGTAACGCCGCTAGGTGAAACTTATCACCTTCTCCGCAAGTATATATATATGCTCACTGGCTCGTTGAATACCAGGGTTTACACATAGGGCCACGAAAGACGTCGTTTGGGTACGAACTATCCCTTGGATGCCTCGCCAGTAGCGCCTTGAGAACTCTAACACGACGAGTAGAAGGACTATGTAATCCCAGCAGGAACAGAGGTTCTTGCGTGCCACTGGTAAGCATCCTTCCCTCTATAACTGTGGCCCCTTAATGATCACTGTCGCGCCTTTAGGGCAATCTCGCGCGACCCGGACGCATATCCCGACCCCGAGGCGTTCAAGCCGTCCCGCTGGCTGAATGAGAAGGGTCAGATGAGGGAGGACCTCAAATTTTTCAATTGGGGCTTCGGACGGAGGTTAATTTTATCTGCCTATGTTTTGCAAAGTCTTCTAGCTGACATGGCTCGCAGAATCTGTCCGGGGTTGCACGTCGCTGAGCGGTGAGTAAAGACCAAACACTGGACACGCGTGTGCTTACTGTGGTTTTGCACCAGGTCGGTGTTCATCAACACGGCGCTCACGCTATGGGCATTCGACATATCTGAAGACCCGGCCCACCCAATCGACACAATGGCCATCAAGGACGGCGCGCTCGCGCACCCGTACCCTTTCGTGGTGCGCTTCAAGCCGAGAATTGCGAATTTGAGGGAGAAGATTCTGGCTCACAACGAGTAAGGGTGGGGGGGTACTATTGCCCTCTTCATGGCAATTTCGAGAGAACGCGGGATATATGAGTGTCCGTGACGTTTCTAAGCTGTAATCTGTATGCACTTAAGTTAGAATCATATCAGCAATGCCTGTGGCGTGCTGTTAACCTGGCGTCGCACCATTCCCCTCTCCATACCAGCCCAACTCCATAACGCCGATAGAGTCTACATGTAGCATTAGAAGACCATCCAAGATCCGGAGAAATACGGTACGCGTGCACGAATAAGTTAATGCCGTCCTAATCGCCCCCGACACCACGCCCACGCGCGGTCGACCGCGTCGCTCCCCCACGATACCGCCTCGTCCACCACGCCATCGAACCGCTGCTCGTTCCACGGGGAGTGCCGGTCGTCGTGCTCGGTCATAGTGAACCGCAGCACGTCCTTGACGGTCACCAGGCCCGCGAGCGCGCCGTGGTTCTCGACCAGGATGACGCGGGGGCTGTATACGTTATTAGTGCTTCTAGGCTAGCGCCTAAGACGGTCGAGGCGCTCACCCCATGCGTTTGAATAGTTGCATGACGACCTCGAGCGGCAGTTGCGGAGATACGGTGAGCGGTGTCTGCGAGCGAGACGTTCGTAATCCTGTATGCACGCATATAGGCAGTTATTACGCACCTGGTTCACCCAGGGCCAGAGCTTGAGGACGTCGGGAGTGGCTGTGGTCTCCATGATCTCCAACGAGAGCTCGTCGTCTATGCCGACGGCGGGACCCGAGGCCATCCCGGAGAACTCGGCTTCTTCTTCGTCTTCGGCGTCGGGTGCGAAGGACACTGGTGTGCCTGCTTGTACGTCTTGATAGTCCTTTGCCTTGTCTGTAAACAGGTTAAGTATATAATATAGATGCCTCGGATGCACCAAAACTGACCTAGTACGTATCGCAACTCTGATCGATCGATGAATCCTAACAATGTCCGGCTGGCGTCCACAGACACTATCGGAAATCCCTTCACTTCCGTGCTGGCAAGGATGCTCTCTGCAGCAAGCAAGTGTCAGACCGAGCCGAAGCACAATTTTTGCCGATCGTACCTATGTCCTGGACAGTGAGACCGGATGCTGGAAGCGTCTTGAGGTCAAATCTCATCACTCTAGAGACTGTCGGCCTATTAGTATCATGGACACATCAATCGTGGAGGCATAAGTACCTGGTACGTTATATGCGTGGTCGTCTTTCTCGAGGAAAGGGAAGCCATTGAAACGGATCATCTCGTCCGCGATGCCGTTCGTACCAAGGAAATCTCCGACGGCCTTCGTGACCAGTAGGACGATCTGCGGGAACTTTCAGGCAGCGCAATAAGACAGGAAAGATTCAAACGTACCATAGTAGGCAGGATGTACGTTAGGGCCCCGGTTAGTTCGAACATGATCACCACAACGGTGACAGTCAGTCGCATCACGCCGCTACACTTCGCCGTCAGCACGACCTGCAAGCAAGGGGTGACAGACAAAGCCTACCTCAGCGCGGCAGCGGCGCCCAAGAGCGCGTACGTTCCGGGAGTGATACATGGCACATCGGGTTGACATACAGAGAAGATTCCCGAGGTCGGGTACGCACTGCAGTCTATAAGAACGCTGAATATTGGGGGCACAAACGTGACTCACCGATTGATCGCCTTGACCATGATACCCACCATCCGCCCGAACGTGGCGCCAATGGCCATGGACGGCACGAAGATACCCGCAGGCACTTTGCATCCGTATGAGATAGTAACCAGGCCCATCCGCGCAACGGTAGCGAGGAAGAGGGAGTTGACCATCGGCCATTGATACGTTGTCCTGACCGCGACATGAGCCAAGTGTACACAACCAGTAAATGGCACACGCACTGGCAGAGGTGGTCGTAGTCGCTCGCGCCGTCGCATTCGCGGAAGAGGATTTCCATGCTCTCCGTCATGTCGATACGCATGAAGTGGTTGAACCACCCGATCATGGCTGTGATTACGGCCAACGTCACGGCCTCTGCGATGCCGTGTTTCCCCAGGTACCGGCGACGGAACTCCGCCACCTTGAGGTTAAACTTCACCATAAAGGCGCCGTAGAGACCCTGCCAGGCCGTCAGCTCTCATGAGCACTTCGCACGCAATGCGCACTTACCCCGAATATGCCCAAGATTATGAAGAATATTATCTCGAAGAAGTGCCAGTCTCTGTCGTATGTGACCTGGAACAGTACCAGCTTGCCACTGCGGTACGGGTTCATGGCCTAAAGTGGCGTCATGAACAAATTGATAGGATTCGAGCGCGCTAGCACTCACCGACAGAGTGACCGTCGCGACAAGGGCGCAGAAGAAGCTTCTCCACATGGTCTTAATACTGAAGACACTACTCATTTCCTGCGACGTTGTGGCGTTAGGTCAAATTGCACATCCGCCTGCAGGTCTCGTACCTCAATAGAGAACAGGACTCCCCCAATTGGTGAACCGAAGGCAACAGCTACGCCCGCAGCACTGGATGCTGTCAATATCTCCCTCATCTTGACTAGACGCGCTGCATGTCAGAAGCAAGACCGGACTACAAGAGCAACTACTCACCTTGGCTCCGCGAAAATCCCTTGAATAGGCTTGCTATCAGGTTTCCTACGCAGCACGCGACGTGCACCGAAGGGCCCTCTTTTCCTACGGAAAGCCCGGAGGCAATGACGAGGGGCTACACGGTATCAGTATGAACTCGTGAATGCGTGAAGCTCAGACTCACGCACCAGAGTTACACTCTTGATAAAGAACGTCCAGAATCCAAGAAAGCCTTTCATGATGAACCCGCCAATGATGCACTTGATCTCGGATATGCCAGATCCAGCAGCGTACTTCGCGAGCTGCTTCACGAGGTGTGCTGCCACAAAGGAGAAGAGTGCCTGTGCAGAAGTTCTGTATTCACGTCATAACCCGGCAAGGAGGTGGGACGTACAGCAAAGAGGACGTATATTGCCCACCGCGCGGGCATAACATTGCTCCACTGGTGCCAAGCCTCGCAGGTGTCCTCGTCGCCGCCCTCGATCTCCCAGCAGCAGAACTGCTGGTTCAGCCACCAGCCGTCCGCGCAGTAGCCCATCTTGATGTCCGAGAGCCATTCCGTCACAATAGAGATGATGGCAGCATTGAACCCAATCGCAATGCCTGTACGCGGTCAGGACACACGAGTGCAATGAACGGGTAGTGCATAAGAACTCACCAACAAGCGTGACGACGAACCAGCTCTCGCCCGCATGTGCAATGCCTTGCAGTCGCGACCAGAGCCAGGCGAGCGTGACCTCTCCCCTCGGACCTCTGTGGGGTATGGACTGTCTCCGCGCAGTCCTCAGCCGCCTATTGCGCTCGATGATCGAGTCTTGTATCCAGTCTGGACATAATCTTGAGCAAGGGCGGAAGGAGTAGATGCGCTCTGCTAACCGATAGTGGTGAAGTCCTCATAGCGTCTGAAGAACGCTCAGCAGGTCAGCGCAGCAAGAGCGGTCGCCGCACGCACTTGAGTCGGTCAAAGTCCTCGTCTTGTGCTGGTCTCCTCAAGTTGTGGTACTGTGCAGTGCGTTCGCGAGACATTCAGACGCATTGAACACGGAGTTCAAGCGGAGAGTGTGAGACAGAAGTGCCAGGCCAGCGGGAGTGAGTGAACAACGCGGAGAGCGCGAACCCCGGAAGCTGTCGCGGTCGTCCCGCGACGCTGGGCCTGGGCGCTTGGAAGCGCTTCCCTTCGCAGGTGCTCCGAGAAACTCGGACAAAATATCTTGCAGCAACCTCTGCGGGCAGGCATGTACAAATTATTATGAGAGAATAATCTAGTGGGTACATCCAAGAGGGAAAGATAAATAAACTAAGCTGAAGTCCCGGCCGTCATCGACTATCTCCTTGCTCATCCCTATCCGTGGCATTGTACATCAGCGTAGGTAGAATTTGGACGTGGTGCGACTTACCGACGACGGCTGTTTTGTACTCGTATAAACAGCCAGTCCACTGCAGCTCGAACTCCGGTCCTGGCATGCCCTCAATAAGATAGCACATCCCTTGAAGGTCAGGACTCACCCCTCTAATGCGGAAATGCCCATGACGTCTAAGCTTGCAATGCGCTCGGAGCGATGTTGGATCTCCATCTCCTCACCGTAGCTTCTGCGAGCACTTTCTAGCTTCCGCCGATGCCAGTCTTCGTAATCGTTGCGAATTTCCTCGACCGAGAGGCTCTGAGGGCTGTCTTGCTTGTTGGCAAGCAGCAAGAGCGGCACACCAAGAATTTGCGGTGCAGAGAGAACAGAGTCTATAAATCGTCAGAATAGTATCCATCGCTCTATGCACGATACTTACCGAAGACTTCCCACCCTTCGCTGAGGCGTTCGCGGTCATCTGCGTCTATGACGAACACAACTGCATGACAATCATCGTAATAACGATGCCAGATGGAGCGTATTCCACACTGTCCACCCAGATCCCAGAGCTTGAGTATCGTGGAGGGAAGGGTTATCTTTCCCACTGTAGAGAATGCGATGTGAGCGAGTTGTGTGGTTGAGTTCTGATGTTTTACTCACTGTTTTGGCCGACGGTAGGCGCGATCTTGTCGGGGGAGAGACCAGGTGTCTCGTTATATAGTGTCTTGATTCTCTCTAGTAACGTCTACTGGCTTGTTCCAGCTATAGCATATACTTGACTAGTAGAATCACGAACCGTCTTGCCCGCGCCATCTAGGCCTATGATGATGACCGAGAATTCTTCCTTTCTAATGGAATGAGAAAAAGCAGTCAAAACGTGACCATGCTGCACGTACCTTGTCAGATACTCATGGAACCCTTTCAGAAGATGATACATCGCTGCTCAAGCTCGCGCACGTACGTCACGGTGGCCAGCTACGAACCACAAGCGCCCATAAGTGCTATGACGGCAAGTGGCCGGCCAAACAGAGGCAAACAACGCGGGAGGGCCGACTGGCCTGGTCGTCATCGCGGGCGGTCAACACAGCGTTCACCAGGCCCGCCACGATGGGCTTATACTCTTCATACTACAGCTTTGGGCTGCCCACGTTTCTCTCGGTGGTCATCGCGCTCTACCTGCTCTTCACTGGTCTGTCTAGCGCCGCACCTCTGCTCGCATACACCAACTGAATTGCCGCACAACCTACAGGCTCCGGAGAGGCATTCAATGTTGGCCAGTTTCTCGAAGAGACGAGTCCGTATGCGTGGGCGTCGACAGGAATTGGTCTCTGCATAGGCCTCAGCGTGTTGGGCGCAGGATGGTACGCGTCCGTTCGTCACGTGTGTGCTTCGCCCGCTCATCCAGTTCGGCTCGCAGGGGCATCTTCATTACGGGTGCTTCTATACTTGGTGGAGGAGTGAGGGCGCCGCGCATCAGGACCAAGAACTTGATCAGGTATGTCGCCCCGGCTGCTCTGTCGGATTCGCAGCCTTACCGGGCTGCAGCATCATCTTCTGCGAGGTCGTCGCCATCTACGGCGTGGTAAGTCTACCTTGCAGTCTGGTATCAGTCCGTGATGCTCACCCTGTCCTCCAAGATCATCGGAATTGTGTATTCTTCAAGAATAGCCCCGGTTGCGGACCACCTCCTATACACGCGGGAGAATTACTTCACAGGTGCGTCAATATTCCTCTACACGCAGGAGACGTTTTGAGCGAAGGGCTGGGACAGGCTTCGCGCTCTTCTGGGGCGGCCTGACTGTAGGCGCGTGCAATCTGCTCTGCGGTATCTCCGTAGGCATTGCAGGCTCGACTGCTGCCCTCGCGGACGCGGCCGACCCGGACCTGTTCGTCAAGATTCTCATTGTGGAGGTGTTCGGCAGTATCATGGGTCTCTTCGGTCTCATTGGTACGTTCGCATCTTTCTCGCTATGGTTGGGTGTTAACGTCGGGCACAGTGGGGCTATTGATGATCGCACAAGCAAACGAATTTGCTGCGGCAGCAGCGCCTGCCGTCGTTTCGCCCTTCGTACACTAAACTGCGGCGTGGTAATACGTGTTCATGTTGTTAATCATACCCTCGTCTGCCGAGTCATATCTGACAGGACGAAAGGCGACGACCTTAACTACCACAAAACTGTGCGTGACGGGTATCTCGCCGCAATGAGGAAACTGAGACAAGAGACGCTCCGGTGACACTACGAATACATCGTGGTAAGGAATACATCATGACACATGAAGGAAACGAGTAACGATCGCGAGCAAGTTGTACCGGCGCACAATACCGCCTGGCGTTTCATGAGTGCTTCATGGTCCGTCAGTCGAGTTTCTGCCATGCACTCACCTCACGCCGAGCACCCCCAGTGGTTGCGGAAGACTGAATCCGAGTCCAGTGTATCGGGCGATATATAGAATTCTAGTGAGACAAAACTATCATCACAATCTGCAGTTTCAACACGTCCGTTAGTATGTGGCACCCGATGTAGGCAGAAGTGTACGGAACGCACTGCCGTCTTCCTCGGATATGTCGGGGGATGTTTCTGAGTCAGCGCTGACCATAGTGATCTGAGACGGAGAGCTCAAAGGTCCGGCAGGGGCCGGGGTAGTATCCGCTGGTGCCGGCGGGGCGTCGTTGGGTCGTGAGCCGTTGATGAAGTCAATAAGAGCCCGATCGCTCTCAGACTGGAACAAGAAGAGAAAGACATCAATAAGACGCTTCGCAGCGGGCTCTACATCGTCGCTCACCCATACGGTGTGTTTGTATTGTTGCGCACGGTCCTTCCAATGCACAATCAGACGGTAAACTCCATACTTCCGGAATATCTGGCGGCACTTTAGCGAGTTTAGCTGCTGGGAAAGTCCTTCTCCCTCGGACCGGAGACTGTGAAAGCAGAATGAATCAGCGTCGAGATACAAGAAAGGAGTCACCTCTGCCAGTAGGACGTACGTTTCTGATTGCTTACAAAGTGCACGGTAAAGCTGTCCACATGCAACCTCCAAGGCCTCTTTGCAATCCACCCTCTGGAGTTGTTCGGAGGCTATGTGTAGATCTGTTCTACCTTCGTTGATAAGGACTCGGATTTGCCCCTTGCTCACCCGCTTCCAGACCGGGAGGAACGCCGGGAGGGTGTGTGCGATATCGGCAGTGATGTGCTCAACAGTTCCAAAAGCAGAAGCCATAATAGTCAAGAGTGCGAGGGAGTCAGACGGGGCTGAGCGATGATGTATACGAGTGAGGTGCGTACTTTGCAGAATGGGTGCTGAATTTATGCACGGCTCTTGTAATCTGGAATAAGTACATAGCTTTTTACGGCCTCTCCCAACGCATCCTGCGAGACGTAATGGGCGGTACAAGGCCGGCGAACAAAGACAGTCGCTAATGGATTATCATGGCGTTATCGGAGGCCGGGGGGCGACCATGGGCGGCGATGATACGAAGATGCAGAATTCAGAAACGAGATTGCTACCGGTGGCCTGATTCTTTGTTGCACTCAACGCTGCGCCATCACGACCTTGTGCTGCTAGAGCAACAGCGTACGTACTGGGTAGCTCGTGGTGCGAGCGAAGTAGTACATATAGCAACCGTGCCCACCGGCGGGGCCACCTTGAGCGTCAGTCGTGTGAACAAGTTGAAGCTTTCCGAGGCTGTGCCCTGGACCTCTTGACGCCCACTCACTCTGACCGCCCACCACCCACCGGGTCCACATTCGGTGCTCCTCATCCTGTATGTCCTATGTCGGAGTCCCCAGCCGTCTCTCAGCCCGTCGAGAGAATCCCACTGCCTAAATTCAATCTCGATGAACTCGACGAGTCGGAATGCTGGTGGCGCGATCACCAAGTTTGGCTCGCAGAACGCGGATATATGCTTCGTCCTCGTTTCAGGCCTGGCTGGACACCGTCTTGGAAGGCTAATCCGGGGAAGCTCACTTTGTTGCATGAGGACTGGCATCCTATCTTGGTATGTCAACGCGCCTCGCCTGTGCCAGTGGCCGAAGCTCACTTGATATACCACTGCAGCACCCCCGCATCATGGACGCTGTCCGCATAGCGGACGATCGTCTCGTTATGTTCAAACTCATCAAGAAGAGCCACTACCCGCATGAGCTGGAGATAACCCAGTTTCTTGCCGATACAACACGAGCAGACCCTCGCAACCATACGGTACCTATCCTGGATGTTTTCGACGTTCACGACGATGTAGACTTCACTTTGATCGTCATGCCGCTCTTGCGGCAGTGCGACCGTCCAAAGTGGAAGACCGTTGGTGAGGTTGTCTCTTTCCTTTGTCAAGTATTTGAGGTGAGTCTCCTTCGTGATGTATGATAAGTCATAATATTGACCGTACCGCAGGGTATGAGCTTTATGCACGAGCTCCACATAGCGCATAGGTACGCTGCTTTCACCATGGTCTCCTTCGTTCGCTCACAGTCTTCAGGGACTGCCAGGCGCCGAACATCATGTACGACCCCAGCCCCATGTACCCTGACATGTTCCATCCCCGGATCCAGTACAAAGCACGAGACTGGAAAGGCGACGCCAAACACTCTACGCGCACAGCTCGCCCAGTAAGATACTACTTCATCGACTTTGGGCTCTCTCGCAAGTACAATCCCGAGGATGGGCCCCCTCGCGAGATGCCTATCCGAGGCGGGGACAAGACCGTGCCCGAGTTTCAGAACTGGGCCGGCGAGTCTCTTGACCCCTTCCCCACCGATATCTACTATCTTGGGAACATGATTCGCATGCATGTCATGCAGGTCCGTATGGTTTCTGCTCCGTCACCACCACCACTGACTGGTTTGTACACAGAGATACTTCAAGACGGAGTTTCTTGCGCCGTTAGTCGACGAGATGACCTGCGCCGATCCCACGAAGCGGCCAACAATCCAGCAGGTCGTCGAGCGCTTCGATCGGCTCGTGAAGACGATCGCATCCCGGAAACTGCGCTCTCGCCTCATCCCTCGCGACGAGGACCCGAGCGAGACGTTCTTCAAGAACGTCGCACATGCCTTTCGCACGGCGCGGTATATCCTTACACGCAAATCTGCTATACCCATCCCTTGAACTGCGAACGATGGTCACGACGGTGCTACCAGGCTGTATCATACTTATAGGAGTATTCGAGCTGGTGATATACAGTGAACCATCAGCCTGGCCTTTCTCGATCACGTCCGCTCTTGTCAATACCCTTTCAAGGTCCGACATTCCCGGAAACTTCTCAACAATAAGAGGGGCGACCAAAGTCTGAGAGGCAAGGCTGTTATGGAAGTCGAGTCAGGACTTTCGAGCCCACCCGCCGCGGCTCTCGTGTCCCCTTTTCTCTTCCACTCGCCCCTCAGCAACTCATCGAGTCTGACGACTTCTGTGAAGCACCCACCTCACAGCTAACTGCATTCCTACCGTTCATGATGTCGGAATTCGAGCTGTTTCACACGAGGCCGCGCAGAACTTCGAATATAACGGCCTGGAGTTCCTCGCGCCGTCGTGCAAGACATCAACCTTCGAAGCAGTCGACGACAGGACCTCGTCTGGCGCTTCATCGAGCTAGTGAAGCCGCCTGGGTCTAGAAACCTTCGATCTCGGCTCATTCCTGGCGAAGACAACGCTCTGGGGCGGCGCATTGTTCACACATTCCACCGTCCTCTGCAGCTCTTGCGTTCCTCTCCGAAGTCGATTCCCATCGGAGTGCGACCGTCCGGTCCTTGGCCCGTCACACATACGCTCTTGTTTTCGGGCGCATCAATCACGCCAGAACGCGCGAACGAGACGGACAAGAAGAATCGCGACGCTGCCCTTAAGCGATGTCAACGGCTAGTGGCTGGGCGGCTTAGAATGTGCTCGGTCGCCTCACGGGAACAACAGCGGTTGTAGCGACCTTATTCCTATGTCAGACTCCATGCATTCCAACAGAGGGTGGACTCGAAGAGCAACAAGGGCGCAATCGTATGAAATACAGCCATCACCGGAACCCGGAGTTGCGACAAGATACGGCGCGCAGCATCACACCTGCTGAGTACCCGCCCAGGCCTTCCTTCGCTCGGCGAGCGGGATTCCGATGGCGTCTCTGGTGGACATCTCGAACACCGCCTGTGTTGAAAATCTGTGAGCTTCCACAGGCCAATTGCGTTAAATCTAATTTTAACATACCTCGGCATCGTTCCTCAAAGACCTCGTAGCCGTGAACCAGCGCCGCTTCTCACGGCCCGCCGGGAGCATGGCGAGGTACTTGTTGACTTTCCAGCCCGCGCGCATGTCAGAGAGCCTATAAATCACACCTATAGTTTAGCATATCGCCTTTAGAAATGTATTAACAAGACTTACTTTGTATACCGGTCGAAAAGGGCCGTGTATTCTTCGAACGAGATGGAATCGAGGCTCTGGCGCAGAATCGCGAGCGTGCGGGACTGGTGCTCGCCGGCAGTGTGGAGGACAGCAAACGTGCTGAACTTGTTGATCCAAAGATGCGCCAAGACGCCGCAAACGCAGATCACTGGTGGTTTCAAAGGCATGAGCTCATTAGTGTCATGATGTGGAGGAGCCAGCATGATCACGGACCTATGAGGAGAAATTCTGGCATGCAGAGAGTCGGAGTGGGATCGGCTGGGACGTTTGAGATGGCAGGCATGTTGGAGAGCTTCTAGTTGCTGGATAAGAGTGGAAAAGTGCGTTGGAATAGGCAATGTTGTGGGAGAGCGAGTGAGGACAGCGATGATTTATAGCACGCCGAGGACAAGAACTTCCAGCAGTGGTTCACAACCAGCAGGCGTCGTCCTCAACACAACGCATTCGCTATTCTTCGCATCCACGAGGCACACCTTCACGTCCGTCGCGAAGAGACAAGTGCCGCTGCGTAAGACAGCTGCTCTCCAGAACAAAGCAGCGGACGCGGGTGTTGACAGCAGGCGTTTAGCGAGCGGCTGCGTCCAAATACAAGGTCTACCCCCCTGGTCGTGAGCAATTGCGGCGCATCCATAGGCGAGAAGGATGGCCCGAAAATGCTGCCGTCAATTAACCTACTGCCAAAAATTGTAGCGGCGTGTGTCATGCGAACAACAATCTTACCCTTCGAGGAGAAACACGAGCCGCCTGCTACATCTGAGGGAGTTCTGATCAGATGTCTTCCATCAGAGTACATCCGTCAGGCTTAATGAGTAGATGTCCTGGCCAGGCGACATGGACGTGGTTTGCTGAACAAGGCACGACAGTTTGAGAGGGCGGACACAGCAAGAAATGGCGGGACGCGCTGGCCGTGGTATTGAACACGATTGCGAGGACTCCAGTGACGTCTACCGGAATTGTACTGCGTCTGTACTGGATTCATGAGGTATTCGATGCGACTCAGAGCTAGAGCAAAAGCAGCGAGAGGCAGGAGATCCGCAGGACTGCGTGACAGTACAAGCTTGACAGTTAGCCAGAGGAGGCGGGCGTGTGGAAGAAGCGCGCTGACCATTGGGCGCCTCTTTACATCGGCGTCCGGTCCGGTGCGATCCGGTGCGATCTCATGCCCAAATCTGGGACCAACTTTGTCGTTGTACTCCGCGAGTCCGCCCACCAACATTGTCCCCTCAACCACCACAAAGACCCACATCGCCACAGCCAAGATCATATCCGGGACCCCATGGTAAGTGCGTGTATATATTGAACGGCTCGGTAACGCGTGGACTGAGTGATTGGCATCGTAATCGTAGGAACACAGAGGGCACGACCACGAAGTTGTCGTAGCGCTGTTCTTCACACGTTTAGAGCGATTGATACAGATGCGTGGTTGTATTGACCCTATGCTGGTCACGTAATGTGGAGGTCGCGGGCGCAGCTAGCTAACACAACACTATCAGTACAGCCCCACTACTGCACAAACAAACCATGCATTTGAAGACATAGTAGTCGGGGCCGCGCCGCAGAAAGCACCAGAGAGAATACGGAATCAAGCACGAGGACCCGTCCACTCAGACCAAGTGAGAGAAACAATTCGGCAGGTAGTTCCAATTCGTTCACCACCGCCATAGGTCGACTCCGATTGACGGTCAGGACCCGTCGCGGCCGCTTTCATACGATCCGCAAAGCGACATTAAGACTCAGATCAGGGCGTCCATAAAAGGTCGCTTGTATAACACATTCATCGGTCGCAAGATTCTGGTAACGCGCGCGAGATCGGCCTGAGCACATCTACGACGTTGCCATGTTAGAAGCTCTTGAGTACGAAGGCGGGCGCCGTGCGGGCGTCGTGTAGAACTGCCGGTACGACATCGACGACTGAGACAACGCGTGTGGGTATAGTGTCAAGCGCACGGAATCCAGCATCAGCGAGTCCCAACCCGAACCTTTCCGTGTCGGCTCTCCCATCTTCCCGTGTAAGTCAGTCTGTACGCTGTCAGGATCGCCTAGCCTCCTGTGGTATGCGCCGCGGTGGGCCGCCCATCCTCCTGAGCACTGTTTCAGACGGTGCAACCACACGGCGTGCCGCTCTCGGGCACGACGGACGAGAAGCACGTAGACAATAACGTCTCGGCTACATGAACTTCCAGTCGTTGATGGTAGAGGTCCTGCATGCCACACGTACTTCGATCATGTAGGGATTCGGCGCTGACAGATGTGTGATGAGAGTTTCCCCTGGCAGACTTGACTATCTATGGTTCGTAACTAGCACCACCTATGTCGTTGGTGAGAACAAGGGTGTGAAGCCGCACAACTTCGTATTCGGTCCGGATATCTTTACAATGGATCATCGTCATCATCGGTCTTGGACATGTTTAGAGAAGCTGGCCAATAGATTATACACGAGCACAGGATGCAATACATGAGAGCGAGAGCAATTCAGGACAACAATGTTCAAAGCGCACGGAGGGTATCGTATGATTGTACGTGAAGACAGTATGGGTGTGGTCACGGCGATGGACGACCGGCGGGTTCGGCAAGAGGGTGGGTGGTCTGTGCGTCGTCAGGAATTTCAACGGCCGCGACCGTCACTGCGACTCCCTCCAGAGGGATGCGCTCCTGGGTGATGTCTTCTTCCGGCAGTTCCTCCTCCATGGTCGCAAGCAGCCGTCCCGCGAGACCCTCAGGAGAGAGAATGCCTGGAGCATCTGTGAGGGTTCCCAACACGCCTGACTCCGGCTGGCCAGAAGACGATGGTTCCCCTGTGACTGTGGCTTCAGGAAGGCCAGGCGTTGAAGGACGCGACGTGACAACCCAATCGTGTCCGACGGAATGCACGGCTAGTCGGGCGGACTTTCAACGAAAGTGATCTGGGAGCGACAGATAGATACACATACATGGTGTATACCGGCGGCCCTTCCTGGCGCCGTAAAGATCGGAGGACGTCTAAAGTGTCAAGACACCTTCAGTTGATTACGCCAAGCTGGAGCTTTATGGTCTCACCTGCACGTCGTCGCGAAGACCACACGTTTGATCCTCAAAATTCGATGCTTGTGCGTAGATCTTCCAAGCCGACCAGCGACCCAGCGCTTTCTTTTTTTCCTTCAAACAGAGGCCCTGATCAAAAAGTCTGCAAGTGCGTAGCGTCAGCCGGGTTTCTGATCACGGTGCGATTTGAAGCATGTCGTACGTGTCATGCGTCTCAAAGTATCCTCTATAGAGAGGAAGTGGCATAGCCTGATCCGGCGATTGGAGCTTATTCGAAACGTAGCGCAGGTTGTTGAATCCCCTGTCGATGGTAGAACCTGGAAGCTGACGTGCGACGATGTCGACGAGGTTAAACCCGCTGACACCAGAAACGGTCGAAAGGTTGGCGGCATCCTGGTTGCATCGCTCGAGGTTGGCTAGCACGCCCATGGTTGTAGGATCGGAGGGAGACGACACGCCTGGAGTAAGGGTAGGATTCGGGAAGTTGCAGTGGTGCGAAGGCCTGGCAGCCTCCTCCTGTGCGAGATTATATGTGTCGCAGAGCGCACGCGAAGAAGACTGTCAGTCACCCGTCTCTTCGCGGTAACTTTGACTCTCTATGGCGCGTAACTAGAACCAGCGGGAGAGTACAACGCGTCCCTTGTGGATTCTTGGTACCGAAAAGGTACTTACACAACCTGATGCCAGTGGCAGTGGATATGATGGTACAGCGGAGCGAATACAACGTTGCCGGACTGGGTGGAGCGACCATAGTATAGCAGTCGAGAATCTTGGAGCAGCAAGGTATCGCGACGCTGCAGCGTCCGTTTATCGAAGAACAAGGATGTGGACGTCAAGCTTACGGCCGTGATTTGGCGGAGGCGGAGGCGTTTCCCATGGTGTCCCTCGTGGCCATACCCACGTGTCCGGCTAACACAACCGCCCACGGTTGCACCCACGGCGCGCGGAGGTCAAACTCTAATTTGCCCTCCCCACTACGCCCCACACTCGTCCCGCTCCCCCAAGCCGTTCCCTATGGCTTCCGTGGTCGACGCTAGCTCGCCCGCACAGATCCCACGGAAACGGTATGATGGCGAACTCACTACTGGCGAGACATGGTGGAGGGACCACCAGGTTTGGTTACAGGAGCGTGGGTACATGCTCCGCCCTCGCTATAGACCCGACTGGGTGCCTTCATGGCACAAGGACGGAGGAGCGTACTACGACTCATACGAAGACGGGAGAGCCATAGTGGTGGGTTATCAGATTCGTCAGGGCATGGCCCTTCTTTCTCACCCCCCTCTCCCTTGCAGCGCAATGCAGTTCTGGACGCGACCCGCATTTCCGATGACACGGTAGTCACGCTCAAGAAAATACAAACCTCGGAACACCCATACGAAGTTGACATCTGCCGCTTTTTCTCGTCCGAACCGCGCGCCAGTGATCCCGCAAATCGCTGTGTGCCCGTATACGATGTTCTTGATGTTCCGGATGACCCTGACTGCAAGCTCATCGTCATGCCATTTCTGCGAAAGTTCTTCGATCCCCGTTTCCTCACCGTTGGAGAGGCTGTGGAGTTTTTCCGGCAAGCATTTGAGGTTTGTCGGGACGCCGGTTGAATTTTCATCTGTCTTTCTGCTGACGATCTCTACGCAGGGACTGCGTTTCATGCACGCTCACCACGTAGCCCATAGGTAAGCTGCCGAACGCGCTGTCCTTGACTTCCATTCATAGTGCCCCAGGGATTGCGGGAGGATGAACATCATGATGGACCCTCGCCCGCTCTACCCGCAGCTTTACCATTTTGCGTCTATACGGGCCAAGCGAGACTTGTCTGGGACCGCGAAATACTTTACCCGCACTCGAAACCCTGTCCGATATCATCTCATCGACTTCGGCCTCTCTCGACGATTTGATCCCGCAAAGGGACCACCGCGATCATGGCCAATATGGGGTGCCGACCGGACGGTACCCGAGTTTCACAAATCCCTAGAGCCTTGCGACCCGTTTCCGACAGACGTATACTACCTGGGAAACGTTATCAAAACCGTGTTCTTAGATGTACGTCGACGTTCTTGCTCTGCGTATAGCTACGTACGGCGCACTAAGTGGTATTTTCCAGGTGTACACCGGCCTCGACTTCATGAAGCCCATAGTTGATGACATGGTGCGGGATGAGCCGGCCAGCCGGCCAAACATGGACCAAGTCGTCGCACGATTCGACCTGCTGCTAGGGTCTCTCAGTACGTGGAAGCTGCGCGCACGGCTCCCTCAGCGAAACGAGTACTGGATGGTCCGCCTCTTTAGGGCGATCGCGCATACGTTCCGCACGATCTTCTATATCCTCACGCTACGTCCTGCTCTTCCCAGTCCCTGATACCCTCTCCCCGTTGGATTTACTGTGCTGTGCTGTGCTGTGCTTCGTTCCTCTTGCTTTGCTTCCACCACTGTTGTGCTCGGCTAAAGCTTTCTGTAATTATATGAATGACGGCGTGCTTAGTAGTGCGCTGTTTATTACTGAGGCTCAGCTAGTCCCACCGGAAGTAGTATTCATCTATTATTTTATCGGCCTTGGAAAAAAGGTCCGATGACGCCCATGAAATGATCATCTCTGCTCCAGTAGGGCTCAGCGAGGCTGACGAACATGTCACCAATAGTTCCAACAGGCCACGGCGTTTCTCGCTGTACTGCACAACCCGTACACGATGAATCCAAACGAACTTACTATTCGCAGTGGCTTTTTCTCTGGAACAGATGAGTGGACTGCACATCAGCTGGAACGACATCGGGAACCTTGGGATGTGAGATTTCGCCAGTCTAGTTTGATGAGGGCGAGGTGAGAAACAACTCTGATGATCGTATCCATTAAACCCGACGGACCTGACTTTGAGCTACCAGTACTACCCAAACGATTTGTCAGCTCGCAGCTGGCAACAGGTCTGGTGACAGTCTGAGTAATATGGCGAAATCAGTGTGTGCATGTCGCCTTCGCTCGAACCGGAGCATTCGTTGTAATTCTGCGTGCGTATATGAATACTCGCGCTATGCATACGTGTGGCATGTGCCTGCACTCACCATCCTCATCCACATAGTCTTTCGCATCGCACGTGCGAGGTTACGAGCACGAGCGGGAGGTCTGTAATGAACGGATAGATTAACTCAGCGTTCGTGGGAGCGAACGATATACATCTGTAGGTACCTGTAATGAACGGATAGATTAACTACGCGAGAGCGTCAGCGTGAATGAGCGACGGGGGCAATAGAATGGGATCTCACCTCAGCGTTCGTGGGAGCGAACGATGAGGTGGCAGAGCGGGCGCGCTCGAGTATATGAGAGCGCGGCCGCTCGGGCGCGAACGGAGCGTCGGAGATGCGATCGCTTTGAAAGTAAGCTAACGAGCGTATAAGTGAGTAAGTACTAAATTGTAAGTCCGCAAATGTGGTATAGTAAACGTCCGATTACAACAGCACGAAACACACCCTACGCCCTTCGACGCGCACCAATCTGCACAATGTCGCATGGCAAACAATTCACCGGACCCTTCTTGACGCTCTACCACCACCTGCTGCTTTTTTCCCACGCTACATCCTCACAGGGGGAGGATAGTTTTGTGCGGTTCTTTAGCACTCTGGGGCTAGTCTTTAGTACACCTACGGATACGGTCATATCTCAGCCAGAATGATGGGTAGTCGAGCTCGACCGCCGCCTTCGAGGCCGGCCAGCACGCCACCGACGCCGCCCTCGAGAATAGGCGCTCACGACAGCGCACCAGCCAAACCGACCAGAAAAACGGCGAAGAAAACATTACTCACCTCACAAGAAGCTTGGATGGAAGCAGAGAAGCTCGTACCCGACCTGCGCGCTGCAATGGAGTTCTTACTCGGCCACGAACTGATCCCGGGAGGCGACAACGCCTTTACAGGCGAATCGCCGATCTCGGGCTTGTTGCATCTCGCCTTCTCGACGACTGGGGATCTCGCCAAGCGCGGCATCCTCGCTTTCGCACACCTCGCCAAAGGAGTCCTCGCCCACGATGTCCAGACCGCGGTCAGTGACGCAGTCGTCGAGCGCGCGGAAGGGCAGCTGCGCCTCCGGCTCGACCACCACACGTCCCACATCGAGGACCGGCTCGACGAGTTCTCGGAGATGATCGGCAAGATGAAGCAAGAGATGGAAGGAGGATTGGCCAGCCTGCGCGAGACATGCGAATGGGTGAAGGGGGCTGAGGCGGCGCTCGCAGCGGCACGCAAAGGGATACAGGAGTCCGCGCAGCTCATTGTGCGCCCTGGTGAGCCCGCATCTACCGCCTCCACACTGACCATCGAGACAGCGCCGGTGCGCGTACGCCGAGCGGCCACGCTCGCCGACCTCCTGCAGCGTCAAGTGCTGGTCCGGGGGGCGACCCTCAACTCGGAGAGCGGCGAACCCCTTGGGGAGGGTGCGCTGAAAGACCGCGCCCGCGAGGTGCTGGACGAGATGGACAGGGGGGGGCTTACGGCGCCCGAGGGCGGCACGGTAGAACTGGCCAAGATCCTCCCGCACGGGGATACGGTTTTCACTATGTCAAGTATCGAAGCAGCGCGATGGCTCCTCAAGCCCACGGTCGCCAAGCCGTTCGCGCGCAAGATGGGGATGGCGGCGCAGGTGGTCGAACGCACGTACAGGCTGGTCGCCGAGCATGTCCCAGTCTCGTTCGACCCGCGCGACACGGCATCCCTGCGAGCGGTCGAGGTCGCCCACAAGCTCAAGACGGGGACGCTGGGCCGTGCGAAGTGGATCAAGCCCATGGAGCGGCGCTTCCCGGGACAAAGAACGGCACACCTTATGCTCACGGTAACAGGCATCGAGCAAGCGAACATCGCGCTGAAAGGTCTATTCATTGCAGGACACCGTATCCTGGTCCGCAGGGATATGGATGAGCCAAAGAGGTGCGCCCGCTGTCAAGCATACGGGGCACTTTGCCCGTGACTGCAAGGCCCCGCACGACGTCTGCGCCAACTGCGCTGCCAGCCACCCGACGTCGCAATGTCAAGTAGCGGCGGATCCATACAGCTACCGCTGTGCGAACTGTGAAGTGGACGGCCACGCGGCGTGGGACCGAGCGTGTCCTGCGCTGCGCACGCGGGTGAGTGCGCAGGTAAATCGGAAGGCCGACAGCGGCTTCCGTTTCTTCGTCACCAACGCACCGGACACGTGGGTCTCGGACGAAGAGGAGCTGGCAAGAGCGCCGCCACCGCCCACGGTCTGGTCGCAAGTGCGGCACCGGTTCGACAAGGCCAACAGCGACCACCGCCCTACGCAAGCCCGACTGGACACCTTCCTCGACGCACCTAGGCAGCCGGCCAACACCATCCCTCCTCAATGATCCCCACGACCTACAACACCCTATGCATCTGGCAGCAAAATCTCAACAAATCTGGGAGTGCCCAGCTAGATCTCATTAATGACCAATTCGTCGCTGACTACGATATTCTAGCATTACAAGAGCCCTATTTAACATTCCTCAACCTCACCTCCAGCACTTCCCACTGGCACGTCATCTACCCGTCTACACACCGCAAGGAGGGGGCAGGAAGGTCCCGAGCTGTCACCCTCGTCAACAAGAAGCTCTCAATCGACTCATGGAGCACCATCGCCACCAAACACCCCGACATCACCACGGTATCCATCCGCTCCGCAGATGCAACCGTCCACGTATTCAATGTCTACATCGACGGCGAGCACGACACGGCCCTGCATGCGGCCTCCCGGGCGGTGCTCAACACGATTCCGGGAGGGGTGGAGTAACCGCACCACCTGGTCTGGCTCGGAGATTTCAACCGCCACCACCCCGCATGGGACAACCCGACCAACCTTCATCTCTTCTCATCGGAGAACCTCCGGCGGGCAGAGCACCTTATCACCATCCTAGACCGCCACGACCTGTTGATGGCATTGCCACCGGGCATCCCGACGCTCGAGGCATCGCGCACCAAGAACCTCACCCACCCCGACAACGTCTTCTGCACGCCCGCCATCCTGGAACGCCTGCGGATCTGCACGGTATTGCACGACAAACACCCGACCAAAACTGACCACTTTCCTATCCAGACAGTCTTTGACATGCCAACAGCAGCTGCAGTGCGGCGTCCGCGCAAGGACTTCCGTCGGGTCGACTGGGCGGAGTTCGGGCGGGCGCTGGCGGAGCGGGTGGAGGCCCGGCACTACCCCACCAATATCAACACGAAGGCTCGCTTCGACCAAGTGCTCAACAGCCTCATGGACGACCTCCAGGCGACGGTCGCAGAGCAGGTCCCGGAGACGGCGGACACCCCGTACGCAAAACGCTGGTGGTCTGTGGAGCTCGCCAAGATGCGCAGCTCGAAGGAGCGCCTCGGGCGTATTGCCTTCCGGCACCGGGCCACCCCTGCCCACCCATCTCATGCTGAGTACAGGCGCTATCGAAACATCTACACTGACAATATTACAGCGGCGAAGAACAACTTCTGGAAGGCGTGGATCGATTCCATAGATGGCAAGACAATCTGGGACGCCAACCGCTTTCTCAAGCGCGGAGCAACCGACGGCGGCCGCGCATGGATCCCGCCAATTCGGGTGCCCGGAGAAGGCGGTCGGGAGCGTGTATTGCATACGAATGAAGAAAAAGGCGCTGAGTTCCATCACACATTCTTCCTACCGCCCAGTACTGCCATTGTCCCCACAGGCCCCTACCCGAAACCGCTTTACGACTTCAAGCCCATCACCGACATGCAAGTACGCCGAGCTATCAAGGCACTCTGGGTGTTCAAGGCCCCGGGGCCCGACGCGGTCTCGAACGAGGTATACAAGCACTGCACGGACACGCTGACCCCCGTGCTGGGATCGCTCTTCAGGGCGACGTTCATGCTGCAATACTACCCGGAACGCTGGAAAGTCTCGGACACGGTCGTGCTGCAAAAGCCGGGCAAGGAGGACTATACAGTGGCCAAGGCCTGGCGGCCCATCACACTCCTAGACTGCATGTCCAAGATCCTGTCCCGCTGTGTCGCTGACGTACTTGTGTTTGAGGCAGAGCAGAAGTCAATGCTTGCAGACTTGCAATTCGGCGGACGTGCAGGGCAGACCACGACGGACTCCATCCACCTGGTCACCAAGATTGTCAAAGATGCCTGGCGGCGGAGTCATGTCGCCTCCGTTGTGTTCTTGGACATCAAGTCGGCGTTTCCAGCAGCCTCCCCGGAGCAATTGTATCACAACCTTCGCATGCGGGGAGTGCCTGTTCAATATGTCGACTGGCTGCGGGTCAAGTTGTCAGGGCGGAAGACCTGTATCCACTTCGACGATTTTTTGTCAGAGCTATTTGATATCGTCAGCGGTATCGACCAGGGCTGCCCACTATCAGTCATCCTCTACGCCTTTTACAACTCTGATCTTATTGACAGTGCAGACACCAAGCGCGGCGAGCACGCCGTGGGCTCGATGGACAATGTGGCATTAGTGGTCACCAGCAAAACCTTCGAGAGCTGCCACGACAAAGTACGGTGTTTCATGGAGCGGGACGGTGGCGCTCAGGACTGGTCCACAGCGCACAACTCTGCTTTCTCCCTCGACAAGTTCGGCCTCATCAACTGCAAGGCGCAGCCGAAGCGCATCGGCCTCGGCCCGCAGCTCACGCTGTCGTATGGCACGGTCATCCAGCCCACGGATCACCACCGCTTCCTCGGGGTGCTGGTCGACCAGGCCCTCAAATTCAAGCAGCATGTGGCCTCGGCGTATGCGAGAGGCAGTCGGCTGGTATCCCAGATTCGGCGGCTGGCGAAGGCGAGGAACGGGCTCACACTCCCCATCGTGCGCCGTCTTTACCTCTCTGTTGTGGTTCCTAGTATGCTCTATGCTGCTGACACCTTCCTCACCCCAATACGAAAACTCGCCGGCCACACCCGCAAGCACGGGTCAGCGGGGAACATTCGACGGCTCGCGCAAATTCAGCGGCAGGCGCTGCTAGTGATGACGGGCGCCCTCCGCATGTCGCCGACCGATGCACTGGAGGTGCACGCTCGCCTGCTGCCATTTGACCTGCTAGTCAACAAGATTTGCCACCGGGCGGCGGTCCGCCTGTGTACGCTCCCGAAGACTCACCCACTGGCGCCCCACGTTCGCCGCGCGGGCCGGAAGCTGGTCAAGTCCCATCGGTCTTCGCTGCACGAGCTCCTGGACGCTTACCGCAGGTGGCTCGCTTACCGTGACACCGAGCACATTTGCCCGGTGCGCCTGCACCCGCGCTGGACCCCGCGCCATTGCATGCACATCCTGGCCGACCGGGAGGTGGCGGTGGAGGACGACGCATGATGGGCGCTCGACGGAGCTTACCGAGTCTACATGGACGGCTCGGACGTTGATGGGGGAGTGGGCACCGCGGCGCTGCTCTATGCACCGGGACTGGAGGAGCCGGAGGTCCTCCAGCTCTACCTCAGGCCGTCCACAAGGCATACAGTGTACGAAGCGGAAATCATCGCCACGATCCTCGGCATGGAGCTCCTGCGGCGAGCACTTCTCTGCACGCAACACGCGTCAATTGGGCTGGACAACACGGCGGCGATACGGGCCACAATGCTACGTTCACCGGGGGCAGGGCGATATCTTACTGATATTTTTCACGCTGCAGTGCGAGACCTCAAAGCGGCGCGCCCCCGGCTTCGCCTCACGCTACGCTGGGTCCCGGGCCACTCGGACGTCCCAGGGAACGAGGCGGCAGACGAGGCGGCAAAGGAAGCGGCGCACGAGGTCTCGTCCGCCACACGCCTGCTCCCAAAGTCGCTTCGCAAGCCTCTCCCCCTCAGTGCCTCGCGTGCCCGGCAGAATTTCCAGCATGAGCTCGACCGGCGGGCTGGCGTCCGTTGGCGAACGTCACGGCGGGGCGTCCGGATGGCAGAAATCGACGGCACCATGCCTTCCAAGAAATATGGCGCGCTCATCTCCAAGCTCCCTCGACGGCACGCAAACCTCCTCATGCAATTCCGTACTAACCGCGTTCCGCTGCAGGCATACATGGAGCGCATAGGTAAAGCGCCGAGTGCGACCTGCCCGACATGCGGAGAAGCCCCCGAAACAGTACAGCATTTCCTGCTCGCCTGCCCAACATACTCGCTGCACCGCGCCGTCCATTTTGCGCCCCTCGGTTTCTCCGGCCGCACACTCTCCGCCCTCCTCAACGCCAAGACTTCCCTCCGTATGCTGTTCAGCTATGTGAACGCCACGGGACGGCTGCGATCGGCGGTCGGCGTCCTCATTGGCCCGCGCTCTGGCTACCCCGACAGCGACGAGGACGACGGCGACGCATAACGGACACCGCACCATCCCCGACTCTCTCACTCTCCCCCTCTCTGTCTCCCCTTTCCCCGCCTTCGTTTCACGTTGTCTACTTCGTACGTATACGGGCATGCTGAGAGCGTAACCTCCGCGTTGGGGCCGGGGGAGTTCTGACGGTGTCGGGTGTCTGCCCGGCTACCGTACCCCTTCCGTGGCAAGAGGCTTATAGCCCGGCAGCGCAAGCGCTGTTGCAAAGCACGGTGATGCGCACTCACCGCGCCTGCCGCCCGCCGCGGTGTGGGCACCGCTCTCGAGCTCAGACCACCCTGACGCGGACTCCCTGTCGGATACTGCGCCCCGACGCGCACCCCGCGCGGCCCCGAGCCTCCCAGAAGGCCGCCTGGGCGCCCACGCACCACCCCCATTCGCTACCCGCGAGTCGAGCAAGGCGAACCGCGGTAAGCGGCCCCGACCGAGAGCGCCAAGCCCCGCCAAGCATCGGGGTTCGAGGGCAGTACGAAACACCCGATACGCTCGTCGGGGGTCGCGGTGCAAACGCCCCCGCCCACCAATCACACCGCGCGGTACGCGCGGCCCCGACAGCCTAGGCAAGTCCAGTAGAGCGCGGCCCCCGTAGGGGCCCGATCGTCGCGCCCGTCGCGCTGCGCGCGACGGGTGCATCTTTCATTTCTTATCCTTCCCGTACGGCTCCGGCCCCTCCTGTATATACGCGGGCCCCGAGTACCGGGAAATTCCACCTTCTCTTACCCCTTCAGAGCTCAAGTTTGCGTTTGCGCCCACGTCTGCGACTGCGACCGCGACTGCGTTCGCGAACCTCCCCGACAGCCCCCTTACGCCCTCAACCACGTCAATTACAGTGAGTACTTCTCAGAAGTCATCGCGCACTGGTACCCCTTCCCGCGTCGCATCCCCCAACTAGCGTCCGCGCAATCCCCTACCCCCGGGTCAGGAGCGATAAGCTTGCTCGACCCCCGCCATCCCCCACGCATCCGCGTTCGTAGGGAACTCGGGATCGTACTCGGAAACCCCCCCGCACACACAAGTCACTTCTCGGGTCTCGTCCTCTCGGCCCATCGACCCTAGCGTCCTAGCGGCCGGTACGGGAGGCTTGAGTGCATCAACGGTTAGGTTTAGAACCCGGCGCCCTGCCGTATAATGGCCGGCGCGGTGCAACCAGCATGTGGCCCTTCCCCTCCCCCCCTTCACTGTCTGTTGATAACCTTATCTATTGCTCCCGGTCTTCTTAACTCATGCTACCATACTACTGTGCCCGCGGCGGCCCCGGTCGTCGCACCCCTCCACCCCCCTACATATGTCGGTTGACCCCTCGGTGCTTCCCCGTAGACACTTGTGCTGTACTGCCTACCATAGGGCTCAGCCCTCGAGGGCAATAAACGAGGAAAAAAAACAATTCACCCTCTACACTCACAACGCGGGCCCCAACGGCTGGTGAGCCCCATCGACGCGCCCTCACTCCCTATTCGTTTGACCGACCAGCCGCTCCGTGCCCGCGCCCAGGAAGGTCGTGTTCGCGCTCGAAGAGTTTGGGCTCACGTACGAGAGCATATACCTCGACGACTGTCGAGTTCCTTGTGTGCCGAGCCGAGAGAGGGCGGGAGGGCGAATATCGAAGCCGGGGATACTTCGCCAGGGGCGAGCAGAAGAGCGCGGAACACCTCGCGCTGAACCCAAACGGGCGGATCCCGACGCTCGTGGACCACCACAACGGCGACTTCGTGGTGTGGGAGTCGAACGCGATCCTGCTCTACCTCGTCAATTGCTATGACCCGAAGCACAAGATAAGCGTCGTGGACGAGAAAGACAGGTACACGCTCTTGCAATGGCTCTTCTTCCAGGCGTCTGGCCAGGGGTGCGTCTGCCTCCATTCATGCGGTAATGAGAACCGATGTGTGCATTGCTTGGACAACGCGTACTTCGGCCAGGCGAACTGGTTCCCGAAGTACCACTCGGAGAAACTGCCGAGCGCGATCGAGCGATACCAGAAGGAGGCGCAGCGTGTCTTCGCCGTGCTCGCAAGCGTGCTATCGAAGCAGGAGTGGCTTGTCGGCGGCAAGCCCGCCATCGCGGACCTCTCGTTCATCACTTGGAACCGCGGTGCATTCCATGTCATCTTGAAGGAGGCGGACGTCAACCCCGAGAAGGACTTTCCTGCGGTCTGGAGGTGGGTTGCGCATTTCGAGTCTTAGCTCTGGCTGATGCGATTTGCGAACCGCAGGTGGAGCAAAGCGCTCGAGGCGCGTCCGGCGGTCGCGAAGGTGCTCCAGATTCAGGCGTCCAAGCCAGGCTGAGCACTGAGTAATGGTCAACATCATTCGACGGCGAGCCTGAGATACTAGTAAAGCCACCTCTTCAAATTATCATTATGCTCATCTGCGTCCTGTGCTGCCTTAAGAAACATATTGGGTATCGTGACTGAGAGCTCATAGAAGTTGTATATGAAGACGACATACCGCGCCTTGAGGTTCGTGATAAGCGGCTGGACAGAGGAGGAACGAGCCAGCACGAGAGTCTCGAAGAGATCGTCCGAATCTTGCCCGGGCCGGTGGTGGCGCCCACGCTAGCGCTTCAGTACAGCCGCACCGGCATCTTCCCTAGCTTTCGAGCGTTTGCCACTCACGCACACCCTCACACCCTCGATCCCCGCCTCCGGGCCAGCATAGTATGTTAAGTAGGCTCTTTGCGGAAGACTAACACAGTTCTTTGAAAGAGACGGAGCGAAACTCGCTCATACATGGACATGAGCCACTAAAACCTCAAATCTGCCGACACTCAGAACGACGGTCTCCCGACTTCGGTTCGAACTCACCGTTCTTGGGCCCCTACGAGTAACGTCGTCAAGCGCTCTGATCAGATTTTGTGTGCCCGATGCCTGGTAGAAAGCTCGCTGACTAGCTCTCATGACCGAATGCGGAGGGTAGTACGGAACGGGTCACACGCCACCACCTAAACAATTGTGGCGCCACCCAGGGCGTTGACGACGGCCTACTTATTGTCAACTGTGCTTTTATCTATTCCAGCGCTGTCTCTGGCTTGTCCTGATTCTCTTCAGGTACGTCGAAGTCTATATAGATAACACAAATGCATGAATTGCCGAGTAACGAGACCCAGCTCACCAATGGACTCTCCCTCCAGGTCACCGACATCGACACACCTGCCCACTCAGGAGACGGACTCCCTACCTCCTAAGCGGATTATCAAACTCACTCTACCGCTCTGGCGGCTCAGTCCTCCGTTTTAGTTTACAACAATCATGGACGCAACTCGCGTGTCCGATAAGACCGTCGTGGCCATAAAACGGCTCAAAAAGTCACGAAACCCTGATGAGGTCGAGATCGTCCGATCGTTCTCACAATTGCAGTCGTCCGACACAGCACGGAACCACACGGTTCCCATCTTCGACGCCCTGGACTCCCCGCATGACAAGGACACGACGCTGCTTGTCATGTCGTACCTCGTGGAGTACGACAAGATACCGTTCGCGACAATAGGCGAGGTGACTGAATTCTTTCGGCAGCTTCTGGAGGTAAGTCGCATCTTAGTCTGCGCTAAGTTCCGAAACTCACCGAGCCCATTTTGTAGGGGCTTCGGTTCATACACGGACACAACGTCGCCCACCGGTACAGCGCCTTGCCTGACACGTTCGTCTCAGCCTAACCTCGTCCGTATAGCGACATCATGGCGTCCAACATCATGATGCAGCCGTCGGTCTACTCCGAGGCCCCACACCCGGTCATCAGGTCGAAGAGTTACGACTACAAGAGAAGCGTGAAGCGTCGCACCCGCACGGAGCGTCCCGCGAAGTATTACTACACCGACTTCGGAATCGCATGCCGACTGCCACCAGACGTCGAGGACCCCCGCGAGGAGCCCATGCTGGGAGGCGACCGAACTGTCCCCGAGCATCAGCACGCTGCAGGCCCGCAGAACCCCTACGCTACGGACATATATTGTCTAGGCAATACGTTTCGAACGCAGTTTCTCCAGGCATGTCATCTTCGCGCGTACCCGCCAGACGCGGCGCCACTGATCTCGGCCATTCTTCAGAAGTACTATGACCTGGAGTTCCTTGCTCCGCTCGTGGACGCTATGGTCCAGCAGGATCCGAAAGCTCGCCCGACTATCGATAGCGCTTGCGACGTGTTCGATGAGATCCTCACGGCTAGTCCGTTGTCCCGGCTTCGCTCCCGTGCCAAACGGCGTGGAGAGGATCCTATCGCTGGATTATACAGGGCGTGTCGCCATGTCATTCGGACGGCAACATATGTCATCACTCGAAAATCCGCACTCGCAACGCCCGACCCCGCCGTGCGGAAAAGGTTCGCCGTTCGTGGTTCCAAACGCACCGCGACCAAGACTGCCACGGTCACCTCCGCTACGACTACCTCCGCTACGAACCAGCCCGCGACGTCCGAGAAGGCACCTGAACCCAGCACTGCCCCGCAACCCTCTGACGCTCCTTATGCCTACACCAAACACGAGGTGCGGATTGTTGTGCCAGTGGTATGCGTTTACTTATGGCTCCTTTGAAACTGACAGTTTATGTACACGCCATCAAGTCAGATAAACTGACCGTTCCGATTGCTGAGTAGCCTACTAGCATGTATGCCCGCTGCGCGGATTATCTTTGCCTCATATATATGAACGCATATCGCGCCCGCGCCCGCGGTGCTCACAGAGGAAGACGCCGTTGCGAGGCCTTGCAGTGCCTCTTAGAGGGTCCATCGTTACACTACGCTCAGGTTAAAGCGTCGGGCGACGCGGGAGCACTGTAGCAGTGAACGATGCCGCCGACCAACGCGCAGCGCCCACTGCGGCAGCCCACGGCAGTTTGCTAAGATGCGTGCTTCGCTGCCCAAAGGCACCGCCACCCGTCAGCCCAGTCCACGCAGTAACACGTCCTAGAACCGTACACACCAAGAATCGTGCTGGCTGGCCATGGAGCTCCGAGTCGACCGTGAGATAGACTCAGACTACCACGACGCATCCGCCTTGACTGCAATAACACTTTCTGACGCAGATCAGCATCTAGGGTGGACCCTGTGCGGGGTTACGACCGAATGCGAGGAGAGTGAGGACACCCCTCATCGTGTCAGGGGGGTGAAACTCGCCTTCCCGGATCTCAATCCAATCTTGACCCCACCGGAACCAGCACCCGGATCGTCGGTTGGCTAGTGGAGCGTAGGGCGAACGAAGTGCAGCAACCTGGTAGCTACTGGCTTCATAGCGCGCGCCGCGCACCGGAACCTCAGTGTCCTCGCACATCCCGGGCCTACAGTGTCCGCAATTCTGGGGTCGCTTTCGAGTTCCCCGCTCTGGAGATTCCGCAACAGCCCAGACCTTAGCGATCAATGCCAGGGTCCACAGAGGGAGCATATCCAGTGCCCTTGCTCCGACAGGCGCAGCTTATCGGATGGAAGGCCAAGTTAGACGTTGAGAATGGCTAGTGAAAGCCTTCAAGACACGCAAAGCAGAGCTGCAGGTTAGGACGTGAGTCTGATGTTCCTCGTTGCAGTGATATCAATACAAGGTGCCAAGAAGATGCTCGTATTCCTCTATATCCCAGTGCAATCTGTCGCACTGCGAAGTGGGGTGGATGATCAGCCAACAATACAGAGCGCGTGACACACGGGGACATACCGACTGTGTAAGTTCAGCGCTTGAGAGGGAAACCGTCCTGGCCCAGGAGAGCTTCCTCAGCACCCAGCGTCCTAGGACCATCCCCAACACGAGTGTGGATGAGACCCTTGACCGCACCGACAGCGAACGGTTTCGCCACCGCCTCGTTGAAACCCTCCACGACCTTGCCCTGCACGTCCTTCCCAGTAAACAGGGCGAAGGGGTCCTTGAACGCCTGTGCCTGGGGGAAGTACTTCACGACGAGCTCCACGATCTCCTTGATGTTCTCCTTCGGCGCGTAAATGACTGCGTTGGGGCCCGCGTCGTACGTGTACGCCGCCTTGAGCTTCCCGCCGTTCGCGAGCGCGACGCGGTTGTACTCGACGATGAGCGCAATGAGGGCGCGCGAGACGTCGTTCATGTAGAAGATCGGCGGGTCGGTGTCGAGGCAAACAGCGTGAAACTGGTTCGAGTCCTGCATCGTGATGCGCGCGAACGCGTCGAAGTCGCGCGCCTTGATCGCGTCGGATATCGCACGTATGCGCTCCGGCACGACGTGCGCGATGCGGTGCTGGAGGAGCGCGGAGGTCTCGACGGTGCGCTGCATACCGGATGTAGAGGACGTGCCCTTCTTCTCGTCGTTCACGACGCAGATGAGCGCGTGCACGTCCGGCCAGTGTTCGCGCGGCGCGACCTGTACCGCGTACGAGTCGGACCCATCAGCTTTTTCGCCCATTTGCCACGCGACAAATCCGCCAAAGAGCGAGCGGCAGGCGGAGCCGGAGCCCTGGCGCGCGATGAGCGAGAGGCGGGACGCATCCGTGGGCAGTTGGTATAGGGCGGCCAGCGATGCGACAAGTGCGGCGAAACCGGACGCAGAAGACGCCAGACCAGCGGCAGTGGGGAAGTTATTGTGCGAGCTGATGTGCACAGGGTATCCAGAAATCTATGTTCTTTTAGTGGATTGAGGCGTGTCGATCTGGGATTCTGCGCACCTTTGGTAGACTCGCGTCCTTCTCCTCCAGCTGCCTTCGCAGACTCTTCACCTCCTTGATGCACGTAGCCAGACGGCCGCCCTCCTTGATCTCATCTTCCTCGCCATTCAGCCAGAGCCTGTCTTTCTCAAAGGACGGGTCTGCGCGTGAGGTCGTAGTCGAGCGCAGGTGATCCTGGTCGAGTGTAACAGATAGAGAGGAGTTGGTAGGGAGGATGAGCTTGGTGTCGCGCTTGCCCCAGTATCTGAGATGGGTTAGTCACGTCCGATGTGGATAGATGGTGGTACGGACTTGATGCAAGCAATGTTGACAGGAGCCGATGCAGTCGCTTGGTATACGGTCATGGCGGTGAGTTAAGGAGGACGATGTCGGAGAGGGGGTGATTGGGGCGGGTTAAGTAGAGCAGACAAGGACATAGCACCATGTCTTGAAATCTGAAATCGTACGGCGGCTCGTATAGATCGGTTGCCTTTCTGGGCGATCGGAGATCAACCAATCAATTAAATCAACGCTCCGACGCCCCGAGTCGGAGACATCTTGCACGGAGCTCAGACGCCTCGTCGGACGCGCCGCCGGGCGAGTATCGCAAAACGACGGGGGGTAGATGTCGCCGGTCATCGAAAGTGTTCTGGTGCAAGACTTCTCGTGCTCTGAGAGGTGTTTAAAAATAAAGGTAAAGCATCCTCCGCTTCGGCGCGTAGAGAGAAGTGGTGCAAAGCGCCGAAAGGGACTCGGAAGGGAAGAGATGAAGTTTTGCAGAGTCGCGCAGGACGTCGAGCTTTTATGTGGTATGACAGGCATAACCTTCACATAAGTTCACATATGTCAAGGGTGAAAACCCGCAGAGGATCGCGAACATACGAATCGAGAGATCTACCATAAACGGAGCGGAAAGAGCGGCTTAGTCATCCGAAGGAGAGCTGTGCTCGTCATCCTCGACGGCGACAAACACTCCACGCTCGCTGTTCTTCACGACGCCCACGACCATCCAGACGACTTTCCCCTTCTTTCCCTGTTACATAGTCGTTCCCTCCTCTCCTCTCCCTTACTCTCTCTGCCCTCCCCCCATCCTCCAGAGTGGCGACTCTCACCGCCAATGCCATGTACTACCCGCAGCAATCCCCGGGCATTGCCCACAAATTGCCCACCCACCAGCATCCCGGCCAGGTCCACGACCAGTCGCCATGGGCCAGACACCCCGGCTATGGCCCGGCGAACGGCGCGCAGCCCCCAACGTCGCCTGCGTACCCGCTCTTCCACGCGAACGGTTCAATGGCCGCGATGCAACACCACCCTCACCAACACATCCCCGGCCCCCTCGCCCATCATCACCACCAGAACTCCCTCACACACCCTCACTTTCCCTCACCACCCAACGGCAACGCGCTACAAGGTCCCCACGGCGGCTTAGGACAGGCGGGGTCTCCAGGAGCGATCCAAACCCAGATGATCTCTCCTCATTGGCAGCAGCAGTTGATGAAGTGCGAGGTACGTTTGAATCCGCTATCTAAACAGCACTGGGACAGGGCTTTCTCGTTATGATTGTTCCGCTAAGTGGCGGACGACATCCCCGCTACCCCAGAGGTACGCAGGCCGCGCGGTCACTGGTGGTGCATCCTAGCAAGCGATTCCCACAGCTTCATGCGCTGCCCATGAAAGCTTGACCCCCGACCAGCTTCTTTTGAGTCCTCGTTGGGCGGAGTTTGGCCGAGGTCTGACGATGCCGAACATACTCTTGCGCCCGCCCAAACGTGCCTGCATCCTGCCGTCTCGCATTGGCGCTCCGTTTGCGTGCATCTGCCTCATACTGATGCGGTACATTTTAGATGAGCCGCGCGTCACGATCCCCTCACCACCGAGCAAGAGCGAGCGCGATGGCGGCCCGTACTGTCCACAAGGCGGCTATCCCGATTCAGAACCCCAACGCGATAAAGCCAGTGGAGACGAACGGCGTCGGTCACGACGGAGAAGCTTCCCCTTCGGCCAAATCGCAAGCTCCGTCTGACGCGTCGCCCACCCGTGCGAGTGCGGTGGCCGATCATCCCTCCTCCACTGTCCCTCCCGTTGCCGAAGTTCCTCGTCCGTACACCATCAAGCCCGCGAACACATGGCAGTCGCTGGACATGGGTGGCGTGGGTATCAAGAACATCCCGAAGACGTCTGGGCTGTTCGGTTTCACCTTCCTCACCAACCTCTACCTCAATCACAATGCGCTCCAGAGCGTTCCTCCAGAGATCTCGAAGCTCATCCACCTGGAGCTGCTGGACCTATCAGGGAACGCTTTACAGTCCATTCCCTCGGAGCTCGGGATGTTGGTGTCGTTGAAAGAGCTGTACCTCTTCGACAACCAGTTGAACAATCTACCGCCACAACTGGGCACCCTCCACCAATTGAAGACCCTTGGAATCGAGGGGAACCCGCTGGAGCCGTCGTTGAAGATGATCGTTCAGAAGGATGGCACACCTGCTCTCATATCGTACCTGCGCGACTCGTGTCCAATTCCTTCCCCTCCACCTGACCGCCAATGGAAGCATTTCGTCCACCAGGCAGAACGGGATTCAATCGCGTCTGACCCTGCCGCCGAGACGTTCACTGTTCTGTGCTACAACATCCTCTGCGAGCGGTGTGCCACGGAGAGGCTTTACGGGTACACACCGTCATGGGCTTTGCAGTGGGACTACCGGAAGGAGCTCATCCTCACGGAGATCGTCAACCATAATGCGGACTTCGCCTGCTTACAGGAGGTCGACAATGCGCAGTACGAGGAGTACTTCACGAAGACTCTAGCGGACCACGACTACGAGGGCGTCTACTGGCCAAAGTCCCGTTACAAGATGATGAGCGAGAGCGAGCGGCGTTTGGTCGATGGGTGTGCCATTTTCTACAAGGCGTCCAAGTAGGTTTTCGCGCTTTCATCTTAGGTAGTTACTCATCGTCCCGCAGGTACACCCTCGTAGAGAAGCACCTCATCGAATACAGCTCCCTCGCTATGCAGCGACCGGACTTCAAGAAGACTGATGATATGTTCAACCGCGTGCTGGGCAAGGATCACATCGCCGTCGTCGCTCTTCTGGAGAACAAGGAGACGGGGTCACGGCTCATCGTCGCGAACACTCATCTCCACTGGGACCCGGCCTTCCGCGATGTCAAGCTTGTTCAGGCAGCGCTCCTTGTCGAGGAGGTGGAGAGGATTACCCACAACTTCGCGAGATATCCTCCGCGTCTTCCCCCGGCGTCGGCTTCAGCCGTTGGCAGCCCCACCACACCTACCCCGGGAGAGAACAACGCGTCGTCTCGCCCTCCCCCAGTGTACACGGATGGTTCCAAGATACCCGTCATCATCTGTGGCGACTTCAACTCCGTGCCTGAGAGTGGTGTATACGAGTTCCTCTCAAATGGCACGGTCCCACCTGACCACGAGGACTTCATGTCCCATTTGTACGGGAAGTATACATCGGAGGGCATACGCCACCGCCTCGGCCTCAAGAGCGCATACGCCTCCGTTGGGGAGCTGCCCCTGACGAACTTCACACCTGGCTACAAGGGGCACATCGACTACATCTGGCACTCTGCGGCGAACCTCTCCGTCAACTCGGTGCTGGGCGAAGTTGACCCAAACTACTTGGACAAGGTGGTCGGTTTCCCAAACGCACATTTCCCCTCCGAGTACGTCGTATATATTTATGCTGCTGTGAGCGTGGTGCTGATGGTCGTGGGCGGACAGCCATCTGTGCATCGCGTCCGAGTTCCGCGTCCGCCCACCACGGGAGGCGCCGCCCATCCGCGCGCCCCCCGTATTCCCCGAGTCTTCACGAGCGCATACATAGGGTCCCATGGCTGTCCATCCATCCGGTGTATCGCTACCACTCTTTTCCCCTGTCCATATTTCCCCATATATTTCATTCTTGTAAATATTCCTGCGCTCATGCGACAGCGCGGCGGCAGCAGCGACCTCCCCCCTTCTTTCCGGTGCCACACACCCGTTGATTTCTCCCCTTCTCCCCTTGTGTCCCGGCGGCCCGCTCGTACTCTTTCGCTCGTGTTTTGTGTTATTTTATATTCCGTCTCGTCGTCTCTCCTCTTCCCCGTCCGTCACCCCCTTCCCGTCCCGCCGCCTCCCCCCAGCACACCCCCCCTTCCCTTCCCCTGGCCTCTCGTCGCGTCCGATCGTCTGCTTGCTTTCTCGTACTGGTACCACACACTCTGTCGCGTTCAACCACCCTGCAAAACTGTAGCATGTGCGTGTACGGCTGTCCTGTTCAATATAAATTCCCTTCAATCCTCAGCTCGCTGTCTGAATCACGATCGAACACACGAGCATTCCGATTGACACTGACGTGCACCAGGTGTCACAAGGTGTAATCGTTAAATATCCCGCATCCGGTACATTGAGGAATCGCTGGCAGCCTCTTGGCGTAAACGGGAATCAGGGGTGAGGAAGGGCAGGACGTAGGGTGAGGATGTGGAAGATCGTGCGGAATGTGTGTCCGATCACCCTGAACCAGCGGACGAGCCAGAACTCGTTTCGCTGCGGAAGCCGCGCGCGCAGTTTCCACGTACTGAGAGACCCCAGCAGAAGATCGAATCGAGCAACGACTTGGTCCATGTTTGGCCTGCTGGCTGGCTCATTCTGCACCATGTCGTTGACTATGGGCTCCATGAAGTCGAGGCCGGTGTACACCTGGAACTATTGGTTAGCGCGCCATGCATATCGTGTGGATGCAGACGTACATCTAAGAACACGGTCCGGATAACGTTCCCGAGGTAATATACATCCGTCGGAAACGGGTCGCAAGGCTCCAGCGACTTGTGAAACTCGGGCACCGTCCGGTCGGCACCCCAGATAGGCCGCGACAACGGCGGTCCTTTGGCGGGGTTATATCTTCGAGACAGACCAAAGTCTATAAAGTAGTAGCGGACGGGTTTTCGTGTGCGCGTATAGTGTTTTGCAGTCCCGGACATGTCGCGCCTTTCCGACGTAGACACGAAGTGGTAGAGCTGCGGATAGAGCGGATGGGGGTCCATCATGATGTTGTTCCTCCCGCAATCCCTGGGGCACTATGAGCGGAAATCAAGGACGACACAGGCCACTCACCTGTGCGCTATGTGATGAGCGTGCAAGAAACGTAGTCCCTGCACAGCAATGGTAAATGGGTAATAAGCGAAGGACTTAATCGTTGTCCCGTACCTCGAACGCTTGTCGGAAGAATTCCACGGCTTCTCCGACGGTGAGGAAATGCGGATCGTAAAACTTCCGCAGAAACGGCATAACAATGAGCTTGCAGTCAGGGTCGTCTGGGACGTCAAGGACTTCGTAGAGTGGTACGCAGCGGTTTGCGGGATCGCTAGCGCGCGGTTCAGATGAGAAATAGCGGCAAATGTCGATCTCGTATGGGTGCCGTGAGGTTTTAATTTTCTTGAGAGTGACTACCGTGTCATCAGCGATGCGGGTCGCGTCCAAAATCACACTGAGCTGCAAGGGTACACTGAGTTGAACGAATCCACCGCTGCAAGGTACATATACTCACCAGTATAGACTGGCCGTCTTCGCGTATGTCGAAATCACTTCCCCTGTCCTTGTGCCATGAAGGTACCCAGTTGGGTCTGTAGCGGGGGCGGAGCATGTAACCGCACTCCTGTAGCCATACTTGGTGGTCCCGCCACCATATCTCGCCGTCAGTGAGTTCGCCATCATACAATTTCCGCGGCATCTCAGTGTACGGGTTAGCGTCAACGGGGGAAGACATGGAGATGAGGACTGGACAAGATACGCCACATCCGTGGGAGGCAATTATAAGAACACATGGGTCACGGGATATGTTCCGAACCATATGTTGGGCGGGCTGTGCTTGCTTGCTATTTCCCTATTGTCTCGCTTCACGCGAGTGCGTCGCTAGGCTGGGCCTCTTCTCACTGGCCAAATCAGCGAAGCGGGTTACGCACAATAAACGGCCGACTGTCTAGGAAGCAAATGCAATACATCCATCAACACCGAATGACGAGGCGATTTTATACGTTTATGGGGCGTACATCCCGAAGGACATTTGCCACCAACGACTGGACATCATCGAGATCGATTTTCGCCGCCGAGACGTCGTCTTCCATGTGCTTCTCATTCGTCGTTCCCGACAGAGGCGTGATGCCGTGTAGCTGCGCGATTCGGAACACCGCTTGGGCAGGTGTGCAGCCCTTCGCGGCGCAGATCGCACCGACACTCGCATGTTTGAGGAGGCTCGGCGACCCAGACAGCGTCCAAAACGATCTACGCGAGCAAAATGAGAGAAGTGACATGTAATCGCTCGGGGATGAACTCACTGGTACTGGATCCCATGTTTCTGACAGTACGCCCAGACGCCGTTGTCCCAGTCGTTGCCTTCGTACCACCGGTTCTGCACGACGTCCGCCCGGCGCCCACCGTCGCGCTCAAGAGCCTCCAGCACTGCGACGTCGTAAGTGTTGCTCACGCCGATCTTGCGCACGACGCCCGAGTCTTGAAGCCCAATAAGCGTGCGCCATGCGGTGAGGGTCTGTGCGAGAGTCTTGAGCGGCGAGTGCAGGAGGAGACTGTCGAGGTATGTCGTATGAAGATTGGAGAGCGATGTTTGAACGGAGGTCGTGATTTGAGTCTCGATGTCCGTCTGCGGGTCGTACGGAAGTGGCTGCGACCGGTCCTGACCATCAATCGGGGTGTACCTGTGATGAATAGATCAAATTAAATTGTGAACGGCCTGTGGAGACAGATTAAATTCACTTCGTCTGGACGAATAGATCCTCGCGCTTGATGCCGTGCTCGCTCTGGAGCTTCTGCAGCGCGGCACCGACCAAGTCCTCTCTTCAGCACGCGTTCAGCGGCATAGCCTGTTCACGTATCGTTGCATCGTACCGATAATGTTTTAGCTGGCAGGCTACACCCAATGAAATTCTGGCAAAATACACAGAGTCACAACAACTACGCACCTGTGTCGATCGCTCTGAACCCGTGGAGAACAGCGCTGACGACGAGTGCAGTCGTGCGCTCTTTTTTCCTATGCACGCGATGGTAAGTCTAAGCATAACAGAGATGCTCAGGTGGGTATATGCACTAACCAGGCGGTTCCGTATATGATCTTGGCTGTGGCCATGTGGGACTTTGTGGTGGCTGGGGGGAGGAGGATGGTGGACAGACTCGCGGACTCTACAGCGACAAAGTCGGTCCCGAAATGGACATGACATCACACCGGACCACCCGGACCGTCTGCGTGGGAGACAACAGAGACGCTCATATGCCAGCTCCGAGTTTACCGGACTGTGGCAACCGCTAGTACCTCTCGCTGACTGGTTATGTCTCGCTGATTATCTACCCAAATATTCACTGCCGTTCAGAAGGATCCAATAGCTGAAGGAAGTCATAATTTGTAGTTAAACGGCTCAGAGGGGCTTGGGCATAGCGTGTTTCCGAGTCAGTAGGCAATGGGCGGTACGGAAAGCGTGAGTGATGCGCCGTAAAAACGCATCTTCGGCATCCTCCTTGCGCGGAACGAGTCGAGAGCGCAGCTGACGGGACTTCAGAGGCCTCACCAGCTCGTCGAAGTGCCGGACGACATCTTGTATTGTCGGCCGCTTGGCTGAGTCGTCTTGGACCATGTCTTTCACAAGAGGCACGAGAAACTCGATGCCGCGATATGCCTGTGACCGCAGTGAGCGACCACGTTAGACAGCATTAGGAAACGATAGAGGCGATAACGCACCTTCATGATATCCATGCGGATCAAGTTTCCGAGGTAATAAATGTCCGTGGGGAACGGGTCGAGGAGCTCGCCCTTCCAAACACCAGGCTGAAACTCCGGGACGGACTTGTCTCCCCCGCGGATGGGGTGCTCCCGAGGCGGGCCGTCCATTGGGTCATACCGGCGCGAGAGCCCGAAGTCAATGAAGTAGTACTTCACTGGACGTAGAGTCCGCGTTGAGTGTTTCGCACGACCCTTCCAGTCGCGAGACCTCGCTTGATCACATGGATGGAACATGTTGGGGTATAGCGGCCTGGGATCGTACAATATGTTCATGATTTGACAGTCTCTAGTAATCATGTGGTTAAACAAAGTGACAGGATACCTGAGTGAGCTCAGACTTACCTGTGTGCGAAGTGATGTTCATGCATGAACTGTGTGCCCTGGTAGACGACATCAGATAAATTCATGTACTAGCTCGCGATATAGCGCTACACTTGCCTCAAAGACCTGGGCAATGAATGCAATAACTTCGCCTACTGTCTTCCAGGCGGGGCTGTCGCATGCGCGGAAGAGGGGCATGACAAGGATATCAATATCCTCGTCGTCGGGCACATGCAAGATATCGAGTAGCGGGATGGTGTGATTTCGAGGGTCCGATCCAAGGGGTTCAGAGAGGAGGTATTGGTGCAAAATAACCTCCTCGGGGGTACCAACTCCTCTTCAACTGCTTCAGCATTACTTGGCTGTCGTCTTCGACGCGAACAGCATCGAGCACGAAGGCTTCCTAGATTTCCAGCTTTCAGTGCCCGGCATAACGAAGTGCAAGCGGCTCATACTACACCCGGGCGGTGCCAGTCTTCATGGTTGAACTCGATCAAGTCCAGCTTGGTGTGCCACAACGGTGTCCAACCAGGCCGATATCGGGGCCGGAGCATGTAGCCCTGTTCGGCGAGCCAGCTTTGATGATCGCGCCACCAACATTCGTGTTTGGAAAGCTTCTCCAATTCCGAAACCGGGAGTCGAAGAAATGCGGCTACCTGAGAGGTAGGAGTGGCGGACGCCTCGGCCATGTTTTGTGGGGCACTATCAGCCTGAGCGTGTAGGTAGAGGCCGAGCAGAAGAACAGAGGAAGAGATAGCAGTGTCGTGGTGGGTGGGCCCGAGTTCTTGAATCAGCTCACATGTTGGTGCCTTGTTCTGCTTTAGTCGCCCCTCTTATTGTTAGGGCGTTTCGGAAGTTGCGCCGGACTCGCGCGCCGTATTGGGGCGCGCAGACGGATGTTTATCATCACATGAGCAAATGCGACCACACACCAGTGAACGTCGGGAATTGGATACCATTTATATTCTAACAAAGGATATCAGTATGATACACAGCCTGGTATGTAGTAAGATCGTGGACATCGTTCGCAAATCAAGAAGGGATGGGTATAACAGACCTGCGTATGGAAAGTGTGTGCGTCGTTCCCATGAGGAACGTTTCGCTCGGGTCTTCGTCACGAGGGAGATGGCGAGAGCACAGTCTTCGGGGTGCGACTGTCTTCAATGTTCACGAGTTGATCGAAGCGCACGCTCGATGACCTGCTGGATGATTAGGCGCTCGGAAGGATCGGGCGCAGGTCATCTGGTCGACCAAGGCGCAAGCAAGTCCGTCTTGGAATATCCCTGGATACGAACCAGTTGGTGGTGCCGACGGCGGAGTGAACACCATACGGACCTGGATGATATGCATGCGAACCATGTTCTGGTAGACAGGCAAGCCACTGTGGTATCCTCGGGTGAGCTTCGGCCAGGGGCGGATACAATACCAATCCTCGTACAACGAAGTAGAATTCAATTTCTGAGATAGCATGTGGCCCGGGAGAGGACGTAAAACTCATGAGGATGGAAGGTGTCGTCCAGTACTGGTGGTGGCAGTTAGAGTCGCGATTGGGCGCCTACTTCAAATTCCCTGGTTCACGCAGGACCCCCGCCTATGCCCCAGTATGTCCGATCGTAGTGTCGACTGAAGTGCCCACAAAAGGGGCCCTATGTCCGAGTCAACATGTCGTACAAACGAGCCTTATATGGTTCAATGTCCGATAATCTCTGTCGACTAAATGGGCCTACTTATGGGGGCGAAGGTCCGATCGTCCATGTCGACAGAAAAGCTAGTACCCCGCCAACCAGACGCCCGCTACCTGATAGCCAATGTCGACCGTTGGGACGCCATAACCACGAATATAGGTACGGTTAGGTATGTACGTGTATGCTCATATGAGGAGCCTGACCTCAATAATGATCGACTTTTGGACCCTCGCCCGTTCGAAGGTCCGATCGCTATGTCTAACCAAAACCTACCTCGGAAAGGTATGTCCTACTCATTATGTCGAATATTTTGCCCGAAATTCATGTCGACTAAAACCCCCAAATTTGGGTGTTTTGCGATCGAATCTTTGGCGGCATAGGCGGGGGTCCTGTTCACGCGCGCGCGCATGCTCAGTGCCATTCGTTCTTCCTCCTCTCACCCCACAATAACGAGTCGGAAGTACTGGCAACTCTCGACTCCTGCAACTGCCTCCCATGCGTCTGAACGGCTGGGTCGTGGTACCCCCTAAACCACCCTCTATCTGCGGAGCTTGCTGGCGGGGTCCGTGTGCTGTGCAGTTCGGCCTCTTCCACCCTCCAATCCAGCTGGACGAGAAACGCTATTACCATGCCGGAGGGTACACATACTTCCTCTCAAAATCACGGTTGAAGCGCGGTGGCGCTGCCGGTTGCGCATGGTGCCATTATCTACTTCGCCGGATGTATGTCAAAACGAGCTTTCGCGAAGAGGTCAAAACAGTCAACAAGCGGTCAGTGCACGGTTGGAAGATCACGATTGGATCGCATGATTTGCGCTCTTGTACACCAGCCAACGTTCAAGCATTTGAGCTAGTCATTAACCGCAACATTGCGAGGAGTAGGGTGGTACACACATCCGCAGGTGAGCTCGCATATCACCTGCGACCAACTTTGATATTGAGATAACCTACAAGACGATCCCGCGGCATCATACATCGTCGCACGGGACCCTATTTTAGACGTTGGGTCCTCTCGCGCTCTCTCTCTTGCAAAAGCGCTCGTTGACGAGTGCACGCATGGGCACGAGCGCTGTATCTGGATTTCACCGCCTGCCGATGTCCGCCTCCCCGCGCGCCTTATAGACTGTACCGACACTAGCAGCCCCCGCCTAGTCTCGACAGCGGGCGAATTTGGAAAATACCTCGCGCTCAGTTACGTGTGGGGCGAGCCTCAGCCCCACCAGACCACTACGTGCAACATATCTACCTACGCCAAGCGGATCGACGTCTCTCTTCTTCCCCAAACCATCCGTGACGCAATCGCTGTGACGCACTCCCTCGGGCTTCAGTATCTCTGGACGGATAGTCTCTGCATTATGCAAGATTCGGGCGAAGACAAACTGCATGAGCTGGCGCGTATGCATCTCGTGTATCGCTACGCGTACTTGACTATCATCGCCGCCAGTGCTGAGCGGGTCAGTGATGGCTTCCTTGAAGATCGCTCGCCGCCGCTAGACCCGGAGGACTACCTCACGCTTCCGATCGTCTGTCCCCCGCACTCTCATACACCTGGAGGCAGCATAACAGGCGTGCAACAGGTGGGCGAGATGCACACCACTCCGATAATTGTCGCCGCAGGAAACACAGTGGAACACCAGGACGTGGAGGAGTGGGAGCCCATCAACGCACGGGGCTGGTGCTTGCAAGAGTTCTACATGTCCCCTCGCGCACTCCTCTTCACATCGGTCACGCTCCAATTCAAGTGTCAGGCCGGCAGGTGGAACATCGGGCACTCTTTGCAAACAACAAAGAACGATTTCTGGCTGCCCGACGTACTCTTCTATCCAGATCCGCCCGCACTCGAACAGGGCTCCTTGGATTGGTCCATGGTACACCGCCGTTGGGGCGACATTGTGCATCAGTACTCCACGCGCAAGCTTGGCGAAGCGTCCGACAAGCTCGTCGCATGTGGCGCTCTCGCGGAGGCATTCCACCGGATCCTGTCCTCCGACTATCTCGCTGGGCTCTGGCGCGACACCCTTCTCCACGACCTGCTTTGGCGGCGCGCTCCAGATGCAATGTCGATCACGGACTTGGTTCGCCCGGCGGAGTACCGTGCACCATCATGGTCGTGGGCCTCCGTGGACGGGCCGGTCTCTATGCTTCCCTGGGACTATGGTGCGGATGCGACCGCCGTTGCGGAAATACTTCGCTGCGAGGTGACACTCAAGGACCCAGAGCTTCAGTTTGGGGAGCTAAGGGGTGCGTCCATCGTCCTGCGAGCGGCGTTGATTCTGTTCAAGTTAAAGCCGGACAAGACGGGCTGGGGTGAGGAGGTGTGGGTACCGCCTCCTCCTCGCGAGCCATTGTTGGGAGTCCACGACTTTGGCGATGAAGCCGAGACCATGCTGGAGGATAGGATGATTGGTGGGTGGTGTGAATTTGATCGCCGAGCGGATGGTACGGTGGAGGGAGGGCCGCGGTGGCTCATTCCGCTCTTGCGGAAGGGACGACCTGGTCAGATGTTGGAGGGGAGTTGTTTGATCGTTGCGCTTGCGAGTCCGGGCGCTTGGTCAGAAACGAGGAGCAGGAAGGCCTATCAGCGTATCGGGATATTCGATGCACAATCCGGAGGCTGGGACGCGCTGCAGCTCTACATGGCGCTCGTGCCGTTGGTGGAGGTCGAGCTTGTATAACGGGATATCGAGTCTGCCGCAGCGACGACACTCCGATCAACTGCCCGCAGCGCCCCCCTTGTGCTCTCCACTACAGACCCGTCCTTCTGGTGGCCCGCTATCCCGATTCCTGCCCCACCTACGCCGGCGCACACCTGCTCCCGTGGCGAGCGCCCATCGCGTTCGACTATCCAGACTCGATATCCGCTTCCCTCCACCATTCCGGTTCATTCACCGCCACTGTCGGTTATACCCGGCGCTTGATCACAGAGAGGACATTAAAGCCGTCCTCCCCCGGCTTTCTCGCCTCTGCCCGGGCTCTTGTCCACCAGCCAAACCCCCTTCAGGTTCCGTCACTACCAAATCCTCCAGCCCCCACCAGCGCCAACTGCCAGTAACCGCATGTAGCGCGCACTTTCGTCGACTGACGGTGTCACAGCGGTACCCGATTTGACAAAGCTCTCGTCCAGTGCCTCTGGGGGTCGTTGCTCCGGGGTGTCGGTATGATAGCACAGATATCTACCAGGTAGCGCGGTCTTATATATTAGCGTACGGGCTCGGGAGTCGAGGTGAACCTAGACCGCGTTCCTCGTACCCCCGGCGCGTGTATGCTTCGTTCATCTAGCATCGACACAAACGCATCACATAGGATGTCTGCGCTGGATTGCAGAGTAGCACAAACGTGGAATGAACCGTCTGGTACGCCCTCCTTCTTGACTGTGAGCCTCGCGATATGATGCTAACTCAAGCGTTAGAGTGCCCGCGAGTGCTGCCTCTGAGCAAGTCTCCAACCGAGGAGCCTGTATCGACGACACATACGTCTTTCAGGTCCCCGGTAAGGTTCCTCGGCCAAGGCATGCTCTCTAATTCCGCTGCAGCCGAAAATGCAGATCTCCCACGCAAATGGACGCATGAGGACCAGGACCACTCGGACGAGAAGGGGCGAAAGAAGGCGATGAGCGAGCTCGTACAGTCTTGGATGGACCGGTTGCAGCTCATCAGCGTCATCGTGAGTTCCCTCCATGGCCCCATGGGTGCAATCTAATTGCCCCTCATCCGAAGACAACGTTCTTCGCCGCGATGGAGGCGCAGCTGCTTGGCACCACGATGCTGGACGACCCCAAGAACGACCCCGTCATCGACCAGATCGCGAACGCCGCGCTCACCGGCGCGCTCGTGGTGCACGTCTTCGCGGCCATCATCTCCTTCGTTGCCGCCTTCTTCCTCATCCGCTACAAGCTCAGCGCCGCGAAGCGCGAGAAGTTCGAGGTCGAGTCTGGGTGCGCATACGCAGCCACACCCGCGCCGTCAGACCGCCACTTGGAGCAAGTAGGCCCGTTCCGCCGCGGGCAGCCGCCGACGCATCTGCTCGACCACTGCCACTCGCTCTCCATGTGGCTCGCTGCGGCGGGGTTCGTGCTCGCGCTGGCGGGTGTCTTGTGCGCGACGTGGGCCCGCTTCGCGCTGAGCAGCAGCGTGTTCGCGACGGTGTGTGTGGTGGTGTGTGCGGTGGTGTGTGCGGTGTCAGGCATGGCCGCGTTTTTCTGGCCAGCGTCGTCTGCCTATGCGTGAGTCGGCACGCAGGCGTAGCAGTATAATACTGTCGCGTCTTCCGATCTCTGGAAGTTGCAAGAGTTTTGTATTACATACACATCCGCTCCGCCTCCCCATATGTACACTGTCATTGCAATACATTCCTTAGGACTATTGACGTCGACCGTTTAAGACGGTGCCTCGAAGCCCAGAATCGGGCTCAGCCAGCTCTCGAAATCCTCCTCCTTCGTCGGGTCCCCAGTCACCTTCAGCGCACGCAACAGGATACGGTACGTCCCGTTGGGAATCGTCGTGCCGTTCGCGAATTGCGGCGACGGGATCGTCAGCTGGTTGAATCCTGTGCCGTCCTGTACAAGCGCATCTCGTTAGCAAACAACACACGAGGCACGGTCGCTCCCGGGCACTCACATCCACGTCCGAGTTCCGCGGCTGGAAGTCGGCCTCGAAGAGCGAGCCGAGCGTGCGCACCTGCGCGAATGTACCCGACTTCGCCGCGTTCGGGAAGCTGAATACACTGCGCGCGGCGACGGGCACGCTCGCGTCCTCCGCGCGCTTGTTCAGCGTTGTCGTGATCTTGATGTTCGGGTCGACGAGGTCGAAGAGGACCTTCGGCGAGCCGAATGCGAGGCGCATGAGTATTCCGGGCGCGTCGTCCCCGACGAACGTGAAGTTCGTTGCATTCGTGATGAAATTGCCCGCGGCGTCGGTGAGCACAGGCAGATTGACGCCGAAGAAGACGTCGGTGTCGTCGACGACCTGTACGTCCTTGAGCGATCCGGCGAGTCCGAGGTAAGATACCTGGTAGCTCTCCTGTGCGTTTGCGATCTCGATGAACCCGGAGAAGACAGGGAAGGTGGTGGGGTCGAGTCCAGTCGGCGGCGTGATGTGCGCTGTGATCTGCTGCGTCTGGCCGGGGTGGACGGTGAATGACGTTTCGCTAAACTTGACAGTAGCAGCCTTGGAAGAGAGCGGAACCGGCCCATCCGCAGGGAAGATAGTGCCCTATAGAGCATGATCGTGAGTGCCTCGATCACACTGGCGAGACCGATCGCGAAGCTTACAGGCTGGAAGGTGAGAGCAGTGCCAGCAGGAATGTGGCTGACTTTGAAGCTCTTGGCGGTCGTGCCAATGTTCTTCACGCTGAACTTTTGCCTGAGAGATATGATGTTAGTGCGGAACCATCCTGAGTGCACAATGCACTCACAGAGGCTGGAAGTGAGCGGTGTCGTTGGTGATCAGCTCCGCGGGCGAGACGATAACATCAGCGTGGATCGCCTTGAATGCGTCCACCAGGCCCGCGCCCTGTTGAGTGACCGTCTGCAGCGGGTCCCCATCCGTGTGGCTCGATGGGACCCTCTGCGCCGTCGTCTCGAATAGTGTGCGCGCAGTCAAGCCGACCTCGGGTGCAGCGCCCTTCACCCCAAAGAGAAGCGCAGAAACGCCGGCCATGAACGGAGTGGCCATCGACGTGCCAGAGAGCACGGCAAACGTGCCCAACGGAACAGGGAAGGTCGAGAGGATGTTCCCGCCAGGCGCGGAAATCGCGGGCTTGAAGAAGAAGTCGTTCGAGGGGCCGAAACTCGTGAAGCTGGAGATGAGGCCACCGGCGGAGTCGGGGAAGTCAAAGCTTCCTCCAGATTGAGGGAACGAGATGCTGACGGGGACGCCTGAGGCGAACTCATTGACGAGCTATCACAAGTTGAGCAAAAATGAGTGAGATGCTTTAATCACATTGGGCCGTATGCAATGTACTCACGAACGCGCCATCTGCCGCTTGGATCAGGGTTGCAGTGGTGAAGTTTCCGGTGTCGATCGCATCGAAGCCACTCCCATTGCTATTGGAAAGCCACCACAATTGTCAGATTGACATGCTGCATGCGAAATAGATGCGCTTGGGACGTACTCGTAGATGAGTACGACCTGGCCACCTTTGGCTGCGATGTTCGTAAGCTTCTGGACCTGCATATTGATATGAGGATCAGCACAGGAGCGCTCTTGGTCTATGGCCGACGTACGAAAGTGCAAGTGCCACGGCGGACGACCACAACAGAGCCGGAAAGGTCAGGCGTGCTATCGGGAAGAGCGTTGCAGGCGTCGTCTACTACCGTAGTGTCGTTGCTAGTAGCAAAAACAGGCAGGGTTCCGTTGATAGGCAGAGGGAATGTCGCGAAGTAGGTGATCGGGTCGTGCGCAACACCGTGCACAGTCGCGTTCTGCAAGGGGATAACCGTATTGTCTAGACTAGCCACCGAGATCGCGTTGATGGCGTTTCCGGGGCTTGACGTGTACCACGAGCCCTTGCTGCCGTCATTGCCTAGAAGGATTGTTAAGGATATTGAGGAAAGGGATGACTTGCACTAGTGAATTTCCGCACCTGCTGCGATAGTGATAATCTTGCCAGTAGCGGCGATGCGGCTCGACACGACAGCACTGGAGCTCTCAGTCCAGCCGTCAGCGCCGCCGAGCGACATGGTCAGAATGTCATTGCCATCGCTGACACCCCTGAGGAGCGCTTCGATGATGACTGTATAAGCGATGTGAGTAGATGATCTCGTAGTAGCAGGGCCATTGACACCTACTGTCATCACCGACCTGGCCGGTGCAGCCGAAGATCCTGTATGCGTTGATCGAGGCCTTGAAGGCGACTCCGCTAATGTTGAACGGGTTTCCGGGATTGGCTCCGATGATGCCCTAAGCCTGGTCAGTGACATGTGTATACTCGCCGTCGCGCATGAGACTCACAGCGACGTGCGTGCCGTGACCGTTGCATTGATCGAGCGGAATGGGGTCGGGCTGAGGAGTGTTGGCCCCTAAAAGATCCTGTCAATAGAAGTCGATGTCGTACATTCTATTGATAGTTCACCAGCTACAGGGTAGGGACGTGAGTAAAGTTCTGCATGCGAACAAGATGTCTGATCTTACTGAAGTCATCTCCGACGAAGTCGAAGCCACCGATAACCTTGTTCCCAGGGCCAAACGCGCCTCCGAGGAATGGGTTCGTGAAATCGATACCTGGATGATTCCGTTAGTCTCATGCGTGCAAATAATGCGAGCTTGTTTACCTGTGTCGATACTGGACACGACAGTTAGTTTGGCATTGAACGATTATGCGTATGCGCACTCACATTCCAATCTTGATGCCATCTCCGAAGATGCCTTGAGCGTGAAGCTTATCGACTCCCTAACAGCCCCACGCGTTAAGTTCAGTCACACGGACGAAGTATGCTTGTCTGACCGTGAGGATGTGAGTCGACTCAGAATCAGGGGGGACTTGGGGATCATCTAGGCCCGTCACAATGTGCTTTGCGACAGGTCTGAGAACGCTCATGAGCGTGCCGCCCGGGAAGGTGGAAACGGACTTACTTAGGCCCAGGTATCAAGATGACCGGACGAATCGCTTGCACCCCTGGGATATCCAGGACCTTGGCTACATCCTACAGGAGTCGTGTGTAGCAGTTCAGATAAGTGCACCGCGTGACACCAAACGTGGCCTACGTTTTGGTCCTAAGCCCACGCACGAATATCTGTGAGTCGCGGTTCGGCGCGCAGTCAGTGCCGAATGAGCCATACCTGCAGCGTTACGACAGAGCCCATGAACAGGCCGGGAGAGTTGAACTCTTTCTCAACATCGAAACCGAGGTCTCTCTTCCGCATGAAATCGTACAGCTGCTCATGAGTCTGTTTGATAGTAGCGTAACTAGTCAACCAGACAGAACCTGAAAGGTGAAGGAAAAGGGAGACTGACTGTACGCGCATCCAACGACCTCTTCCCCGGGATATCCGCAGGCTCAGCGACCTCGACTATGAACTTGTTAGGAACCGTGTTCTTGAACCCCGTCGTGGTGCGCGGAATGGTCGACGGAGAGAACTTCGCAGCCAGCGCAACGCCCATGAGGGCAGCAGAGACCAGAGCTAAAGTCGCGGTCCGCACCATGCTGGGCAATCACTGGCAGACAGCTCAGACGAGCACGCATTGTGCTCCGGATGCTGCTGCGGCTTTATAGCATCTTCTGAGGCATGTTACTGCCAAGGATGCATGTGGGTGTGTGAGCGACGGACGTATTTACGAACAGCCGTCCCCACGCAACCGGGCTTCGTGCTTCCAGATGGAAAGCCTTTGGGCCCGCCATTTTCCCGCGCGCATTGAGCGATGCACGACCGGTCGACGTCGACATCGCCCAGGTCAGGGCAACGTCGTTGAGTCGCCATATCGCGCGCATGAAGCGCTTGATTAGGCCGTCCAGGATAGTGATCATGATCAATGGGAATCAGAGCAGCGAAGAAGGCAACGAACATAGTCCATCCAGGAGAATCTCAGTGTCGGACAGATGTCGGTAGGCAGGTACTTTACTTAGGCCAATCAGGAATGAATGTACCGTCAGAATCATGTCTGCCAGGCCGTCAGTCTCTTGGAGAGGTCGTATTCAAAAACGCAGAAACAAGCAGGTTAGAGTGGCATCCGCAGCTCCAGTAGGCAGATACTGCAAGGTCGCTTGTTACAGTTGAACTTTGAAGCTTGCAACTTTGAAGCTTGAATGCCATCTGCCTGATGAGGAATCCTGGCGAAGAAGCGGGGACAGTGCGGACGAGCGCTGCTCGGAGATGGAGGTAAGTGAGCGAGTCGTGGCAGTGGGCGCTTGCAAGCACATGTGGATCCTCAAGGCCTCACATCGCGGGCCGCGGTAAGAAAGGCTAATCAGTGGGCTCGTATCTAGCTAGAGGTGTTTCTTTACTCAAGCAGTACATAAATTTATACGCTCCGAGTACTCTCAAGATACAGTTCACATGCGTAGGTTGGCCATATAACACGCGCTTCTTAACTAGCAGTACCGCTAAACTCAGTGCCACCACAGACGACCGAACCGCGACTGCTATTGAATTACCGACGGCCATTCGTCGCGGCGGTCGAGTTAAAGCCTGGCACGACCACCATACGTCCAGTTACCTCGTGCGCCTTCAGCGCATCAAGCGCCGTGTTGATGTCCTCGAGGGCAACGACCGTAACATTGGGGCGAATGACTCCCTAGGGATATTGAACTTTGTGTCAACGGCGGCGCAAGGAGGACTGCAATAACACTCGGAACGTACCTGAGCAAGCAAATCAAGCGAGGAACGCATATCGTCCTGCGACCCGTAAGTGCTACTAGACACTGTGGCACATAACCCTGAATATCAGCGCCGCACGGTGAAAGGTGGCGGTGAGCCAGACACATACCGGCGATGTTGGCCAAGATGAGGTCCGCCGAGGCAAAGCTGAGGCTATCGGCGCTGAACCCGACCTGTTTCCGCCACCGTCAGCCAAATATGCTCGAGTCTACCAAGGTCGGCCCTGGGGAATAGCCTGCTTACAATGACGATCCTCCCAGGGTTTGCCAGCCCGTCGACACCCTCAGACACAGTAAGCGCCACCGCGGCCTTCGACAGATCACATTAGCCCGACCTCCCAGCGACGAAGACCCGCATCTCGTATAATCACGTACTCTGCACGCTCGCAACGAAGTCGATCACCTTGTCGACGTGGAACGTCCCGTTGCCCGTCGCCGCCGTGAGGTCCTCGAGGTCAAACGCCTGCTCCGCGCCAAGGTCGAGCGCGAGCTGGCGCGCCTCCGGCCGCAGGTCCACCGCGAAAACCGTCGCAGTGGCACCCAGGTGCAGAGCCAGCTGGACCGCCTGGTGCCCGAGCCCGCCGGCGCCATAGATGAGCACGCGGTCCCCGGTGGTGACCTGCGCGACGTTGTTGACCGCCTTGAACACCGTGATCAGCGAGTCCGACGCCAGCGCTGCGATCTCGGGGGCCAAGCCATCTGGCTGTGCAAAGGAGTCGGCTTAGGCTTGATTAGCATGGAGGTGAAGGAGACGACGACGCACGACCGGGATGAGCTGCGCCTGGTTGACGAGGACGAACTCGGCGTAGCCGCCGTTTAGGCCGGTGCCGGTGGTGAAGTGGAACAGATCCGGCTGGGTGAAGTCCACGAGATAGACCCCGTAAAGCTGCGTGAGGCTGATGTTCTGCACGCCCGGTCCGAGCCTTGAAAAATAGCGGTCAGCGACGGCGCGCCCGTATAGTAGCATGGATTGCCGTGCTCACTGAGTAGGAGTGCCTACAATCTCGTGGCCCAAGATATAGGTGCGCGGATCCGGACGCGCGGCGGAGAGGAAGAACACGTCCGAGTGGCATATGCCGCACGCGGCGACCTTGAGCAGCACCTGACCTTCGCCGGGAGTGGGCACGGGGAAGGCGGGGTCGAGCACCACTTTGTAGTGGCCGGGTGTATAGACGGCAGCGAGCATCGTGTCCGCGACCGCAGCGGACACGAGCACCAGGAGCGTTGCGAGAGTACCGAAGCCGAACATTGTCAATGTCGATGTGAGTGTGGGGGATAGAACGCCGTACGGGGTTCAAGTTGTTCTCCGCACATCGACGTTGAGAGCCTTTTATACGGCTGAACGTGGCCAGTAACGCTCGATGCCTTGGTGCATTCGTAGTCGATTGTGCCGACCGCCGACCACTCGGAAGACGTGTAGGCGGCGCTAGGGATACCGCGCTGCCTTTTGGGGCATGGCACGCGACCACATGGTTCGACGAACAGGCCGATCCAATTTTTCGACCGTAGGAACTGCGCGCGCTGGGTATGAGTGGTGTTCGAGTACCTCGATGACGAGAACTTGGGCGCCAGGGAGAGGTGCCGAAGGCTCTCGAGCTCGCCGTTTGCGCGTGGGCACTACCTTCGACACGTGCTCGGTTGTGCGCGTAGGTCAGCATAAGTGCTGGAGCGTGTAAGCCAACACTGAGACTGTATTCAACCTCGGAGGTAAAGTAAGCCCGGTACGTACAGTTATATGGAGGGCGACGTAAACGGACCCATAGCCGCAGCCGTCCGGGTATCGAGGCCCCTATTGGGCGCGAGACGTGGGCGTTGGAAGAGACCCATCAGTCTACGGAGGTAAAACAATACATACACACCCATAATGGAAAGTCCTATGTCGGAGTCAATCCGACTTCGGGGTGCCTGAGAGGATTAAATTGGATCTCCAGGCCGAAATTTGTGAGTCATCCCGACGGACGGCGTACGATGAAGAAGTCATGTTGCCCAGGTCGCAACATGAAGATATGATGAACAGAAACGGAGGCTTACGAGGCGCATATGACATGTACTCAGTAGGCGTTCAGGCAAACGCGAAGACAGCTCTACACCGCATTTATTCGCAAGACCGATGATGCACGTACGGCAGGTACAAGCAAGCATCTAAACACAAATGACGATCAGTCCTGATGAAGCCTGCAATATTATAGGTCACTTACTATCGAGATGTAAACAAAATCTCGCCGCATTCCGGTGCGCTTGCACCACGTGCCATAGCGCTCTTGCTTTACTTGCGCCTGTTTGTCCTGAACGTTGAACAACGAGCATGTCTGCTTCCTGACCCTCTTCAGCCGCTACAGTGGCTCCTCCGAGGTATATACCGCCGCATGACGAGCTCCAGCGCACCGCGCGCAACGGCCGCGGTGCAGGGGATGGCCAAGGAAAGCCCTGATGGCCTCTATGACCTGCTATGTTTTAGTACATGAGCAAACTAAACTGTATGGAAGCAAAGTTCATGCCGCCGTCGTGGACTTCTCTGCCGTTGGTAGCGCCCGGAGACGATCCTTAATTGGGGACAGCCACAGTCGACAGGTCTCGATGGGCTCCCTCCATCGGTGCACAGTGACCCACCAAGTGCGAGTGACACCGAATGACGCGTCACTTCGATCGTACGCGCTGTGAAGAGAGGGCGACCGGGAGGGCAGACAATACACCGGCCGTAAATTACGAGAGCCCTCACCTGTATCCCGCATGAGCCCGGGCGCGCATATAAGGAGGTCTGCGCCCGCTTCACTCACCCTCCTCATGCTCCGCCTTGCTCTTCCCCGCGCCGCGTCCCTCACCCGCGCGCTCCGTTCCCACCACGCACCGTTCTCCCGCACGCACATCAGTAGCTTCAGCACCACGATGACGAAATTCCAGCCGAACACCGAGCCCCCGAAGGGCTTCGCGATCTTCAAGAATCTGGAGGGCGTCGCGGGCGAGAGTGATAAATTCCGCCGGGTCCTTTGGACGGGCACACACAGCCAGGTACGCGCCTGCGTCGTGATATCGGAGGCGGAGTGCCCTTGACGCGAGGTGCCTGGTGCAATGTAGTTGGTTGTGATGACTGTCCCTGTGGGCGGGGAGATTGGCGAGGCAGGTCCACGTTAGGTTGCTGCATATATGCGCTGACCTTTGTCAAAGGAAACCCATACCGTCGACCAGCACCTCATTTTCCTGTCTGGAAATGGACAGGCCATCGAGGGCGGAACGAAGGTAGCGGTGCACTCAAGATAGACAGAGTTTGATCTCTGACCCCGGCCTAGATCACCAACATTCATCCTGGTGACCTGGTCATCGTGCCTGCCGGCACATTGCACAATGTGAGTAGGGAGGACCAACATGTGTATGAAATGCTTACCGGCTTTCAAAGTTCAAAAATACGGGTCCTACTCCGTGGATCGTCGCCACCGTAAGCCAAAATGCGCATTACCTTTCAAATCCGCTACTGATGTCAGTGCCTGCACACAGGTGTATGCGCCTGCGGAGCACAAGGCAGACACCGTCCACGACACCCTCGAGCAAGGGGAGAAATTAGAGGACGAGGGCAAGGACGAGCCGCCGTCGTGGGCGAGGGAGAAGTAGCACATAGTCGCATCAAAACATCTCTCGGATGTGTGCAGTCGTGTATAATAAATTGCAGATCGCTCAAGATCGCTGGGTAGTTTCGCATTATAATCCCTGCGCCGTTGGTGAGCGAGCGCAAGTGAACCAGCCGCAGATAAACGCACCTATTGTACATCCCATGATACCGTAGATCCCGTGAACCCATAAATATCGCCTGCAGCCGCGGACTCCTCATGCGTTGTGGTAGCTGCGACGCTGAGGCTGCGTCGTTTTGGGCTCTCCCTTCACCTCAACACCGCCATCCTCAAGTGTCTTCGCCAAACGATGTTCATCGTGCAGACGATGAACATCGTCTGACCCGCCAATAGAGGTGCCCTGCGTAATATCATTCAGCATATGCACATGACATACTCAGAGGGAAGGGACACACCTGGAGTAGGATATTGGGCACAGTCGACCGCCCCGTCAACCGCGCCAAGATCGACTGTATCTGCGGCCCGTCCGAGCGCACGTTAATCTCGACGATCTTCGGCGCCGGCACGAGGGTGTACGAGGCCAGGAGCGCCTTCGCCCGTATCGAGTACCTGCGGACCGAGCGCGGGCGTAAGCGCTCCCTCGCCACCCACGTAACAAGCTCGGGACTCACGGGCAGTACGTCTTGCTGAACACGATGAGCGGGTACTGCTCCTTGACGCGCTTCGTGTGCCCTACCCAGTCGTAGTCCCCGTCGGGCGCGTACACGCGCAGGTCGACGGGCTGCGTGCCGTCGACCGCGACGCTGCCGAGGCCCTCGACGCGGATCGTGCCCGTGTCCTCGTCGAGGCGCCGCTCGGGGTGCGCGACGAGGAAGTGCAGGAGCGCGTCGATCTCGCGCACGTCCGCGTGCGCGCCCTCGCCCGCGAGCTGCGGCTTCGCCTGCGCGACGCGGCCCGCGCGCGAGGAGCTGGGGGGCGCGAAGCCGAAGCCGATGTCCTTCAGCGAGGGAGAGAGCGAGAGGAAGGCGGGGGGTCCGTACAGCCAGACGTAGAGCGCGCCGGCGAGCGCGAGGAGGACGAGCGGGAGTAAGGTGCGGCGCCGCCGGTATGGGGAGCCTGCCCACGGCCGGGCGTTGGAGGGGGAGTGGTATTTGCTCGACATGCGGAAAAGGGGGACTTGCGGGGAGCAGCTGCGATCAGGAAGGAACGAGAGAGAGCGACTTCGCCTTTTAATGGGCTCCTGGGGTCGTGGTTGTGGAGAGAGATGCGGGCGGCGCGCAGGGGACGCGGCGTTGTGCGCGTGGGACTTATAACGCGAAACGGCGCTGCGGCGCGGGGGGCAGAGAGTGTCAATCTAGGATGTGGCAGATCGCAAGGCGCGTGAGCAGCAGGCCCGGGGCTGTGAGTCTTCGAACCTCCATCGCTCGGTATGGGACACCAATGGTGGGTGGTTTGTTGGCAGATGACCGCGCAGCTGCCCGGCGACGGTGCGGTAGGAGGCGGCCTTGGGCGCCAGCGCTTACTGCGTTGCCCGCGCTCCCCGCGCGGAGCGCCCGCCGCGCGTGTGCACTGTGTCCCAAACGTCGAGCTCGACCACCTGCGCGTCGCCCATGACCACTGTTAGGAGCCCCGATGGCAGCTCTCGCGACCCCTATGAACTTGACCGCCTCGCCGAGGAGCTAGCTGTGCGCGAGGCTCACCACCAACCAGCCCCGCTCACTGGCGACGACGAGCTGTCGGCAGAGGGCCGCCTTCTGCCGCTATACGTACCTCTCTCGCACGCCGACCCACATCTATCTGCGCCGACATTCGATGTCGAGCAGTTTCTCCTCGCGCGCGCGTACACATCGCTCCCGGACCTGCGCACCGAACTCCGGGACTACCTCGCGGCACTCAAGGAGGAGCTCGTGAAACTCATCAATGACGATTACGAGGCGTTCATTAGCCTCAGTACCGACTTGCGGGGGGAAGGTGCACGCCTGGAGAACTTGAAACGGCCGTTGGGGGACCTGAAGGCGCGCGTTCTGGTGCGTCTTGTTCACCTTGTGACCTTTCGCGCATGTATGGACTGTGTATGATCGGAGGTAGGAGTCCCGAGAGACGCTACAGGAGATTCAAGACGAGACGAAACAGAAACTCGATCGCCGCGCCGCCATCCGCGAGGAGAAGGCGTTCTTGCACTCGCTCCTCAAGATATCAGAGTCCATAACACGCCTCGAATCTCTGCTCCTCATATCGTCTCCCGACGATGAGGACAAGGAAACGTCGAATATGGGCGGTATGCCGCTTTCTTCCCGCGCCGACACAGAGGGAGATGACAGGTAGGTTCCAGCTTTTCCCACAAACGCGGTCGTTTCATATACATCATACCCGCAGGTCTCGAGGGAACCGTTCAAAGCACATAGCTCGTGTCGCCGCAGAGTATACACAACTGCTATACCACGTGTCACGCGCGAACACAGAGCCTTGCGCCTTCATTGACGAGTCGCAATGGGTTTGTGAGCTGTCCCTGTCGGTGTGGCCGTTCCAGTCCGCTAATTGTCTGCGCAGCGTATCGACCGTATCAAGTCGACGCTATCGTCTGACCTAGACCATTTATTTGCGGCCACACTCGGGGCGCTGATTGGCGGGAAAGACCACTGCGGACGGCCAAGCAAGGTCAGCGAGATTGAGAAGTCCAAGCTGTACGCGGACGTGACCGAATGCCTACGCACGTACGATGTCCTCGGGCTGTGGCGCGACGCAGAGGACGTTATTCGACGCGAGGTTTTGCGTGACTTCGTCAAAAAGGTATGTCTATCGCTCACTTGCACTCTGCGACGTTAAATGAATGTCACATGCAGACATTATATCCAGGCGCCCTATCTGCACCTCGCTCACCCATCGTCCCACATACCCCCTTCCCCGCTTCTGCGCGCTCGTCTTCTCCCGCCCCTCCACAAACGGCGTCACTTCCACCACGCACCCCGTATACTCCGTTCACCGCTTTCGCTTCAAAACAGAACCCGTTCGAGTTTACCCTGCGCGCCCGTGCGGAGTCGACAACGTCCCTCTCATCCGCCGCTATCCTGGACGAGACCGACGACCCGCTTGCAGCGCTATATAACGCGATCCTGCGCTTCGTCGATCGCGACGTGCGGCGCATCATGGAAATTGCCGAGGCTGTATGCGCAAAGTCTGGCTCGCGCACGCGTCACGGCGCAGGCAGCGAAGAGCAGCAGCCCGGGTTCGAGATCATGGCAAACGTCGTATGGGCGGAGGCCGGCCGCGCGCTCATGGACGAGCTAGGGAGCGTCATTTTTGCGGCAGGCAGGCCGGATGAGTTCCGCAAGGTACGCACGTTCTGTCTGTGGCGTAGCATTCGCTGATCTGATTTACCTACGCCGCCCTGCAGCACCACGAGACCACACAAGCGTTCATCCGTGCGCTTGAGTTCCTCGCGCCGTCCGTGGAGGCCGTCGAGGCGATGCGGACGCATATTGTCTTCACATCATTTGAGCGGCGCTGGCAGTTACCCGTGTACTTCCAGCTGCGGTGGAAGGAGATTGTGGCCAAGCTTGAAGATACCCTCGCGACGACAAAGTTGGAGCGCAATGCCAACAAAGGTGTGCAGGCTTCCTCTGTTCGTTCAGCAACCGTGCTGATACCGTGGCGTAGCGTTGGCGCCCTTCGTGACCACACAGGCGGCTGCGGTCTTCGACGCAGTACGGGCGTGCTGGAGCGCGGAAGTGTTCATCCCGGAGCTGAGCGCGCGATTTTGGCGGTTCACGCTACAGGTATGTGCGTTACCCGCGGAGTCGTTCTATACTCAAAGGAGCGTAGATCATCAGCAGGTACCGGACATGGCTCGACAAGAGCCTGCCTCCTCTGGAGCCACCCGCAAAGGTCGCTGCTGCCGTTGCTGCCGAGCGCATAGGCGGTGTAAGTTGCATATATCAACGCAGTTTACAAGCCCCATCTCATATCCTCTGATTTAGCCTGCAGGGTCCTCTGCGACAGCCCGCGCGTCTACGCCTGTGCCGACAGAGGCAGCTTCTGCCGAGAGCATAGCTGCCGACGAGGCATTATTGCAGCAGTTTGCCACGGCCGTTACGGATATCAGGGCGGTGGAAGCGCAGGTCACGAAGCTTTGGCGAGAGGAGTTGAGCGCGATGCTCGCCGATGCGCCCGAGGATGAACAGAGTGTAGCACCAGAAGGTATGCCCCCCTTCAACACCATGCAATTCTCATGGGCTGAACGCCAAACGCAGATGCCCTCAAGCACGCACTCGCGAAACTCACCTCACTCGTACCTGCGCTACTAAACCAGATCGTACTCATCCTGTCGCGGCGCGCGTGCGACGCGCTGCTGTCGATGCGCTCGATTCCCTCTCAGTTTCGCGCCATGTCTGCGAGCAAACGGGCACCCACCGAGCCAAGCTACTTCGTCTCGCTCGTCTTCAAGCACACAAAGGCGTTCTTCGGGATCCAGGCTGTCGACGGGCCTGGGGCACCGCTCAAGGACGCTCTGCTTGCCCCCGTTGCACGCGAGGTGTTCGAACTCGTCACACAGCGGTATATATACTTCCTTGCGGCGATGCGCAAGACGGAGGAGTCTCTGCGACGGTTGAAGAAGGGCAAGAAGTCGACGTACTCGCTATTTGGGACGAGCGGACGCGACGACGACGGGCGGGCGGACGAGGAGAAGATCCGGATGCAGATGGTACTCGACGTCGAGGCGTTCGGGAGGGAGGCGGAGGCACTCGGGGTCGCGGTGCAGGAGAACGCTGCGTACCGGAGCTTGGTGGAGATGGCGCGATCTAGTCTGACGGATGGTGAGTGGTTTGTGCTCCAGGCATTTCTAGAGCTTGACACTCATCGTGATCTGTTTAGATGCCTGATTGTACTCTTCAGTGGAATCTTGGCTTCTTTGTCAATGCACAAGTACGTGCAACATGGGTGAATTTCGGCCGACAAATCTAGAGCAAAGCGCCCTTGTGAACTTCTGACACTTCTACTCGCCATGTCTTCATTCCATGATGCACGCCGCATGATCCTCTCGCTGTATGCCGATCGGCGGAGCATTTCATCGCTTACTATTGAAGATCCAATTCGGTTCTCAGGCACGCCGAAGGTAGACCCAAGCTTGTCTGCCGTTCCCGGGTATGTTCACTCCACCACATATGGGTGCGTGTGTATTGAATCTCTTCCGCCGACTGATTGTTATTCCAACGCACACACCGCACGCTAATAGACGGGGGCCTCGACATCGAGCCCATCGCGGCTATGAGTCTGTTTACGTCGCTGTTCACACGACTGTACGTACCGAAAGGCTTGCCCTCGGGCGCCGAATACAATGTTAATGTTGGCTTACACACTCTGATAGCTCTGCGGACCTTTACGTGCACATCCGAGCGAAGGTAGGCACGCACCACTTTCCATTCTCGAGGAAGCGGTCAGCTTGAGAGCCTCCGGCGCATCACCCCGCCGCTCAGGAACTCGTGAACGGGCACTTCAACGCCGGCCATACCCATCGCGCAGTGTTGCAATGCTCCACATATTGTTTCGCACTTATTCAGCGAACTGCATTGCCGAGCACTTAGCCGCAGAAAGCAACTCTTTGAGTCGTCGGAGGTCGGCGCACTCGCCTCTGATATGCACCAGGGTGTCGAGCGTTAATGGGTATGTTGAGCAGTATAAAACACAGAGATCAGCTTGAACTTTCTACAGCAACCTATTCCTCACACCCAGATCGACACTCAGTACCTACAATGCTTGGGTTTGCTACTCTCACGACACTTCTGATGCTCGTGTCCACCGCACTCGCCGACACTATGCTTGCTGCGGTCTACGAACCCGGCAATAACAAGCTAGTGCTCGACCCCGCCTTCCCCGTGCCCACTCCCGGCGAAGGTGAAGTACTGCTCAAGGTCGTCGCTTGTGGCGTCTGTCACTCCGACGTGTTCATCCTCTCCGCCGCAAGCCCGGACCCTCGCTCTTACATCCTTGGGCACGAGATCGTTGGGACCCCCGCCCAGTAAGCGTCACCCCACAACTACAGCCGCCTTACTCAGTACTGTCCCCAGACTTGGATCTGGCGTTCAGAACATCAGCACGACCCAGTTGTACGGTGTGTTCATCATCGACCCCACCAACACGAACGTCCTTGCAAGCACCGGCACCGGCTTGAACGGCGGCTACGCTGAGTTTGTCCTGGTGAACCAGGCGCAGCTCATTCCGGTAGTGCGTCTGATCTCTCCTTCATTCTGCATACGCCTATGCTGATTTCCTCCGACAGCCAGATGGACTGGCCCCTGAGGTCGCGGCGGTTGCAGGAGACTCGCTGATCACTGCGTTCAACGCTGTAAACAACGTAGCTCAGGTCTCGCAGGGCAGCACGGTGCTCATTTACGGCGTTGGTGGGCTCGGGCACCAAGCCGTCCAGCTCGCAAAACATCTGGGTGCGACGGTCTACGCGGTGGACCTCCGACCGGAAGCTCGCCAGCTCGCGCTCGACCTTGGCGCTACCCAGGCTTTCGACCTCGAGGATCTCACCGCAGTGACTGGCAACGGGACATTCCACGTTGATATTGTGATCGACTTCGTCGCGACCGCGCAAAGTATGCGTTTATCTCATATGCACAAATGACAGGCCACTGATTCGCGGAATCGCAGGCTTTGCGCTGTCCAAGGCCGCAGTGGCACTCTCGCCCTCCGAGGGCTTCGCGGGCCTGTCCACACCTGGCAAGATAGTCATAGTGAGTGATCTGAAGGTTCCTCGCGGCGCAAATTATTCATGCTTCGGGCTGCTGGAACCAGGTCGGAGTGAGCGCAGAGAGCCTCGATTTCGCTTCGGTGGACCTCATTTCAGGGAACATCCGCGGTCCGTGCATGTTGCGCTTTCAGATGGTTCCTGCGACTTACAGACATCCATGCTTAGTCTTTGGCTCCTTGTACGGCTCCCAGGACGACATGCGGCGCGCGTTCGACCTTCTTAGTCAGGTGCGTGTCCACAATTTACTATAAAGTTCATCTACCATAGCTCACAGCTGCGTGTGTTTAATAGGGCGTCATCCAGCCCAACATTACTGTCGCGCCGCTCACAGACATCAACGCCGCGCTCGAAGCGCTGACGGCTCATGATGTTACCGGGCGTACGGTCGTAATGCCGGGTTTGGACTCCAATGGGACGAACAGTCGTCGGTGATTCATAAATTGCACGATGGCGTTTGGATTATGAGCATTTGAATCGGGATGCGCAAAGGAAATGTATACCGTGCGAGCAGGACAAAAGACAGCTGCTAGTGTAGTGTGCTTTACTTCTGTACTGCCGTTTGTACTACTGCAAGGTTGAATCGAAACCCATTTCCACCGTCGTTTCAAAGTTCAGATATGGTCTGTGAACCTCCAATAGTACGCTGGCTAGATAGCGACCCCCTCACATTAACTTTGATACAATAGCATTGCAAATAACTAAGCATATAGGTATAGCCCCTGGGAGTGTGCCATTACTGTACATTGACGGCGTGATTAGCGTGGAAGTCAGACGGTAAACATCTACTGTGGTATATCGCTCCTGTCCGTGACACGACGATCTTCTCGTTCTCCGGCTCCGGCTCCTCACCCTCTCCCGCCTTTTTGCTCCCAACGAACGAGACCCCGCACCCCGAGCACGCCCCGCGCGCGGGCGCCCACCCCTTGCAGCGCTCCGCGACGAGCTCTGCGACGGTGTCGAACACGTCGCGATCGACGAGGTGTTTCGTGATCACGAGCATATCACCTTCCGAGCGGAACGACTCAAGCATGCCTGTCAAGATCGTCCGGAACTCCGTGTAAAGTGTGCCCTTCGAGACGTGGGCCTTCGCCGCAGACGCGGAGCTCACTAGGCGCTTGAACAGGCGCGGGAAGGAAACCGCACGCGTGGAGCTGACGGACATGAGCGCGGTGAACGTCTTGTGGACGAGCGACCGTAGGGAAGATATCGCGTCGTGCTCGCGCTGTACGCGGGGATCGTCCGCGGGGGCGCCCTCCGAAGGCCCAAGAGCCTCTAGTGAGCAGCAGCTCGCGACGCGTTGGACGCAGTCGATTTGGCTGCTGAGCAACTGGAACCAGAGGTCTTCGACGGGGACTTCGGGGGAAGGTGGCTGGGAGCGTTCCACACATGTCGCGGTCGCGGCCTCTGCGACGGCCTGTAGCTTGCCCAAGGAGTCGGATATGGCGGCCGCGGACTCGTCAGGAGACGCGAGTGCGTCGGCGATGCGTGTAGACAGTCGTTGGTCGAACGACTCTGCTTTGGATAACGCCGTCTGGGGGTCGCCTTCGTGGTTGACAAGCCAAACAACAGCGTCAAACACCTCGTTTTCCTCGCACGTCCGTGCCGCTTCTTGGCCATCGAGGTACCCGTGTGGGAGTTCTCGGAGTGCGGGGATGACATTTGTGGGCTCGAATCGACAGTGTAGGGAAACATAGGTCTGCCGAAGCCAGGGAGGGACGTTGGGGGAGGCGACGGACTTCCGAGGAAGGGCGATATCGTCTTCGGCGGCTTTCCGACGGTCCGGGTGCAGCAGGTACTGGAGGTACAGGAAGCGCTCGTGCTCGGCGTTGGGACCTAACGCATTGAGGGCAGCTTCGTGGTCATCAGGAACATACTCGTCTACGAGAGCGGCCGTGTTGGGGATATCTGAGACCAGTAGGTCGGGTAGAGAGTCAAGTAACTTTTCGGAAACTGCCGCAGGAACCTTGCCCTTGCTCGCTCTCTTAGCGGTTTTTAGGACGTCGTGAAGAGAGGAGAATACGTCGTGGGAAGGCAAGGCTGGGTCTTCCAAGTAGGTTCCTAGGAGCTCCGGCCATTGTTTCTCCTGATTATATAAGGAGCGGAGGATCCTGTAGAAACCGGCGTGCTTGAAAAGCTCTAGGATGCGGCCGCTCTCATGGGGATTGTAGGCAGAGAGGAGGAACTCGGCGGCTAGTTGGCGATCTTCCCGTGTGCTCGTATCTGGATCCTCTGCTAGACCGATGAGGATATTGTGCAACACGGTGGGCTGGATCTGGATGAACTGGGGGTACTTGGGCACGTTGCGGGCAACAAAGATGTGGATGAAGGTCCTCTCTTCCTGGGCAAGCTCTGGAGAGGCAAGGATATCAAGGAGGATCTTGACTATGACAAACCGGCTCACGCCGCGGGTGTCGTCGTTCAGATACGCATCCTCGAAAGCCATATCCAGGGTATGTAGGAACGCTTCCGGGTCGAAGCGGAGAAGCAGACGGGCGTAGGGATATGTGGGTTCAACACCGTTCTCTTCGTCTGAGGTAAGGACGAGTTTTCCGCCCTCGCCCTCCGGCCAAACACTAGATCGCCCATAGAACAGGAACTTGTAGACCTCAAACTTTGCTTCAAGTGCTTCGTCTTCGGGGAGAGGTTCTTCGGACGGGTATGTGAGACCTGTCAGGGTATCGGCTATGAAGGGATAGATCTTGTACGCGTTGAGGACCACCGGTTCTATAGACTGCTCGTCCATGAAGCTGGAAGAGGTAGGCGAAGCTTCCGCGCGCTGTCTCCGCCATTGCTGCACCCGGCGGATGAGACCAAGAAGTTCCACTACGGGTGACACATAGTCTCGAAGGGCGCGCGTGTAGACGTAGATGAGGGCGTCATAGAGGTTGTGTCGCTGGCATAGCATGATAGCCTGGTTGATATCCAGACAATCCGGGTCGATGTGCCAAATGAGCCGCTCGACGAGATCTGGCCGGTTCTCCGCGTCATGCAAGGCGACAAGGCGCTGAGTGATCCGTGGCGGGACGTGTCGGATTTCGCCGCTCAGCATGAACGGCTCCAGCTGCCGGAGGAAGATCGTCGCAATCCCGTTGTTGTCGTAGTACCCGAATAGGTCCTCGAAGAAGAAGTCGAAATCGTCCAGCGCCATGGAAGCACGAGCACATGTCGACACAAGGCCTTCGAAAAGGTCGGTTCGGTCGACGCCCCTCCCGTCCGGCGTAACGTGTGTACCGTCCAGCATCCGGTCTTCCGAAAACGCGTATCGGGCGGATGCCACGATGAGCTCGCGTAGCTTCTGTCCGACGACGGCCTTCAACTTCTCCGGGTCGTCAGGTAGACCATTCCGATTCCCAGGCGCCTCTCCCACGTAGTAGGATCGAGTGAGGTCGATGGCACTCAGGAAGTCGCCCTCGGAGACGAATGACAGGATACGATCCGCCCAGGTGAGGAGCGTCCCTACCTGCACCCCGTGTTGTCCCTAACAAACGATCTGTCAGTAGGCATCACTCACAAAGAAAGGGAAGCTTACGAGAAGGAAGATCTTGCCCTTGTACATACGTACGCTGTGCGCGACTTCAGACACCGCATCCGAGTATGTGAGCGAGCCGTTCGTCGTATGGCTAAGAACAGGGGAGACGAGGGTCCACGCGTCGAAGTGTTCGCGCTCGACGAGTTTGAAAGTTCGGACGTCGTAGATTTCGAAGGCGGTGGGGGTGAGGACGATGATTTGCTGGGTACACCGAATATCATGAGCAAATCGTCGGGCGCAGAGGCCATCAGAGAGAACGAACCCACATTGACATTCAGCCACTGAAGAGCAAGGATGTCGTCACTGGCTGTCCAACTACCCATCTCCTCGAACACGATCCTCCCGACTTCGACTTTGCTAACTTTGCCCGTCTTGGCATCCTTTGTACTTTGGGTGACTTTATCCTCGGACACGCGGAGCAGGTGCAGAGTCTCTCCCCAAGAGTATGCAAGCGTCGGAGTCGACGACGGATGTGTGCCGTTGACCTGGCTCTTCTTACTGTCCCGTTCAGAAGCGGACGCGAGATCGGCGGTGAGCGATATACTCGGGAACCACGCGAGCGTCCCCTTGAACCTAGACTTCGAAGCGACTTCTTCGTCGGTTTCTCGATGGCGCCTATACCAGGTCTTTGGCGACGGCTTCAGGCCCACGATGACGAGTTTGATCGGCGTGAGAAGAGCGACAAGGTTGTAGCTGTCTGTCGGGTGAGCGCATGTACCGAGCGGCAACGGGACCATAGAGAGAATAGTAGTCGGCTTGCGGCCTCTCCTTCGGCGGAAGCGATGGCCGAGTGCGGGAGGCGCGTCGGGGGCATCTTCGTCGGGGTACTTTCCGAGGATGCGCAATATATCCGTGGCGTCCACGAAGAATACCTTCCCCAGACTGTGATAGAATGCCAAACCACTGTCATCCGCGGAGACGAGGGCTGTGTGGCGACCGGCAACGAAGCCGATGCTGACGATCCGGGAGCCCACTATGTGGCCCTCTTGCCTGCCAGACGCGACGGAGGCCAACGTGGTGGGAGGAACCACGCGAGCGGGCACCTTCGGCGAGCGCAAGTCGTACAGCTGGATATGGCCGGTAGCGTGACCGACAGCAATGTATGTATGGTCGAATGACAACGCGAGGGCAGTCACAGCGCCGACGCTCTTCTCTACAAATGACTGGTCAGCAAGGCTAAACGCATACATCGAGCTCCATGAAGTAATTCACCGGAAGATTCATTTCCACAAATACACTTCAGGGTCTGCTTGAAGTCGAAGACCAAAACTCGGCCCGTGTCGGTCCCTACGCATATCAGGCCGTTCGCCGCAAGGACAGTGGGCGAGCCCGAGGACTGTGCACCCAAGAGTGACGATGCCTTTGGAGTCTGTCCAGCATAGATGTTCTCTCCTATGAGTCGAAGCTGGGACCATCGCAAAACCTCTCGGGGTGGCTGAGCCTGAGCGCGAGGGGGTTCACCATGCGCGAAATGGGCGGAGAGGTTCGTGACGGACGAGGATCGCGACAAAGCGGAGAAATGCGACGGCGCAGCAGACACGGACTCGTGGAGATGGGAGTGCAGGGTGGCCGCGCTCGCAGCAGACGGCGTGCGAGAGGGCTGAGGCGTAATTGAACGCAGTCGGGAGATCGAAGGGTGTAGATAGGGTCTTGCGAGAGGGGCGTGAGGCGACGTCCCATTCCCAATGTGACTCGGCATCCGGCTTGGAGGCGTAGAAGGCAGAGGAGTCTTAGGAGACGGAAGAGGTTGTGGCTCGAGCGAGGGCAGCACTTGCACATGCTAAAGAGGGTCCACCAACACCGTAAGCAGGCGTAAACGGCGAGGCAGACCATGGATCTGCTCACCCCAGCCTCGTCCTCGATAGTGGCCGCGAATTTCTCGTTCTCTTCCACTTCTTGCACAAGCGACCGCTCGACTTCCTCCGCTTCGACCTCGTCTTCCTCGTGGTCTGCACCGAGGACGTCGCGCAGCTGGTCGCGGTAACCACCGGTAGGATCTGAATCAACACCAGCGTACACAAATCCGCCGTCTTCGTCTTCGTCGTCATCGGGGTCAGCTTCCTCGTCCTCCCCGTCGCTCATGAGTTCGTCAAAGCGCGTCGAGTAGTCACCGACTCCGTCGGCCTCCGCGTCGACCTCGGGAGAGTCGCCGCTCTCGCTGTCGGAGAAGTGCAGTTCGTCCGACAGGCCATTGCGACCTGCGTCGTCGACGTCGTGTGTCCCATTCATGAACAAGTCCGAGCGAGAAAGCACAAGAATCCGAGGCGGGGAGCGGTGACGAAAGCTGAGCGCAAGGCCGGAGCGGAGGGCCCGCGCAATCGGGTTTAGTCCAAATGTGGACTTATCGACCAAAATGCCCGCGAAACAGCTTAGGGAGGCCGAGAAATGGGGGCATTGTATCTCTGACCCTCATCCCCTCCTTGCAAGCTTTCTCACTTCCCAACTCCATCGCCCGACGTCGATGATGGCCAACGTCGCGACCATGGGTCCCCCGCCCTCACCCAAGGAACCTCGACGCTCCGGGCGACGTCCAATGCCCTCCTCCAGCAAGTCCCCCGCCGGCTCGCCACCGTCGGAGGCGGTCCCCAAGCCCAAGGAGCAAGCCAGTAAGCCATCGCTCAACCACACACACAGCAACGGAAGAACCAAACGCGCCAAGAACGAGGACATCGACGAGCCTCTGGAGGAACTGCCCAAGAACGGCGTCAACGGCAACGGCGGGGCGTCGCGCTCAAAGCGCAAGGGCAAAGAGAAAGAAAAGATGGCCCTCGTCGTGACAATACCTCAGAACGAGAACCAGGAGAACCTCGAGCTCGTTGGTGACGATGGCGTGGGGGAGACTGGGGAGGATGAGGAGGAGGGGGGTGTCACCCGTTGCATCTGTGCGTGGCTCGCTCCTTTTCGTGCGCGCCGATCACTGATTGTGTGCCCGTATCTCTGAATGGCAGGCGAAGACGAGGGCGACCAGGGCGAATTCATGGCTCAATGCGAGGAGTGCAAGGCGTGGCAGCATGGCGTGTGTATGGGGTATGCCGAACCCGACATCGTGCCTCAGCACTACTTCTGCGAGCAGTGCAGACCTGACCAGTGGACGGAACTCATCGAGTGCGTCCCCATCCGCTTCCCATTCCCTCATCCTTCTGACTATGTCTGTTCCGCGCAGGCAATGGGCCGTTAAGCGAGCCCGTCACTCCTCGACGCGTTCACACCCCCCAACGACGCCCTTAGTGGCCAATGCGACGCGGGATTCTCGCTCGCACTCACCCACCGTTCTCATGAAGGCTCCGAAACGCCGGAACACGATGAACAGTCGCGACGCTGCGTATGAAGAGAGCGTGCAGGCACTGATCGAAGCCACCAAGTCCGAGGCTGGCATATTCGACCTCCTCCCCCGTACTCCGGTTTCTGCGGTCAGTGTCAATGGGTCTACAAACGGACACCCACATCCGGATCACGACACAGAGTCGGTGACAAATCCGAAGAAGAAGAGGAAGAGGACAGATGATGACGCGTCAGTCCATGCAGCCCCTCCATTCCATCCCCGCGCCGTCTGACGATGTTGCCGTTTCCCCCAGGGCGTCGGTCAAGCGGACCAGATCTGCGTCCATTACCTCTGATCGGCCACCGCTATCTGCGCTCCCGCGCGACCCGACACCGCAAAGCGCGCCGAAAATCCCTCCCCCTCCTGCTCCCACCGCAGGCGCAGCGCGAACGGCGAACGCGCGCAACAAACGAAATGCCTCGCGTAAATCGCAGGCACAGGATATCGCGTCGGTGGACGGGGACGAAGGTCTGTACCCGGCCCGGCTATTAGCGGTGACGTCAACTCACGTGATGTATGTTCAGCTGGAAGCGGTGCGCCGAATCGCAGACAGGCGAGCAACAACCGCGCCAAAGGTGCGTTCGCACATCATCTCCAGCCATACCGCCCCGCTCACTGATACCCCCATGTCCCTCATATACCCTCCACTATCAGCCACGAACGGTCCAGAGCACCATAGTCGGCGAGCACAGGGCAACGCGGTTGCCAGCGGGCCCGGCGGAAACTCGGCTGCCGCGCGTGCATATCATAACTCCCATGCATACGTCGTGTCGCAGCAGCCACTCTTCACGTCGTGGAACCTGCCCGACTACCTCGCTCACCTCGAACCCATGCTACCCACCGACGTCCCTCGCCCACTCGAAGTCCGGGGCTCCGTGCTCGACGGAAACTCCCGCGAGTCGCTGGAGCGCACAACAGAACGCGGGGTGAAAGTGAAGTGGCCGAGCAAACGCATGAGCGTGGGCGACATGAACAAACGTGTCCGGTCGCTCGTGGAATGGGTGGGGCGAGAGCAGGCGGCGGCGATGGAGCGGATGCGGAGGAAGGAAGCCTTGGATAAGGTCCTCCAGGAAAACCGGGCGCATGACGGCGCCGCGGCTACGCTGGCAGACGCCGGGGCCGACGGCATGGACTTGGACGGCGCTGCCAGCGAAAACCCCATTTCGCGAGAAAAAGCAGCACCGCCTTTCGACCCTGCTGCTCTCGCGCCAGCTCTGGGCGCCACGAGCGAGGATGCGACGATGAAGATGATGGAGGAATTGATGGAGGAACTGATCAGGTTCCAAGAACGGTTTGGGCCAGGTGCGAAGACGAAGGAGAGAGATCGCCGTGGGGTGACGCTCTGACCCGCCCCTGGCCTGACTTCTGTACCTCTGGACTCTGACTCGGTGACACGACGAGTGTTGTATCTTGGATCTCCATCGCATTGCTATGCTCCGTTTCTCTTCCTCCTCGCTGGGCTGTCGCTGGTCTGTACACATGTTTTCTATCTCACCTATCATACCGTATCCCTAGTATTCCCTCTCTTCTGATCTCATTTCTCTCTCATCTTCCCATCCCTCTGCCCAGATGCCGTGATGAGTACGTGTGCACGACGAGATCGACCGAAATCTGTCTCCGACTTCCTCGGGGTCGGGCGCCATTTCGAAAATGACTCGGGCTCATTTTGTCCTGCTAACGGCATCTTCATTCCCTCTTCGTAGTCTTCGTCCACGATAACGCCATCTGCTGACTGGTGCCTGTCTACCTGCTCTTTCCCACTACTACTGCCTAGGAACTTCAAGGAGCGCTGACAACATGTCGGCGACAGTCGAGTACTCGTCTTCCGCGCCCGAGCCAATCTCGCCCGGACCATACCCGCGGCTGGCGGCGCACTCCCTCATGCCTGATGGCACCCCAGACTATCTCAGGCTCATTCTCACGTCCAAGGTCTACGAAGTGCTCAAGGAGACTCCCCTGGTGTTCTGTCCAAACCTCAGCACGCGGCTCGGCAACCAGATATGGCTCAAGCGCGAGGATCTCCAGGAGGTCTTCAGCTTCAAGATTCGGGGGGCGTATAACTTCATGGCCAGCTTGTCCGATGAAGAGCGGTGGAAGGGCGTCGTGACTTGCAGCGCGGGTTAGTGTGCGTACACTTGGTACGATCTCAGAATTTGTGTCAAGCGAGATGCATATCGCAGGTTGAGAACGAGTTGTTCTGCGGGACATGCACGCGAAGCATGTTTCTCAGAACGGGGTTCGCATTGGATAGGTCAAATTGGCGGTGGTCCCAAATACTCGACTTTCACTGTTTTGCTTCTACGGCGTCTGAGTTTCACCGTTGCGGGAGCGCAACCTCGAGCGAATAGACGGTCTCAGAGACGGACCCGCATGTAAGACGGGCATATGTGCATGCGCGCCCGCCTTTCTGTCGCCGATTCCGCCGCATTTTAGCCGCGAGGCGTTATGCTTCGTACTAGTCAGTAGGGTCGGCGACGGGTCATGCGCCCGTCTCCGCGCCCTTCTAAGGACTTCCCCTCCCCGCTCTATGCAAGCCCGTATCACATACGACACGGCGAAACCAAGATATCAAAATCCTCCTACTTCCACTTCACGATTCGACAGACCACAGACTACAGCTGGCACCCTCGTTGCTCGCGTACTATGTCGAGGAGTAGAAACGGGAGCGGCTGGTGGTAGGTACTGTCCGCCTCTAGCTACACCCGGGGCTGGGGTGTCCAGCGCGCACAGAATGCCGGCGCAGCCGAAGCAGAATTCACCAAAGCCGGAAGGAAGACGAGAGCTTGACTCGCAAGGGGAGCGGGGAGGGGGGGCAGCAAGCTCCACCAAGAGACAGGCGCTCCGCCCATTCAAAACCATGTATTGACAGATGCATTGCAGGCAACCACGCACAGGGTGTCGCGCTCTCTGGATCTCGTCTGGGCATCCCTTGCACCATTGTCATGCCCAAAGCGACACCGTCCATCAAGGTGCGCAACGTGTCGCGCCTCGGGGCGAAGGTCGTTCTGTACGGCCAGGACTTCGACGAGGCGAAGACGGAGTGCGCACGACTCGCGTCAACCTATGGCCTCGTCTTTGTGCCGCCCTATGACGACCCGCTCGTCATCGCCGGACAGGGCACCGTGGGCGCAGAAATTCTCAAGCAGATGCCCAATCCTGAGACCCTGGATGGCATCGTCGCCGGCGTTGGCGGGGGAGGGCTTGTCGCGGGCATATCGGAATACGTCAAACGCATAGGGTCACCAAAGACGAAGATTATTGGTGCGGAGACCGTAGACGCGGACGCGATGGATCGCAGCCTGAAGAAGGGCGAGCGGGTGACCCTGCCCGAGGTAGGGCTCTTCAGCGACGGCACCGCGGTCAAGATCGTCGGAGAGGAACCTTTCAGGATATGCAAGCGCCTTCTGGACGGGGTCATCAAGGTTGACACTGACGAAATCTGCGCCGCTATCAAGGACGTGTTTGAGGGTGCGCTCATAACGTTTGGATCCCGCGCTGTTCGAATTGACGGGTTCCTGTTGTCATCAGAAACGCGCTCTATTACTGAGCCAGCGGGTGCGCTCGCGCTCGCGGGTCTGAAACGCTATATCGTCGACCACCAGCTGGTCGGCGCCGAGAAGAAGTTCGTCGCTGTCATTAGCGGCGCGAATATGAACTTCGACCGGCTGCGGTTCGTCGCCGAACGAGCAGAGCTCGGGGAGGGTCGCGAAGCGCTTCTGAGCGTCGAGATACCGGAGAAGCCAGGAAGGTGCGTCCCGTGTGGCACGACAGCGCCTGGCGGCCCTCTCGGCGTCGTTGTTGCGACTTGAGACCGTCATCGTGCGACAGACATTGTTCTAATGCTTCCGATGGACAGCTTTGTTGCGTTGCACGACATGATACACCCGCGTGCGACCACAGAATTCGTCTACAGGTTCCACCACCCCGAGAACGCGCAGATATTCTTGTCGTTCCAGCTCCAGAGCACGAATCGCGCGAAGGAAGTGTCCGAACTCCTCGCTGCGCTAGAAGAAAAGGGCATGAAGGGCTTCGACATCAGCGAGAACGAGATGGCGAAAAGCCACGCCCGCTACATGATCGGTGGCTTTATTGAAGTGCCCAACGAGCGGCTGTTCAGGTTCGGTGCGTGCCCCGCGGGACTGCTGCGGCCAGTCATTGGCAATGTCTAAACTTTTGGACGCCCATTAGAGTTCCCCGAACGCCCAGACGCGCTCCGCAGGTTTCTCAAAGGCCTCCACGCGGGGTGGAACATCTCCCTCTTTCACTACCGCAACCACGGTGCAGGTGCGTTCCGGGCTCGCCTTCGATGTTTCGCCGCGTTGCCGTACTCACTATGTTCAACCTTCCCAGATGTCGGGAAAATCCTGGCGGGAATCCAGGTACCGCCCGAAGACACGGAACAGTTCAGCGAATACTTGCAGAAGCTTGGGTACCCGTATGTGGAGGAGACCGAGAACGAGGTGTACAAACGGTACCTCAGAGGATGAAACCCAGTGAGAATCGACAAATGTGGAGGCATGTGAGATCCTCTCCAGCGCGCTCGGATCATGCGAGGATGGGTGTGACAGTTCTCACGCCGGGAGAGGCTCGCACAGGCTCTGTTGGACGAAAAATGACACAGTCATGTGGGATCATGTAGCCAATGCGACCACTGTATAATCGAATCCTCGTGTATACTGTACAGTAATGTTGTATCATGTCTGATCCTCCCCGGTCGTCCGCATCCCGCCGTTCACCATCGCGGCACCAGCCAGGCTGCGGCCGGACACGACACGATGGTATCATGCCGCGTCCAAACCACCGCGCGTCCAGGTGCGCGCGGCCCCCGGTATCCTCCCCGACCTCCCGACCATGCGCGTCCACGCGCGATCCCCTCGCATCACCACATACCAGGCCATATTGCATCGCAACCTCCTACGTTCATGTCGCTCGTCGTCCACGCCGCGCCGCGCCCCTGGTCGCTTGTCTCCGGGCTTTTACTTGTCGACTTCAGCCTCTTCGCCCATGCCGGCGCGCGCGACCTTCCGGGCCTTTGCGGCCTCCTTACTTCGGTCTTCGAGGGCCTAAGGACATACAAGACAAGGCACGGCATTGGTTGATGTGCACGCGAGCAGCGAGTATTTACGTACCTTTCGGGATACACTGTCTAGTCCAACGAAATGTGCATCAAAGTCTTCTTTGCAGGCGTCCGGATGATTCTTCAAGTAGTCGATGAGGCAGATATTCCTGCAATGACGGGCAACCCAACACTATTAGTAAGGGGCTATGGCCTGGTTATGAGATACTTACCGCGCGGACACACTGGTCGGATGCGGGCGAATGGTTTTCAGCGCAGTCGACTTCTTTGGTTTGGCGTTCGACGGTGTGCTGATGGTGCTCGGCGGGACCGCAGGGGAAGCCTTCACTTCGGGGACTTTATCCAAAGAGGGGTCTGCGGGCACAGGCGCACGGATCGTGATGTTCGCGCTGTGAGATCTAATGTTAGTCATGAGAGAAGTGAACGGTGTGTGGTCCACTTACAGTGGGTTGACACGGTTGGGCTGTTCAATTTGTGTTAGCATCAAAGTAGTACAAGTACAGCTGGGACTTACTCTGCTGCGCGCCCTAGACACAGCGGGCGACTCGGCCGCTGGCAAGACTGCATGTACAGGGGCATCAGGTGTGGGGACGGCAGTGGCAGGGGAGGTCGATGCAGACTGAGCAGAGATATCCGGAGCAGACTGATCATCGAACACATCCGAGAGGGGCACGGTTGAGTCGTCGGACGTCGCGGACGCAGACGCGACGGATCCAGGCGTGATGGACGCAGACGCGACGGAGGCAGACGCGGCCGCGACAGATGCGACGGTGACAGACGCGGACGCGACAGACGCGACAGACGCGACAGAGACAGATGCAGGCGTGGCAGACGCAGATGTGGTGGATGCAGGCCCGAGTGATGCAGAGGACACAGATGGTACACCGGGCGCAGATGTAGACGAAGACACAGCAGTGGGCGTGCTCAGTGCAGTCACAGTCGCAGGTGCAGAGGGCCGTGGCGCGACAGGTAGTTCAGAGCCCGTAAGAGCCGGTGTCGGGTAAGGCAGCCCCGCCGCAGACACGGGTGGCCGAAGTGTAGTCGCGGCCGATGTCGGAGTCTCCGAGTCGAGCACATCGCGCGTGCTGGCGGTCGATGTCTTCGCACGCTTGGATGGTTTCGGAGGGAGAGCTGTTGCGTCGCCGTCTCCTTCGCGCTTGACGCCGCCTTTACCCTTCACATGAGACGCGGCAAAATTGGAATAATAATCAGTAGCGAGCTGGTTGACCTTCCAGAACGCGCTGCCTTGCGCGAGCTCCGGAAACATCTTGCACATCGTAACCCGATGGTATAGTCGGGCATTTTCGTGCGCGTTTCCCCAATTCGGGGGAGCGATCTTCTCCTTGTTGAGCTGGTGAAACACCGCGTACTGTTGCTTGAGCATGCTCTTGAAGCGTGAGGCTGGGATGAGGTCACCATGCTCATCCTCCATGTAGGTCCAGACCATGTTGGATGCACGAACGCGAGCAGTCGCATTCTGTGTCATCGCCGTCCAGTCGTCCTTTTCCCAGTATTTGATGCCGTACGCCTGCTCAGGTGGGGTCTCGTATGCGTGGTCTACAGAGGGCGGTCCGGTGGTTTCGGGATTGACAGACATGGAGCGCGCTTGAACGTGTTCTTGTTTGTTGCTAAGCAGAGCCAGACAGGCCAGGTTCTCCTGGCTGTGAAGTGACATATTTGGGTCAGCATCGCGCATGCGCAGAAGGCATCCACGTACCGTAGGTGCTGGCACTCCTCTACCCGACACTGAGCTTCCTTCTGCCATAGCACCGACTTCATGCTCTCTTGCTGAAGGCGTTCCTTGAGAGTTTCATAACGTTGCCGCAAGCTTTGATGCTTGTTGTGGAGGTTGGTGTATGCGGTATTTTTGAGCCGGATGAGGGTTTCATGGGTGGCCTTCTGAATTTGCTGTATAGTAGCCGGTGCTGACTGAATCACATCCTGTAACCAGGAATTAGTATGTTACTGTGCAGTCGATTCACGGACTTGCATTATGTTTGCGATTATACGGGTCTATGCTTGCTGCTGGCGTCAATGACGATGTACGCGGCGTTGAGAAGTTCATGATTTCGGTCCCCATGCGGGAATCCGGGCGTGTTGGGAATCCAGACATGCTGTAGGGTGTGCCTAGTGCAGACATCTGACCCCGATGTGTTCAGATGAAGATTTGATGAACAATGAGTGCGGCGAGGCAGAGAAGGACTTACAAGCCCTCCCGGTGTCCGGGACTTTGACACATACATCTCAAGATCTTCATCACCGCTGTCCTCTGTGTTATCAAAGATGCTGGTTCTGGCGAATGAAGACTGCGTTTCGGGAAGTTCTAAGTGAGGAAGAAAACCGGAATGGTGCTGAAGGTCCTGAGAAGCGGAAGAAGTAGGCATGGAGAAGGGGAAAGAAGATTGCTCTACTGTAGGAGGAGATTCGAACGGAGTGTCGTCCATTGCAGTAATTAGGTGAGGGGTATTAGGGAACAGGGGTATGTGGCATGAGGGAGCGGTATGATGGAGGACGAGGAGGACGATGTATGTGCCCAAACGAGGCTGCGCGCTTCTCTATCTGCGGCAAGCGCCGAAGCGAAGTGGGTGCTTCGACCTCTGCCTTCATGATTTTGCCACCCTGCTCCTGCCGCTTCGCACTTTCACTGCTGTACTTCATTCAGACCTCTGTGCCTACGACTACCATGGATGTACAAATCAATACTGGAGTTGCGGAGGACATCAAGCGCTCGCAGGAAGAATCCGAATCGGAAATTGCTTATGCTCTCGCTGTGGAAAAGTACGTCCTTGCTCCCGTGCACAGTTTTACATCTCAACGTGCCAGGTTTCACGAGGACGGTGGTGCGGACATGATGCGATGGGCAAGCACTCTTGGTCCTGTCCCTGCTGCACAATGCGCCCACGACAACATATTCTCTGTCCAGCTTGTAGAGAACACGCTCGCCTTGGCCAAGGTAGCCTCACGCATTGTCTGGGGCATCCGGAGTAGCATGGAGCAGTACAAAGACATTGAAACTGACTTCGTCAAAATCAAAACTGAACTTCAAGATGCCTTCAACGCCGTCATCGATTCTCTGCCAGGGGCCAAGGAGCCTGGAATCCCTGCCGTCACTCTGCCAGTCCCATCCGACAACGGTTGTATTGGTGCTGCTTCCTCTCCAGAGCCTCCCCACCCACAGTCACCACAGTCAGACATCTATGGAATCTCGCCCGGCCAGATTTGGTCCGACTGCGACTACTTGCCTGGCCAAATCCTTTCCGACCATGACTACCTCCCGCCTGCCTCTGACTCGGCGACCACACCTCATGTATATGCCCCAGCCCCTCACATGCTCAACTCCACTAATGGCGACCCTCTCCCTGACTCGCTTACATCGACCATCCATGCTGCTGCTCATGCATTTGGGAAGTATCTAGTCGACCACCTCGATCAAGCTCTGGATCACCGCTTTGGCAACCTACAGCACCAGCTAGAGTCTACGTTGTCTCAGTCTACAGCAGATCGTCTATCTCCTGTAGTGGGCCACTCAAGGGGCAGGGGCGGTGATGATCAAGTGCTCTTGTCTACGCTCGATGACAGTGCCCTGGAGGATGCCTGTCCCGAGCTCAAGCGCCAGCGCCTGTCCTAAGTCGCATTGTGCGCCCTCCCGTAAGTTCAATCTGCCCGCATACATTCATGTCACGCTCAAGAGGATGTCAGATTTATGCCAAAAGCTGCGCGACCACCGCGCGTAAATAGGCGCCCGTCGCGCGCGCAGAGGTCTGTCACAAAATATCATGTAGAATATTTTATTGACATTGCCCAATGTCATAGACCTCTCTAGGACGTTGTAATGACCCACCGCTTTCCATCTGTATATGTGTTGTTCTTCCCCAAACCTACTGCATGTCATGTTCGATTTTTCTAGTTGCCGCCCCAACTCAATACATTTCATAACCATACTCATAAGCTGCCCGCAAACACATGATATCATATCTCTTCCGCTTCCAGAGCCTCGAGAGAGTCCCTCCCCGCCCGCATAACATCGAGACCAATCCGCTCTGCCAGAAAGTAATCGTCGCCCACGATGAGTTGCGGTGTTTCGTCCGTCCGTGGCTTGTGTACGTCAGGAATCATCGCTACGACCGAGACAATTGTATCGACGTCGATCACGCGGAGAGCTTCGCGCGAGAGGCCGTGGTACTTCGTCATGTACACAGCGCCATGCGAGTCACGGAGAAGTGCTTGGTCAGGCTGAGAGTAGACTGACACAAGAGCGACCGTGCGGAAGTCGTCGGCGACGTCTAGTTGACAGAAGTATTGAACTTCTCCAATGCCGTATCCGCCATCTGCAAGTCGGAACTGTGGGTGGGTTAGCCAATAGCCTATTGCCTGGTGGTACACCGTGAGATGAGAAGACGGACGGACCTTAACGTTGCGAGACATGCGCAACTTCGAGAGTGGCTTGAGTGTTTCCTTCCATGCGGAGCGTGCAATCTGCGTGTTGGGAAGGAGGACCCGCGCCCATTTCTGCACCTTCTGTGTGAAGGTGGCATCTTCATCTAGCTCGCCGGCATCCTTCAGGTAGGTTGCAAACGCGGAGGCCTCATCTTCAGGAAGACGGTAGGCAGTGCGAGCGCGCGCACGCAGAAGGGCATATCCTGCACCCAGGCTGATGGCACCACGCGGAAGCCTGTGGTAATTTGGGCTGAGGTCGGACTTGAAGAGGTCGGGCTTCATGATCTTCAGTGCATTGATTTGGCAACGGATGACCGCACGCTGTGACAGGTTTGCGTAGGCATTAGAAGGCTGACGGATCTCCCCCCCAAGGTCGCCGATAGAACGCTCCATGCCCCACTGGGAGAGGGTGGATAGAGGACCCGTGCGCGGAATCTCCTCAGCTGCGTGGCCAGAGGTGTGCAGGCAAGGTCGTACAAAATGAAGCCGATTAGCCTGGCGTTGACAGTAGAGCTCTTCGAACTCGAGCGCCGACTCGTTGAGCAGCACATGAGCGACTTGAATGTCGTCTGAACGCACAGTCCAGCCATGAACCAAGAGAAACCCAGAGACACTCTTGCAGTGTTGTTGCCAGTAAGTGTGAGGCAAGATGTGGCGCAGATACACCGGACTGAGGTTGTAAAAGTACGTCAGGAATTCCCAAGCCTTGTAGCCACTGCTGATTTTCTCAGCGATGTTACGAGGAGGGCGGTCAAACGATCCGGGCAGGAATGGATTCGAAAGTGCGATCTCTTCCCCATGGCGTTTCCAGCGTGCCGCGCCGTCAGTCTTCCCAGCAAAGATTGCGAAGTCCCACGCCTTCTTGTCTTCATGATCGCCATCCATGGTGCCGCGCCACAGACTGATGTACAGGTCGGGGATGTTGAGCGCGCCTAAATGCATGATGTCGAGGGGGAAGCAGTGCGGCGCTGGGAACATGCGGGGAAGACCGCTGAAGATGGATGGTTTGACGATACCATACTTCTTGCGGTTCCGCTCGTACTCCGCTGTGGTTCGTGATTCGCAGACCTTGCGCAGCGCGTCCTGGTAGTCCTCGACGTCGGATCGTGGAAGGGCGTGATTTGGTACGTCTCCGTGATCGCACCCGTCGACGGTGTAGCCATAGGGTTTGAGGAGAACGGGGTAGTAGTGCGGAGCCCCTTCCTTGCGCCGTCCAAGCATGGGGCACCAGAGACGACAAGCGCGAGCACCGTGGTGTCCAACGAGACCGTTCATGCAGGCCATGGCTGGACCATCGGCGGTGACCCAAGCAAGGAACGGATGGTCAACATAGATCTCCTCGTCGACAGCGTCCCAGTAAGGAAGACCATCCTTCATTAGTGCAGCGAGGTGATAGAGCCCAGGAAAGAGGAACGACTCGAGATTCTTGGGCTTGTTGGGTCCACGAATGATCGCCCCAGGAAGAACGTGTGCCTTCTTGTAGCGCAGCTTCGGATCGAGCGTGAAGAGAACCCAGATGTATATCCAGCAATCAGACTGCTTCTTCTCGTAGAGCTGAGCGCCGTCGATAGAGAACATCAAGACTGAGTCATGAGGTCCGATTTTCTCATCCTGAACAGCGTCGAGGTACTCCTCCGAGTGACAGATGTCTTCGAAGACCTTGATGACGCCGTCAGAGATACCCATCTCCGTCAAAACGTGCTGTGTAGCCTGCCAGAGATAGCGGGTAGCAGTAGCCCCCTCCTTCGAGCGGCGCAGAGCGTTCAGTTGGAATCCCAGCAGCATAGTGAAGAACTCCTCCCTCGCAACCTCCTTGCCAGCCTCATTCCGGCGGTAGCGAGGTTTCTTGCAATGCGGACACTCCTGGAGGTCCTTGAGCGGGCCTGTGTAGGCGATGCACGAGCCTTCACATTGATGCTCGATATGCGGCACGATCCCGCTGAGCTCTGCGATTTTGCGGCGCACCGCCGCGTAGGATAGCACTTTGTGATTTGGCTCACGGCGTATGGCTGCGGCACGCGCATCCTCGTAGGTCTGCTCCGAGGCGTTCACAGTCGCAAAGAAGAGATCGATGGAATGGAGCAAATCCTTGTCTGAGAGATCGAGGGGGTACTGAGGCGGGTTTTGGAGCTGGTGGAGGACGTCGGCATCGAGGCCACTATCTTTGAGATTGGCGTCCTGGAGCATCGAGATAAACTCGAGGCTGAGCTTCAGGTCCTTGAGATGTGGCGTGAAGGTGCTGCCAAATGGCTCGGGCGCAGGCACATCGGGAGCGTCAGGAGCGTCGGGTTCATTAGCGGGGCCCTCGTTGCCACCAGCAGGTTGCTCAGACGGTACGCGAGGTCCTTGCTCACGCTGCTCACGGTCGTAGTCGCTACCGGGGTCTGCAGCATGTTCATCCTCGCCGCCCTCTTCATCGTCCTCATCCGGTATTTCTTCGACTGTCACTCGATAGGTGCGAGGGGGAGGGCTAGAATTAGGCGGTTCGGGTGATCTACTGCGTACAGGGGAGGGCGATGCCCCGGATTGATGGACCTCGTGGTCTGCGTCAACAGTCTGTGTGTGTGATGTAACTTAACCTGAGCAACGGAGACACGGAGACCATAGAAACGACGGGTGCACATACCATGAAATCAAGTTCATTGTCAGGCGGCTGATCTAACCCTGCATCCTCTCCTCCCATGAGTTCATCAACATCGCCCCTGGGTGTGTGGTCCCTTGAGACGGAGGGGCCATCTGAGGACAATGGACCGCCAAGGCCGGAAGGACCAGCAGTAGAGTTATCCGAGCCTGCCAGAGGAACCCTAGATCGCCCGGAGCCAGCCGCAAGAGCCTCGGCGACAGTCTGCATGACAGGGACAGGCTCGGCCTTGCGAAACTCGGCATGGGTGTACCAAGTCGACCGCGGAATCATCTTGCCGCCGCCGCAGTATACAATGCAAGAGCAGAGCTTCTTGGGGCCGGTCCCTCGAGCAGCACGCTGAGAAGTCCGGGTCCGGTCAGTACGTGCTGGAGGCATCTTGACAAAGGGCAGGGACCACCAGACAGCGTGTAGAGGGAAGAGCACAGAGAACCAAGGGCGACAGGAGGAAGGAACGTGCAGAGCAGAGGCGGGCAGGTCGCGCGAGACAAAGCCCTTTCGGCGCTCGTTTGACAAAATTGGCGCCCAGCGCGACCAAGCCAGACGAAATCCTTTGGCATGCCCGAGGCATAATTTACTAAGACTTCTAAACTATCTAGACATGTTATTGACATCCTATTGTATCATATTCCGCTAAGAAATTGCTTTGCACGACACTCTTGAGAGATATGCGAGGGTATAAAGTGAACGTGTTCGAAGCGCCCATAATGCCGGTTGCAGAGCAGTGAGAACGGATGACTCGGACGGCTCGGACCAAGGAGCACCTGTACGGCAAGGCCAGCAGTCGGCCAAGCATCCTTGCCGTCCGTCGGGCGTAAAAGCGAACGATAAAGCGACAGTTATTCGCTCGGTTTATTCCACAGGCGCCTAAATACAGGATGTAGGACGATCCAGGATGACTCCCCCCTCTGACATGATCTCACAGGCCTCCACATTTGTCGATTCTCACTGGGGATGAAACATGACGTGTATGTACTAGTGCAAATGTGTGCTCCCGGGACACGGCGGCCGACGCTTCTTCCAAGTCGTCGTCGGTCGTGCGACCGCCCACGCCACCAGTGGCCCGACAGTCTTCAAGGTTTCGGGCCGGGACCTTTTAGTCACAGGGTCGAGAGTGATCTACACGACCGGTCGTCCGACCGCCGAGCTCAGAGTCAAATGTCATGAATAAGCAAAGGCAAAACGAGCGACGTGACAGTGTTGGACGGACTTCTACAATTACATGAGTGAGTACACGAGCTGGAAGGTATCTGCGTGCGACGACGCCCGAGCATCTCGTGTCCGTATTAGTGCCGAAGCGTACGGGGGTCCGAAGGCGAGCTAATTGGGGGAGGGTCTACTACGATAGGCGTAATAATGAGCGGCGAGGGCGAGAACAGCGCGGTCCGAGAGCTACCGAGACTTAGCAAAGCGAGAAGGACTGACGCCGATACCTGTACATCACAATACATACATATCTACAGCTGGTGCCCCGCGCGAGAGAGGGGGTGCGGCGGCGGGGACCGGAAGGGGGCAATGTAGGCGGAGGTGAGGAAATGAGAGGGAGGGATGGGGTGGGGTGCGGCGAATCGGACGCTCTAGCTGGAAACCGCGACCTCGCGCTGTGCTCTCCTCCAGGGCATCAGGAAGTCGCCAAGCCGGCGCGGGCTGAGGGGACGCTGGAGAATTGGTTTCGGCACTTCCAGTTTCGACGACGATACAGCTGATAGAGCGGGGGACGGAGGGCGCGCGATAGCGCTCTCGATAGCCTTGATGGCGAGCGCGGTGGTGAGCCCGCGGTTGCCTGCCTTCACGCCGGTGGACCCATACTGGTAGAACCAGCACAGGTCCCAGCCGCCGTCGGCGCACTGCGCGGCGAGGAGCTTCTCCAGGTCACGTGGGAACTGGATGCCGACGGACGAGCCAGCGAGGATGCGGAACGCGAGCTCCATGGAGTCGCCCGGTGCGCTGACACGTTCGTGCATGCGCTCGACGAACAACGGGCGGAGGCGGTTCAGGACGGCTGGGTCGGTGATACGTTGGAGAAGGCGGCTCATGAAGAAGAGGAAGCAGTCCGCGGACATGTAGTACCGCGAGCCGCCGATGTAGGCGCGGTGCAGCAGAACCTCGTATACCCATTCGAGGGTCTTCGGGAGGTCCTGTCCCCGGCCGTACTCGTAGAACAGCGACAGGACGTTGACACAGACGAACGGATCCATCCGCGGGCGCGAGTGGTCGAAGTAGGTCTATTACGAGCGTTAGGTCATGGGCGCAAATTAAGATTGATAGAAGGTAGTCACCTGCATGATGCCGTCGGCGTCGACATACTCTAGCATCTCGTCCAAGATCGAGTTGACAAGCGTGCGGGGTGGGCGCAACACTGTCAGGGCAACCGACGTCGTGTCCACATCGTCGGGAAACGAGGCCGAGAACAAGGGCTTCCCTGCGGAGATTGTCAGTAACCTGGTTAACCGCTTTGCGAAGCTTCAAAACACTGACCGCGGAAGAAGTTCCAAGTGCGGGGACAGTCTGATGTCGTGATGAGGGATCTATCAAGGAATACCGATCAGACGAAGTGTGGGCGCAACGCGGGTCTCTCACTTACTTGTCATTTGTTAGTTCGTAGATGATGAGCTGCGTAAAGTTTTCCTCGAAGACAACGCCGGCGTCCGTAGATGTCTCCAGACGACCGGCATGCCTGCGGAGATAGTCACGTCCGCGATGTATCGGGTCGCCGAAGATATTCCTCAGCGTCTGGAAGACGTTCTCCTGGGAGTCGAAGACCACGCCGTGCATCCCGAGCGATCGCGCGGACACCACGTTGTCCAGCTTGTCGTCCACAAAGACGGTCGTTTCTGGGTCTAGGTGCATCTCAGAGATGACACGGCGGTACGCCCCCAGATGTGGCTTGCGCTCGCCGACGAGGGCAGAAGGGAAGACGCGGTCGAAGACCGACGTCCAGTCCGAGTCGAGAGCCATGATGTATTCATAGTCGGGGAGTGAGATGTTCGAGAGCGCGAGGACGGTAAGCTGACCATGCGTTTGTTGGCGGAGTTCGCGAATCAACGCCAGGAACTCTTCGTTCGGTCGCAGAGAGTCGCGAGCCTGCTGGAACGCTTCTGCGATGGTGGCAGCGTCAAGACTGAACTCGGAGCTGACCCGGTCATAGCACTCGGCCTGTGATATCCGACCGCGCTCGTACTCGAACCAGGTCAGGGACGAGAGGATCTCCTTCAGCTTCTTGGGAGGGATAGGTGTGTTGGTCTTGGATGACCAAGAGAAGAGGACGTCGCCCAGGTCTAGGATGAGTGTCGTATACCTGCGGTGAGGTGAAGCCATGGGGACACGGAGGGCGGGGGCGCGGAGAGGTATGGGGTGAACGAGCACAGGCACGGAAAGAGCGACCATGTTGGAGGGGAGTTCTTTAAGGAGTGGACTGGGGGGGAGGAACGCCCCGGAAAATGGATTAGTGGGTGTTGTATGACGAGAAAGTCCAAGTTGATGGTGCCAGGTGGAAGATATGATTGGGACGAAAGCCCCAAGCGTTCCGAGCCACGCAGAGTCGATAACTATTCCCGGGACCCGCGCGTTCTAGATGAGCATCTGAGGGCGATCAGATCTGGATCAAAGCACTGCGTAAGAGGACGGGGCTAAGATTGCCGCATCAAATGCCTCCGTCTTCCCTTCGCTCGGCGTGTTGGGAAATCGTGGCTGAGCTTCTCAGAGATTTCTCAGAAGGTTTACAGAGGTTTCTGCGCGGCTTGCGCGAAGCACAATACATGACAGCGTCTTCACCTGGAGGGCCATCTGGTGAGCGCATGTTTCAGCCCCACGTAGCGCCAGTGACGGAAGGTGCTCACCGCTCGAGACTGCTCGAGGTCGAGTACAAGCGAGGCCTTTGAGGCAACGGAGCTAGCCGATCGGCGATCACCATGATTCCCCGCCCGGACATAAGCCCTCTGATTACGCACCTATTGCCTCCGTTAATGTTAGGCTTGCATGCTACGCTTCAAAATCCTGCGTCAATTCACAGCGGATGCCGACGCTGCTCCTCGCGCCTCCGAGAAATGCGCACCCCAGATCGCCAGTGCGGCGCACTCTCGGGGATCGGTGCCTTGCTGGTGCCCCTCGCCTCGAGCTAGCACCTGCTAGACTGCGGCGTCGGTGTGCACGTTGCAATGCACGAGGCAGGGCCTGCGTCGTGTTAATTTTATTTCATTTACGGCCTGCCATATCGAGACCAATCTTGGGATAACCGAAATTGCATGAGTTAGCCGGAGGGGTCGCCCACTCCCTGCCCCGTCGGACTGATCGCGCGTTACTCACCCAGATAGTTCGCGGATCAGCCTCCTGGCCGCTGGCGTCTACGCCGACCCGCTGCCGCGCCGCGCATGCGCCAGAACGACGCGGGTAGGGCCAGGATGGTCAAGCGTATTACGGGCGATAATCCTGAGAATCGCGAGGGAGGCGGCGAGAATATCACGCTGGTTCGTGATCGTCAACCGGGCGTGCCGGGGGTGCATCTGAGGCCCTATGTTCTGCGCTCGACTTGCCTGTTGCGGAGAGATTGCGCGCGCGCCTTTGGCTGTTCACCCACGGGTTGTCCTCCGTACAGCCGTCGTCTTGCGCAGCACCCTATTCGTTGCCCATTGGACACGGTTGCCTGCTTCGAGGTATCAGCCTTCATTGTGGCAGGAAGAACGCCACATGCCTATAGAGTTGAACATTGACTTCTGGGAACGCACAGGACTAGCGGACGGCGAAGGTCTCTCTTGACGGGCCTGGGTAACCTTCCTGATTCCCGAGTTTTCGCATCGGAAGGCTCCCTCGCTTTCTCTTCCGCGAACCTCTGCGCATGAGCATGCGCTCATGGCTGACGCGCGTGGCGTACGCGAATTCGTGAGGCGGGTGCCCAGGGTCGGTGCCTGTGCGTTGCAGCCCGAGGGAAGCCCTGCGGTCACAAAGGAAGCCCTGTATCAACCCGCCTGCAGGTCCGACGCACAGAATACTGATCACCTCAGCTGAAACTGAGCCGACAATGCCGTACACACGCGCGTCGCGGGATAGGTTTCGCACACGTTGTTCTCAGCATCCCGCACGAGGTGCGCCTCGCAGAACCTTGTCCGACGGACAGAATGAACGTGTCCCAAGTCGTCGGACTACCTCGAGGATCCTAATCCGATAAAGTTAGCATTTTCTTTGTGCGAGAGATATCGGCGGTTCGCCAGGCCGTGTCCCTTACCTGACAATATATTTTACGCACAGCCGGTACCAGAAAGCCCCGGGGATCGCGGGGTGGGCGAAGCGGCGGATCCTATTGCAAAGATCCCAGTGCTCAAGCCGAGCGCGGCCCAGATTTCGCAGGTATACACAAGAGCCCACAACGGTACCATGAGGTTTCCGTGTGTCATGGATCTCCGCTGCCTAGTGAGAGCGGCGAAGCTCTACCTTGCGAAAGTCATGAGCTCGACGGACTTTGTTAACACGACCGAAAAGGAATAGTTACCCTGCTGCGAGCGGACATGACGCCCGGCGTGCGTCTCTACCTGCTGCTTCCGGAACCGCGGGCTATGTCTTGCAAGACCGACGCGGGAGAGCCACCGAGCGCGCTCCCATATCAGAATGTTCCTGAACATCCGATGCATTAGCGAACCGCCTCAGCCCCAACCCACACCCGTGCGCTAGACCTGCTAGGTTAGCGCCACAGTGAGCCAGAGTGGGCCCCAGCGAGGTGCACGTAATGCCACTCACCCGAGTTAGCGTCGGTGCCGACACTGGGAAGAGCGTGATAAACACTTCACGCACCTCGTTCCTCGATTACATGCTTGGAAGGGATAAGAGACTAGACAGTTCTGGCAGCAGAGGCCCGGCACGTGTCGGCGCGACGTCTGAATGCCGCGCATAATCATGTGAGCGGGTAGCTGTTATCGATTCTAGCATAGAATGAGTACTGGCGTATCGATGGCGGCATAGCTTCGAAAGCGGAAGCATACGAAGGCCGTGGCAGGTTCCCATGGACCAACACTTCTTCAAAGACGGGGATGAACGAAGCGTGGCTGCTTCCGCAAAAATGTCTGCGGGGAGCTTGCAAGCCGCCGTATTCAGAACGCCTGCGGAGGAGTTTAGCATATTTGTTTCAAACGTGCGACATATCACGCACCGCATGTTAGGCACGGCAGACCACCGGATGATAGCTCCGTTGACCCGCAGCGTTGGAGGATAGTGGCCTTTAAGAGCATAGAAGCCGGATACCCGCTCTCTAGGGCCTGGCCACCTTCTTTGCCACACCACGCGAGCCCCAAGCCGCCGACGCCATCGGGACTGCGTACGACCGATGCCGCCGCATGCGCTAGTCTGCTCACGAATAGTCAAGTGTTGAGACCAGACGATGATGGATTTGATGATGATGACTTACACCCGCCAAGTGGTGGAACCCAGAACGCAAGCGCCCTCGCCACGCTTCTAGGGTCTGACGCAGTTTGCGAGTATCGCGGGATGATGTGCAGAATATCATCCTGGGGCAAGTCAGAAGGTAACTAACCGATACTTATTGGCTACAGGAGCCCTGAGATGATGTGGAACAGCGTCTGGTGGGATATTCGACTGCGTCCAAGATATCCTGCAGTGAGGTCACGCATAGGTTTTGGACGCACCGCCCGCCGCAGGCAGAACGATGCTGTTCAGGATTGCCCTGATCGCTAGCATGAGGAGGGTCAACCAGCAACTTTGCATCAAGCTAAATACGACATAGCAGGTGGATACGTTCGTCGATTCGGGGCCAGCGGGCCGTACAAAGAGAGAGATCGGCCGCAGCATCATTTGAGGGCGGTACAATGCGGCTTTGAGGCCTGTAGGTGGCGAGGAGCTGCAAGGCGAGCTAGGCACCTCCGCGGTGATGTGAAAGTGCGCTAGGGTGAACCTGAGCCGATGCCAAATACGGTGCACGGTCAAGTCTGCCTCGAGGTGCGGGAAGGAGATGGGAGCGTACCCATATGAACGTGCTCAGCATGCATGGTGGTAGACACGGCGACAACTCAGTGCGCCGGCTTCTTCTCCTTTGTGAGCATGTTCTCTGCAATCACGTAGGTGGTGAACGCGACGACGGCGACGCCGAAGCCCGGGAAGGCCCTGGCGAACATGGCGCGGCGGGAGAAGACGGGGTGCTTGCGCCAGGCCTCACGCTTCGCCCAGGGGTCGCGGTAGAGCTGGGGGTCGGGCGGGGTGGCCATCTGGATATCGAGAGACGTGTAAGCAGGTGAGCATGGCGGACAGGGGGAGGCACGAACGAGTTGGATTGGACAGGGAACGCGAGGACGAGGACGGGCAGGTGGACTGGGGCTGTTGCCTCTGCCAAACGTCCACCGAGTTCCCTGCCACACGGGCGCCTTTGCTCGGGCCGCGTGACGTGTGTTCAGGGCAGGCTCGGTGATACTTCAACAGATTGGAGCTGGCACCGTCCCCAAGCCAGCCTTTTCTTGTCTCACGTCCCTTCCTCGCTTGCCTCCCCTCCACCACCTCATCGCCCCTCCTGCCTCTCCTTTGTCTATACTTATGTCGGGCGACCTCTCGATGCTCTCGGACGACGACACGCCTCTTGCCGTGAAGCCGTCCTCTTCGAGAGGCAAGCAGAACGGCCACGTTGTCCAGAATGGCAACGGACGCGTGCTGAGCGACTCCCCAATGAGCGAAGACGATGACATGCCGCTGGTGAGTGGTTGAGCAAGGGTGGCGGAGAGTGAGCAGCTTGATTGATCCTCTCTGCCCGGACTTAGTCGCAAACCACGCGCACCAAATCTGAGCCGATGACCCCAGACGTGCGCTCGTTGAAGCGCAAGAAGCCGGCCATGATGTCCGAGTCCTCGAGCGAAGACGACAAGCCACTCGCGTCGTCCCCGGCTAAGTCCAAGTCCGCTGCTATTCCCATGCCAGGCGCGGCTGCACAGACTACAGCCAAGGCGCTTACTGCTAATGGGAAGCGCGCGCGAACCAGCAGCAAGGCGGTGGTCGAATCCTCCGAGGATGAGGACGACGCGCCTCTCGCTAAGCCTAAGCGCGTGGCTAACGGAAAGGCGAAACCGAAGGGACGTCCCGCGAAGAAGGTCAAGAAGGAGGAGTCTGAGCCGGACATTGAGTCCGAAGACGGGACGCCTGTTCCAGCTCGAAAGGCGCCTCCCCGTGTCAAGCGGAAGATTAAGGATGAGAGCGATGCGGACGACAGTCCCTCGGAGGACGACAAGCCACTCACGAAGAAGCGCGCCACTAAGACGCCGGCAGCCAAGAAGACGAAGGGCAAAGGCAAGGCGGAGGCGTCTGAGGACGTCAAGCCGAAGAAGCGCGGTGCGAAGAAGGAGGAGACTGAGGACTCCAAGCTTGCGTCGAAGAAGAAGGAAGAGATGGACGAGGATACATACAAGTGGTGGGAGCAGCAGAACGCTGCGCGCGATGGCTCGGTCAAGTGGGTGATGTTGGAACATAACGGGGTGTACTTTCCGCCTGCCTACGAACCTCTTCCTAAGCACGTCAAGATGAAGTACAACGGTAAATCGTGTTCGCTTTCGTCTATATATGCAGCCACTCATGGCATACGCAGGGGAGCCTGTCGACTTGCCGGTCGAGTCTGAGGAAGTGGCAGGGTTTTATGGCGCCTTGATTGAATCGCCTCACGCTCAAGACGTGACGTTCAACAAGAACTTCTTCGACGATTTCTTGAAGGTTCTGAAGAAGTACCCTCCTGTATGTATTTCGCGTATATATACCCCGGTGTCGTGTCGCTCAATGATCAATCGCAGAGGAATGGTATCAAGATTACGAAGTTCGAGCTATGCGACTTCCGCCCAATGTACGAGTACTTCGAGTCGGAGAAAGAGAAGAAGAAATCGATGACTACCGCAGAGAAGAAGGCAGCCAAGGCCGCTAAGGACGAGCTAGAGGCGCCGTACACGCACTGTACTCTTGACGGCCGTAAAGAGAAGGTTGGCAACTTCCGCATCGAACCTCCTGGTCTGTTCCGTGGACGTGGTGACCATCCCAAGAAGGGCGCGCTTAAGGTATTATCGTTTTCTGTGCGTTGTTCTCAGCTAGGCTGACGCGCTATGTAGCACCGTCTGCGCCCGGAGGATATCACCATCAACATCGGCAAAGACTCGCCCGTGCCCACTCCCAATGTACCTGGGAAGTGGAAAGACGTTGTACACGACAACACCGTCACCTGGCTGGCGAACTGGGTGGAGAACGTCAACGGCAACTACAAGTACGTCTTCCTGGCGGCCGGCAGTTCGCTCAAGGGCCAGAGCGACATGCAGAAGTTTGAGAAGGCGCGCGAGTTGAAGGTGAGCGAGATGGGATTGTCGTCGTACGTATTCAGCATATCTTACCCCACAACGCAGAAACATGTCGACAAGATCCGTGCGGACTACCAAGCCGACTTGAAGACCAAGCAGATGATGGAGCGCCAACGCGCGACCGCCATGTACTTCATCGACAAGCTCGCGCTTCGAGCGGGTAACGAGAAGGGTGACGAGGAGGCGGACACGGTTGGCTGTTGTTCTTTGCGCTGCGAGCATGTCACGCTCCTCCCGCCGAACAAGCTCGTGTTTGACTTCCTGGGTAAGGACTCCATCCGGTACTACAACGAGGTTCAGGTGGACGACCAAGTGTACAAGAACATCCGTATCTTCAAGGGGAACAAGAACGATGAAGACGAGCTTTTCGATCGTGTCAACGTGCGTCGCCGTTAGATCCCATGTCTGGAGCGTGTCTCAAGTGTCCTGTTAGACCGGCGCGTTGAACAAGCATCTCGCGTCGTACATGAAAGGCCTTACTGCTAAGGTCTTCCGTACGTTCAACGCGTCGTTGACGTTCCAGGAGCTGCTGGATCGTGGTACGCCGGAGAAGGGCACCACCCAGGAGAAGCTGAACGCGTACAACCACGCCAACCGCATGGTCGCGATTCTCTGTAACCATCAGCGTGCCGTCCCGAAGACGCACGAGCAGTCGATGACGAAGATGCGGGAGAAGGTGCGCGTATCCCTGCTATGTACCGGGACCTGCCATACTCATGTCCGCGGAAATATCAGCTGCGTGGCCTGAAGTACGAGCGCATGAAACTGCGACACGCCCTCTTCTCCATCGATGCGAAGTACAAGAAAAAGAAGAAGTATCAGGAGCCCGAGTCTGACCTCGACGACGAGGCGATTGAGTCGCACGAGGAGCAGCTGAAGGCGAAGGACCTCGAGAAGGCGGAGAAGAAGTTCCAGAAGGACAACGAGAAGCTCGTCGAGGACGGGAAGAAGCCGCAGGACGACTCCGTGCTGAAGGAGAAGCTCAAGGAGGTCGAGGCGGAGTACAAGAGGCTGAAGAAGGAGCGGGGCACGGAGAAACACGCCCTGAAGAAGGAGCGGCCGGCGGAGAAGATCGAGGACGCTATCGACAAGCTAGATGAGAAGATCAAGGCGTTCAAGCTCCAGATGGAGGACAGGGAGGCCGGCAAGGAGGTCGCGCTGAGCACAAGGTGCGTAGTTGGTGCTCATTTGCGCTTTGCAGTTGTGTTGACGTATGCCGGTTCAGTAAAATCAACTACTTGGATCCTAGGTACGTCTTCTGGTGCATCGGCATATTCTCGCGATACTCACCAGCTCGTGTCGCAGAATCACGGTCGCATGGTGCAAGGACAATGACGTTCCCGTAGAGAAGCTGTTCTCGAAGACTCTCATCACTAAGTGTGCGTTGTTTGTGCTCGCTCTGCCGTTCTTTGCCTCGATGTTGACCTGAATGTGCAGTCCCCTGGGCTATGGAGGCGGACCCAGAGTGGAAGTTCTGAAGGTGCTACTGCTACATTATTACGATATTACTCTCAACATCCATGGAACACGGACCGCATCCATTCCGTCCATCATCTCATCACCACGGACGGTCCAGTGCATATAGTACCATTCGCTCTCCTCACGCTGTCTCCATCGCACTCCCGTCGCATACACACTGAGCTGTCTCTGTAGTTTCTTTTCCTTGTTCGTAGTAGAAGGCATTTGGCAGGATCTGCTATATATGGGCTCACAATGTATCCCTTACACCTCTGTCCGACTCGTGCGGGTGTGTGCGTGGCTGGCCGGCGCGGCGAGGGAGCGTCGCGTCCCTGGGCGTCTGAGCGCTTCCATACGTCCTGCGCGTTCACGTGTAGAAGCACAGCAGCGTCACCGACTGCGAGCCCCCAGACTCTCTCCTCTCCACCACCACCTCTCCCGCCATGTCCTTGGCCACACGACCTTCCTTCACCTCCCAGACCGCCTGGGCCGCGCTCGGCGTCGAGTCCGGCGAAGACACCGACGAGGAGGCGTACGATGAGATCCCTGCATCCCAGCCTGACAGGTATGACGCTCCAGCGCCCGTGCCCCCTGACTTGGACGAACTCACGCTGAAACATTCGTCCGCTAGTGCGTCGGAGGGCCCCGCGAAGCTCTCGAAAAGTGCCCTGAAGAAGCAGAAGGCGTTAGCTCGCGCGGAGAAACGGCAGCTGGAGAAGGTTGCGCGCGCGGCGGCCAGGGCGCAGGCCGCCGGGGGGAAGAGTGCTGCGAGCTCCGACGCGGGCTCCATTCAGTCCCCACCGGTGACACAGGCACAACCCGCGACGTCCGAGGCTCCTTTGGCTGTGCCCGCGGTCGCGGTCGCCCCGGAGAAGCGGCCAGTCAAGGAGCTCGTCGCGGACGTGTCAAAACCAGCTGGGGCGAAGCCTACGAACGGCGCTGCTCACCCGGTCGAAGTGGCAAATGGATCAATAGCGTCTGCACCAGCTCCGGAGCCGTCAGTACCCCCACCTCCTAATCACCCAGCACCTCCGCCCGTAGATGCGGAACCAGTCGCGCAGTTTAACACTGTGCCGGCGCCCTTGGAGAAGGCGATCCCGGTAGCGCGCAGGACTGACATTGAGAACCCACCTGAGAAGAAACCGGCGGAACCGTCACCCCAAGATGCGGAGAAGGCGAAGAAAAAAGCCAGCTTCGTGACCCGTACGCTTTGGACCTTTATTATGATTGGTGGCTTCATCAGTAAGTCGACTTACCTGCACGCATCGGGACGTATACTGACATCCCAAATAGCATTGCTGCTTATGGGACATGCGTACATGATCATCCTTGTCATGCTGTGCCAAACCTTGGTCTACCGCGAGGTCACTGCGCTCTTTTCCCTCCGGCGAAAAGATGTTGGCGACGGGAACGCGAGGGGGCGCGACCCTTGGAGCAAGACGTTGAACTGGTACTTCTTCGCCGTTACGAACTACTTCCTCTACGGCGAGAGCATCATCTACTATTTCAAGGTATCTCCCACCCGGCTATACTTTACGCACGCGTTAATGACTTACCCTCGATTATAGCACGTCGTCTTCTCCAATGCGCAACTTACGCCGTTTGCGACGAACCACCGCTTCGTCAGCTTCACGTTGTATCTCATCGGCTTCGTCGGTTTCGTCCTTTCGCTTAAGCGCGGCTACCTCAAGCAACAGTTCGGTCTGTTCTGCTGGGTGCACATGTCGCTGCTTCTCATCGTTGTATCAAGGTTAGTTGTGCCCATGTGTACTTTCTTACTAAACTAACTGTCTCCACCTGCAGCCACTTCATTGTGAACAACATCCTCGAGGGCCTTATTTGGTTCTGGGTCCCAGCATCGCTCGTCATTTGTAACGACGTCTTCGCCTACATTTGGGGCATAACGGTCGGCCGGACACCGCTGATCAAGCTGTCCCCCAAGAAGACTGTCGAAGGTTTCGTCGGCGCGTTCTTCAGCACCATCATTTTCGGCCTGCTTTGGGGCTCGTACTTCTCGCGCTTCGACTACATGATCTGCCCGATGCGCGACCTCGGCGTCACGGCTTGGAGTGGCCAGTCATGCGAGCCCAACCCGGTCTTCGTCTGGAGGGACTGGCAGATGCCCGCGCCGCTTAGTGCTCCCCTCAGCACTCTTGTAGGCTCAATGCCACTCTTTCAACCCGGGAGTACGGCCCACTGACATCCACCATTTACAGATGGGCCATCAGGTGACGGCGATCCCGTACGCGCCATACCACCTGCATCTACTCGTCCTGTCCTGCTTCGCGTCCCTCGTCGCGCCCTTCGGCGGTTTCTTCGCCTCCGGCTTCAAGCGTGCCTTCGATATCAAGGACTTCGGCCACAGCATCCCCGGCCACGGCGGCATGACCGACCGCATGGACTGCCAGTGCGTCCTCTATACTTGCTTTGTCTACCTCTGACCATATATACTGATCACGCACGGACGTACAGGTTCCTCATGGGCGTCTTCACCTATGTGTATTACAGCAGCCTGATCCGCGACAACCACGTCACCGTCGGCTCGATCCTCCAGACGATTGTCAGCGGCCTGACGGTCACCGAGCAGCTGCAGCTCTTGGCCGACCTCAAGCGCTACATCGAAAGCCAAGGCATCGTCGTCAACTTGTGATGTGCAACACGCGGGGTTCGATTCTATGCTGTACGGTGGCTGCGATCGCGGGGCCAGGGACTGGTGACCTGCCTTCCAAAACATTGCTCGACTCTGTCAGGGGAGGGAGGGGAGAGTCGAGCCGATAGCTCCCGTTAGCTGGGCATGGCTTTCCTGGGAGAAAGGTCGCTTTCTTGATCTGCATTCAACATACAGTAATCCGTCTAATCGTATGAACCACCATGCTAAGTAGTTCCTTGCTGCGGTAATACATGATATCCCCGGGATGCGACCCGAACACAACAGTGACAGAGCGCGCGGATGCGGATGTCCATGTCTCCTTGTATTAACGACGGGTGGCTAGTCATTGAAGGTAATGATCTATCCTGGTAAGTACGCCCCCATGAATCCCAAGATTCCCTAACTATGTTCGACATGACCTCCTTCACACCTTCGTGCACACATCCAGTTCTACCGACGTGTCGTGGCGGTTGAATTCAACCCGGGAATGACGACCATACGCCCGGTGACATCGTGCGCCGTGAGCGCCTCGAGTGCCGTATTGATATCTTCGAGCGGCGCGACCGTGATGTTGGGCTTGATGACGCCCTAAAAGCAGAAACACAGCCGTAAGCCATCGCATTCGTAGGTGAGCGTCATGGCATTGGATACGCACCTGACTCAGGAGGTCGAACGCGCTCTGCATGTCATTGCGGGAGCCGTACAAAGAGGTGTAGACTGGACATGAACATTGAGTCGCGGAGACTACCGTTAAAGCGGAACTGTGTACATACCGCGGATGTTGGACTCGATGAGGTCCACTGAGGCGAAGTTGAGGTTGTCTGCGCTAATCCCGACCTGGCATCCCAAGGCATGAATAGGCTGTGTTGCGAAGAGTCTCGCAAAGATGACTTACTAGGACAATCTTGCCGGGCGTGGAGAGGCCCGCGAACCCCTCGGATAACGAGAGTGCTACCGCAGCCTTCGATAGCTCGAAACCTGGGTTGCTCACATTAGCTCATTTCTCAAATATCCATCTGTTAGTGAGAAAGCATACTTTGGGCGGTCGCAACGAAGTCTACAACGGTATCGACGTGGAACGTCCCGTTGCTAGTCACTGCGGCGAAGTCCTCGAGGTCGAACACCTGGGTGGCACCAAGGTCGAGCGCAAGCTGACGCGCTTCCGGCCGGAGGTCCACGGCGAAGACCGTTGCGCCGAGGTGCTTCGCGAGCTGGACGGCCTGGTGCCCGAGCCCGCCCACGCCGTAGATGAGCACGCGCTCGCCAGTCGTGACCTGCGCAACGTTGTTGACCGCGTTGAATACGGTGAGCAACGAGTCCGTTCCGGCTGTCGCGACCTCGGGAGCCAGTCCATCGGGCTATAGCGCAGTGTCAGCATGATGTTGATCACAGAAGACGTCGCCCAACAGAACATACCACGGGGAAGAGCTGAGATTGGTTGACCAGGACGAACTCAGCGTAACCCCCGTCCAGGCCAGTGCCGATGGTGGAAGTGCCGGAGTTCGGGTTGCTGGGGTCGATAATCAATACTCCATACAACTGGGTCGTGCTGATGTTTTGAACGCCAGCTCCAAGCCTAAGAAAAGTAATGAGCAAGGCTTCTATGACAGCACGCATGATGCTTACTGGGCGGGGGTTCCGACGATCTCGTGCCCAAGGACGTAAGTGCGGGGGTCCGGACGAGCGGCGGAGAGGAAGAACACGTCGGAGTGGCAGACACCGCAGGCGGCGACCTTGAGCAACACCTCGCCCTCCCCGGGAGTGGGTACGGGGTAGGCGGGGTTGAGCACCAGTTTATTGTGGCCTGGCTCGTAGACGGCAGCAAGCATGGTGTCCGCGACCGCAACGGACGCGAGCACTAGGAGCATTGTGAGGGTACCAAAGTCAAACATGGTGGATGTTGATTTGGAGTTGAGGGATTGAAGGCTGCAGGAGGTTCAAGTTGACCTCTGCACATCGACGTTGGTGACCTTTTATACTGTTGAACATGACCAGTAACGCCCGACGTCTTGATACAACCGGAGTCGAGTGCGCCGACCTCCGACGACTCGGAATACCTGATCACGGCGTCAGGGATGCCGTGCCCCCTTTGAGGCATAGTACTCGGCAACATGGTCTGCTGAACAAGTGCGACACACTGTTTCGACCATGGCAGCAGTGCTTGAGTGCTTGACCGGCGTCGAGGTGGGGCTCGTGGGCGAAATTCTGAGCGGCAGGGCGATGTGCCGGAGGCTCTCGACCTCACTGTCTGGTCGGAAATGGAGGCGACCCGTTTGCTATCCCCGAGATGTGCTCGATTGTGTGCGCAGAGGTCAGCACATCTATGAAAGTGTGTAAGCCAACACTGAGACTGTATTCGGTGCCGTAGGAAAAACATTCTCAATATGTGCGATCGTGTGGACGGCGACGTAACCGCACTCATAGCCGCGACCGTCTTGATGTCGAGGCCTATATCCAGCCCGCAATGATGTGGTCGGAAATGAGCCATCAGCGAGTAACGACATATGCGCAGGAGGATTAATACACACGCACCCATACACGGCGGATTAAAATCACGCGAGGATCGGCGGACAATCCTGCCGGTTGTGTTCGACTTCGAGGTGCCTGAACAACTGAATAGGATCGTCAATGGTAAGTGGTCATTTACCCCGCCGATCGGGTATCATTCTGTGTATGTATGCCGTAGCGTGCACTGGTGGTGAGCTTGTGAGTATGATGACACAGTAAGAGCACCGAATACTTAGTGGACACCAAAGTCGGTTTTGTTGAGCAGCCCCAATGACACCTCCGTCCGTATTGCCCAGGCCGCAAGGAAGTGAACGTCCGTTGTTCGGCGAGCTCAGATACCTCGGGTGCCCCTTGGGCGGCGCTCTGGGTCGGTCGTCCGCCTGGGTGGGCCGCTCGAGGATGTACACAAGTGATCTACATTGTTGAGCGGCATAAGCACCAGGTACCGTCTTTCCAGCAGGCCTAGGCATCTACATCAGGCGATCAGCTCTTGCGCAGGAAGTGATGCTCAAGGGGTAATGCACCTTTTGGCGATGCTGTCTGTCCGTCTTCGCCTGGTGCGGTAATGCATGTGCTACAACCGTCACAAATATCAAGCTTGGGCTGACAAAACTGAACGGCGTACTGCTTGAAATTGCATTCAGGTAGACGGTGGGCCGGCAGACGGAAACAGTCTAACGATACAAAGTGAATGACATTGTCGGGTTACCCCTAGCCTGTAATTTTGGGTGCACGGCATAAAGCATATGGCTCATTCGGGATCATATGTTATGGTAAGTGGTACAGACATGATGCCGAGCAATATGTTGGAGTGCGGGCGAGAGCGAGCGGACAGATACAACGTGAAAAGCGTTTATGACCTGGGCTTCTCCTGTTGAAGCATATGTTAGCGCACAATCGCCGGCAGGTACACACAAGCGAAACTTGCCTTCTTCTCCTTCCAGAGAGCCAACAGACCAACACCGGATACCTTGACGACCTTGAAGCGGACACCAGGAATATCACCCTTGGCCTTACCCCGACGACCGAAGCCGGAGATCAGGACCTCGTCGTTCTCGTCGACGAAGTTGAGGCAACCATCGTTCTGTCGGATGAACCACGGTCAGCACCGCAGTGTCACGGGTACACGCCCTATTGCCACCATCAAGGTCCAGGCCGCCCAAAGGCGCACATGGACCCGAGTCGGGAAAGACAGGGTGGGAGGGTACGCACCGGCACGAAAGCGGTGACCTTCTTGCCGTTCTTGATGAGCTGCACACGGACACACTTCCGGATAGCGGAGTTGGGCTGCTTGGCCTCAACGCCGACCTTCTCCAGGACGATGCCCTTTGCGTGGGAGGAGCCTCCAGTGGGGGAGGTCTTGTAGATGTTACCGAGGGCGCGCTTCTTGTACGCCTTGTCCGCCTACATCGCAAAAAATCGCAGAAGAGAGCAGGCGGTCAGGGAGATCTTGGCGAGGGGAAGCGAGAGAGGTAGATTAAGACTGAGACTCACCCAACGATTTTCACGGCGGTCGTTGCGGAGCTTGCGCGCGGCCTGCAAACCGCGGGGTTTGTTGGCTGCAGCATGAGATGATCAACGGCGTTCCAGACATGCGCAGAACAGTGAGGGGAGCGAGGACGACGACTTACAGCCCATTCTTGACGGTGTTGGCGGTGGTGGGGACGAGGGAAGAGGACTTGATGCGGAGTTTGAATCAAGATGCCAGAACTGTGAAGTACCTCGACTCCCGGCACGTGACTAAGCAGCACCACTCGCATGCCCTTCGGCAAGCGCCGACCGACCTCTCTCCTCGATGCAATTTTACGGCTTGGGAATTTCGACTTTGCAATCCACGCCGTATAGGCACCGTCTCAGCGAACAGCCCATGCCATGCGCTCGATTTCTCTGTTTTTTTGGAGTATATCAGTTCAACGATTAGTCTGCGTTGACAACCTCACCGTGGTTAGAGGCTGCCGCTGCGTGCCAGTGCCGCAAATCTTGTCCTCGCCATATGCCTACCAGACCATCTGATCAACCACAGGCACATCCACCACAAGTTCCCCGTCGGACCGTGTAAGAACATGCTAGGTTGACGCGAACCTCGAGCCTATTCACGTATCTCGTGTGAGCTTATTCATCTTGATCCTCTCACAGTGACTCGTTCGTTATCAGCACTCTTGCGCAGCGTCCATATATGATGCAGCAAGGGAGGCGGAAAGGGGTCGATCGCTCGACAAGCGAACCCAACCACCGCCCATCCATTCGGCATGTCTGCTGAGAGTAAAGTACAATACTATCGCCACGGTCGCTTCCGCGTTGCCGGTGGCATACTGCCTGACGCAGTCACCGCCTACTGCACCTACGGCGACCCTGCAAACCCGTGCATCGTGTTCCCCACATGCTATGGTGGGAGACTCGACAGTATGTCTTTCTTCTGATGCATGCTCTTGAGGATTGACAAGCGAGCCAGATGCGGGCCTCCTAGGCCAGGACTACATGATAGGCACGGATAAAGTACGATGGATGCGAATCTCGCTCGACAAGCTGCTCATTGCGGACATGGACAGGCTCTCGATCCTACGAAGTACTATATTGTCACACTAGCGCTCTTCTCCAACGGCGAGGTATGCACGCGCGCCTTTCTTTAGCAAGTGTGTCCCCACTGACGATCAGGTCGCAGTCGTCCTCTCCCTCTAACACGGTAACGCCGTCCCACCAGCCCTTGTGCTCGAACCCGTTCTGATAACAACCGCCGGCAGCCCGCCCCGTACAACGGGCCGTATTTCCCAGTGGTCTCTTACGAAGATAACATGTGAGATTCGCCGCCGGTACCTCGCCCTGCACTATCTCACCGACAGACAGCCGTGCGCAGTACGCGGTCCTTACGAAGGCTCTCAATGTCAAAAAGGCCTTCTGCGTGATCGGGTTCTCGATGGGCGGCCAACAGGTGACTAGCATTTGGCTTTGAGACACGGCATGGGTCCTGCAGAAGCCAATCCCCTTGACAGGCTTACTACTGGCCGGTGATGTACCCGGACTTCGTCGAGCGGTGAGTTTAGACTCCAGCTTCGTGCGAAGGATCGTCGGAGACTGATGCAGTACCCCGCCTGCGTTAGGTTCATACCCATTTGCGGGTCGGCGCGCACCAGCATGCACAACAAATGGTACGTCTCCCGGTCTCCAGGGCGCACCGGCCCCGGGCGCCGGAACTGAACTCGGTTGCACGGACTGCTTTCCAGTTTCCTGGAGGGTCCGAAGGCCGCGCTCGTTGCCTCTAAGGACTTCGAGAACGGACACTACACCCAAGAGCCCCAGTTTGGCATCCGCGCCTTCGGGCGCGCGTACTGTGCCTGGGCGTATGGCCAGACGGTACGTGCCGTCCAGCTAGGTTCATCAGAATGTGATTGCTCACAACGAACTTTTCGTATGTCGGCAGTGGTTCCGCCAGCACGGGTATCTGATGAACGGGCTGTACGCGTCCCTGGAGGACTTCATGCGCGCCGACTGGGAGGGCGGCTTCCTCGGGACGTGGGACGCGAACGACCTCATCACGCTGCTGCACACCTGGCAGACGGGGGACGTCTCTCTCATCGGGAAGTCGGGGCTCGCTACGGAAAGCGACGACGCCGCGTTTACGAGCAGCCTGGCCGGCATCAAGGCCAAGGGCCTGATCATGCCGTGCAAGACAGACCTCTACTTCCCGGTGAGTTCAAGAACCGGTGCACACCCATACTCAAGATGCCATATTGACTCCGACTCACTGTCAGCCGGAAGACAGCGAGATTGAGATGTTGCTGATGAAGAATGACTCGAAGCTCGTCGTCATCCCTTCTGTCTGGGGACATATGGGTGCGTTGCGTCAGGTTCCACGATAGCTCGAGCTCGCCCTGATTCGCTTCTTTAGCTGGTGGTGGCAGTAACCCTGAAGACGACCAGTTTATCAAGGACCAAGTGAGGAAATTCCTCGAGGAGGCATGAGGGACAAACCTCTCGCTCGCTAAGTTCGAGTCCCGTTGACTTGCAGTGTTGCTGTACTATATGTATACGATTGACCGAAGTTATGTATGCTAACGATCTTCTCGCTTCGCACCGGTGACTTGCGCCGCCGCGATAAACGATGCCACTGCCATGGTGTACGGCCTGACTCTCGATCAAATGACGACAATGCTCTGCAAAGATCTCTATACTGTACCACCACCCTCGCCTCGCTGGCCGCAACGTCGGGAGATGTCATTTCCTTTGCGGGAACGTAGGTTCACGTTACGGCATGCCTCGTGTCATCCTCGCCCGAGCTCATCAAAAACTTCTTCTCCCTGTTAGCACACCACTACATCCCTGGTCGACGCTGCAATCCTTTCCGCACTGGCCGTTCTACACGGCCGATTTCGGGTGGCAGCGTCTCGACATGCCGCGGTGGACGGCAACACACGGCAGTGCGAGTTGTCACTTATGTTGGTGAACGCCTGGCGCCTTGCTTTTGAGCATGGTGTCTCCCCGAAGAACCACCTTCAGAGTGGGAGGGCAACGTTGTGCAACACCATGGACTATACTAGGTGCGTAGTTGCGCAGCACATCACTCTATCGCTCGACTCTGCAAGACGCAGGCAGAGGGGTAGCTCCCTCTGTGGGGCGTTTGGCGGCTCTACCCGATGCTTCATTCCTCATGTGATAGTGCCCCTAGCGGCGCGGCGCACGAGGAACAATGAGTGCCTCTCCGCGGGGAGGAGGAATGTTGAGCAGGTAGATCCTGTCGGAGGATTAAGTGGGCGTACCAGTATAGACGCGTGCAATCGGACGCTGGGGAGCTGCGGCCGTCCCGGCAGACAGTCCTTTGTCAAAAAGCTACCATCCGCGGGTGGGTGCTTCGACAGGAGGGATGGTGCTATTGGGCGGTCGCGAGGCCCCTCAATATTGGGGCACGTCGCTATGCTGAATATGTACCCCACAAAACCCTGGTCCTCCGGCCAGACCTGCGTGTCTCGACGGCGCGCAGTGCCAGTGCGTCTGTGTCCGCCAACGTTATCCAGTCGAGTACTATGAGGAGTGCTTGGTGGTGCGCACTGCGGGGCCCTATTCGTACCACCTGCCGCGCGGCGCCTTTCGTGGGTTAGCCCTTTGCGTTGGAGGCTTGGACGACAGTAGTCGTGCAAGTGCCCTCGCTCGAATTTTTGGAATAATGGTCCTTTCGCGGGATTTGACTCTGGGTTCGGCTCACGTTGAACAGCGTTATGCGTTTATTGACCTATCAATGCCCACAGGAGCAGCAAAGCGACGCCTGGGGGTTGTAGTAGCTTCTCGAAGCTTGATCTGCCGACATAAAGGACGGACTCCGGCACCTGTACGATGAAAGGAATGCGGAATATTGAATGCGACGGTTGCGGCTCGGCTTTCAAATTTCAAATCTCATGGCTGGTCCGCATACATAGGCTATTTGGTGCTGACGACACGTTTGTCCGATTTATGGAACACAAGAACCTGTTCGATACTGAAATGTAATACGAGAGCACGCCCTTGAAGTTTGACCAAGTTTGAATATGTTTCTTCCGAGTTACTGTTACAGTGTTAGGGTGAGGTATGCATGCATATGTCACTGTGCAGTGAGCGTGCGCGAATTCAGCGCTTCAGTTGGGGCACGCCTCATGGCGGTGTCCTCCCCCAGCTCAGTTCGAACTTCTTTCTACTTCCAACACACTACCGTTGCGACCCCGGTCGATGCTGCCAGTCCCGAGTTCGATCCGCACCGGCCGTTCTACACGGCTGACTAGCCACACACCACACAGTCTCTCTACTGTACCACCACCCTCGCTACGCCTGCCCTATGACGCACCGTCGGGGAGATGCGATTTCCTCTAGGGGAACGTAGGTTCAGTGTTACGGCACGCCTCGTGTCGGCCTCGCCCCAGCTCATCAAAAGCTTCTTCTCGCTCTTAGCACACCACTACATCCCTGGTCGACGCTGCGAACCTTCCGCACTGGCCTATTCAAACGGCTGATTTCGGGTGGCAGCGTCTCGACATGCCACAGACGGCCACGACATTTCTGTTGGCGAACGCTTGACGCCTTGCTTTCTAGCATGGTGTCCGCCCGAAGAGCCGCCTTGCATATAGGGGAGGGCAACGTCCGGCGCAGCATCTTGGACTAAATGAGGTGCGTGGTTGCACAACATATCGCTCTATCGCTCGACTCTGCAAATCGCGCTCTTTGAAAGGACGCGTGCGGGCAGAGGGGTAGCTCCCTCTGTGGGGCATGATGGCGGACACTACCCGATTCTTCATCCCTCGTGCGATAGCGCTCCTAGCAGCGCGGCGCACGAGGATCAATGAGTGCCTTTCCGCGGGGAGGTGGAATGTTGAGCAGGTAGCCTTACAGGAGGTTCCTCATAGGCATGCCAGGTGTAGTTGGGCGCTTCAAACAGACAGTACCGGTGCGGCCGCTCAAGTTGAAGTGCGTGTGCTATTGGGCTACCATCCGCGGGTGGGTGCTTCGGTACATTGCTGCAACGAATGGGCGGTCGACTGGCCTCAGTATATCAGGGCGCGCAGCTATGCTTATGTATTCTACCAAACCATTGTCCTCCATAGGGGTCTGCGTGTCTCGACGGCGTGCTGCCAGTGCGTCTGTGTCCGCCATCGTGATCCAGTCGAGTATGAGGAGCATGTGATGTTGTGCACCGCGACGCCCTGTCGAGCCCTCCGCGCGGCGCCCTTCGCGGGTTAGCCCTTTGCGCTGAGGGTTAGGCATCGGTAGCTGCGCAAATGTCGTGGACGGTTGCTTGAATTTTTGGAATATTGGTCCTTTTTTCAGGATAGACGTTGGGTCTGTCAATAGTACTCACTGCGTACGTCTACTGAAGATACGATCGGATCGTCTCTCCGATATCGCTCACCTCCTGCTGGGTGACGTCGATCGAGATATCTTGCATGACAGAGGAGGAGATCGGCAACAAGACACGGCTTGCATTTCTCGACGAACTCGATCGTCCACAAGTACGATCGAGTGATTCCCGGGCCTTGGACCGCTTCCTCGTTCGCCTCCGACTTCCGCCAACTACGGCTAGGACTACGGCGTCCCACTGCATCCCTAGTGTCTCTCCGACCCATCCATTCCGCCTGTACAGTGACGATCGGCTCTTTTGCTCCCTCGCACATTAATACTAACCCCTACTTTATCGATACCCACCCAGTCGTCTCGATGCAATGTACTACGTTCCGCACTTACTAGGTCCGTGCGCACCGTCAGCCCAACAGCTTCTAGTACCGGACGCCGGAAGCGAACTACGCCCACACGAGGCTACTGACCTCCCGCCCGATCGGTGGGTGGTTCAACTTCACATACGTCATTCTGTTCGGTTCACCCACTGACATACGGGGCTGACGCCGATCTTGCCCTTGTCGGCTGCGGACTGTACGCCTCTGCGCGGTCTGCGAGGCGTATAAAGACCCGCCCCCGGACGCCCTTTACTCTCCAGACACTCTTCCCCCTTCCTCATCCTTCTCGCTCGAGTTGTCTTCCCCCCACTCCTCTTTCCGCCCAACTGCCGCCTCCGATTACCATCACTCAAATGCCACCGCCCTCACCCATCCCATCCACCCACCCCACGTCCTACGCCTGATGCAACTTCTCGAGCTCTGGTAGCTCTGCGCGACTACTACGCGCATTCTTCTTCTCCGCCCTCCACAGCCTTCCTTGCGGATTCGTGTCCTGGAGTGTGCCTTCCCGTGGTTCAGGGTATTAGGCAGTGAGTTCTCTTACTGCGACGAGCTTCTGCGCTGTAAGCTGACGATGCTACGACGTAGCTGCCCCTTCCTTAACAAGAGGGAAGCCACCCGAGCTGGGGCGCCGCCCACCACGTAGCTCGTATAGCATGGTGCTGGGTGGGCGCCGAGATGTCATAGATCCTCGAGGCATCCAACGATGTTTCCTCAGCTCGCTGCTCCGCGGACACGACCCAGCGGCCATATACGATGCTGGCAGTACGTCTTCGCGCCCCTGCCTCGCTCGCTCTCTCTTCGCTAACAATATGTTTCTCTCAGTCGTCGGCACCGCTACACAGGAAGTGAAGCTGAGAGATCGGGCTGTCTTCGTGACGGCGCTATTTACCCTACCCTTCTATCCGCCTCAGATACCGACCCTCCACTCCGCCCATGCGGAGCCTGCGCAGTGCGCATGCGCCCCCGACTGTCTGGTGTTGTACGTCGCACCTTTCCTCTGGTATCTCGCTCTTACTGACGCGCTGTCGGCCAGCCGCTGCTTCCTGAAAGATAGGATGACCTTACACTGGGCAGAAGCACGGGGTGCCCTCAACACTCCTTTCCGACCATCCCCCTACCCGGGCTACACGAATGCCAGGATGCAAGAGATCGTTCACACGGCGTCATAGTAACCGCTCGATCGACCT